GACTCATTGTAAGGGGGCATGCTGCACAGCAGAGACCGACCAGTCGAGCTGGTGTCCAGTGACTTACTACAAAAGCCCTCTGAAGCGGTTCCTAATCAGATCTGCCGCCAGCCTTTGTAGGCATTAGCCTGTGTTTTAGTCTCCTTTATTTACCATTACCAGTTTTGGACACAAGATCTTTGGGTACCGTAACTTGTATATTCACAACATAAATTCCCCCAAATCGCTCTGCAATAGTTTATTTTCTGTGCCGTAACTGTCTCTTCCCTTGGTCATTTTAGTCAACCAGGCATGCCTTATTTAAAAGTTAAAACTAAATACAACTTTTTGAGGTAGAGCTTCCCCATGTAGCTCAGGCTGGCCTGGAATTAGCAATTAGGCCTCAACCGGCATGGCAGGTATGTGCCACCACACCCAGCTAAAAGGTAATGTTTGGCTGCCTCTCAGAAGTTTAGTTTGTGCCACTCATAACCAGCAAGAAGTTGGGATCAGATGTGACTGTGTTAAGCTCAGGTGGCTGGCTCCTAGTAAGAAGTGTCAGTTTGGAAGCATGAAAGGAGGAGTGGGGAAGGGGTTTGGTTTCTGCTGTTTTTGTTTTGTTTACTCTCAACTTCGATTTCTTTCTGGCTTGTTTTATAGCAACTTTTGGATGATTACCCAAAATGCTTCATCGTGGGAGCAGACAATGTGGGCTCCAAGCAGATGCAGCAGATCCGTATGTCTCTGCGAGGGAAGGCTGTGGTGCTGATGGGCAAGAACACCATGATGCGCAAGGCCATCCGGGGGCACCTGGAGAACAACCCAGCTCTGGAGAAACTGTTGCCTCATATCCGGGGTAATGTGGGCTTTGTGTTCACCAAGGAGGACCTCACTGAGATTAGGGACATGCTGCTGGCCAATAAGGTAAGGGGGAGAATCAGACTGGATGATGTTTATCAGTGGAGTTTATCAGATCCTGGTGTTTATCAGTGGAGAGACCTTCTCACTGTTGAATATCTTCTGTCCAGGTGCCGGCTGCTGCCCGTGCTGGTGCCATTGCCCCGTGTGAGGTCACTGTGCCAGCCCAGAACACTGGTCTGGGGCCCGAGAAGACCTCCTTCTTCCAGGCTTTGGGCATCACCACTAAAATCTCCAGGGGCACCATTGAAATTCTGGTGAGTAGACCAGCTTGACATTGAGAGGGTTGGTCATTTGGAGGCTGTGGTCTCCTTATTGTATGTCCAGATGGTAACTGCTTGATGATCTCTCGTTCCCTAGAGTGATGTGCAGCTGATAAAGACTGGAGACAAAGTAGGTGCCAGTGAGGCCACACTGCTGAACATGCTGAACATCTCGCCCTTCTCCTTCGGGCTGATCATCCAGCAGGTGTTCGACAACGGCAGCATTTACAACCCGGAAGTGCTCGACATCACAGAGCAGACTCTGCACTCCCGCTTCCTGGAGGTATGCCACCCAGCTCCTTCCCCTAAATGCTGGGAGCATGACAGATACTGGTGTGTGCCAAGCATCTTCAGCCTGTCCGTTTTCTCATTGCAAAAATGGAAGTCTGAAGCAGGGGGTGCTGGGCACCCAAAGGTTATTATATATAACCTGTGATAGCGTGGTGGCCTGCATCTTTAATTCCAGCGGAGGCAGGCCATCTGTTGTGAGTTTATCCTGGTCTACATAGTCCCAGGACCACCAGGTCCATGTAAGAGACACCCTGTCTCAATAAACAGGCGATCTTGAGAAGAAAATGTTCTCTGTGCTAGAGAGGGAGGCTCTCATGCAGGAGGCGTGAGTTCAAGGAGAAATGAGTACACTAAGTGAACAATCAATCATATTTTTAAGATTGAAAGATTCGAACTGAGCAGGTCTAAAAGTATCTGCACTGTATTGTGAGTTGAAGTAACATCCTTCATAGGTCTGCAGGAGGATGTGTAGAGTATGCGAAGTCATACCAGTTTACATAGAAAGGACTTGAACTGGATTCTGGGATCTGCAGTGGGTCCTGGGCCCCAATCCAAGGAATAACTGTTACTGCAAGTAGCTCTATTTATAAGAAGTTTACTTATTGGCAAGTTACATCTGGAAGTTTAACCATTTTGTCTGACAGTGCTCAGTAACTATGTTAACAGCTTAGATTTTCAAAAAAAAGGGGCAGTAAATGGTATATGGAACACCCAGGTTTGGAGTAAGGTAAACATAAACTGAGTCTGGCCTTCCAGGAGCATCTGGTGTGAGAAGGCTTGGAGACTGAGGGTGTGAGCTTAAATGTCATTTTTTGTTTCTTCTCTCATGCAGGGTGTCCGAAATGTTGCCAGTGTTTGTCTGCAGATTGGTTACCCGACTGTTGCCTCAGTGCCACACTCTATCATCAATGGGTACAAGCGGGTTCTGGCTTTGTCTGTGGAGACTGAGTACACCTTCCCACTTGCTGAAAAGGTAAAGATATTCTTCCAGGACCATAGTGGCTTGACATCAGGGTGACAAATGGCAGGCTGCTGAGTTAGTGAATTCATATTCCATTCTTTTCTACACTAGGTACCTTTAGGCAAGGCAGTTGAGAGTAGCCAGAGCTAGTCTTAAACTACGTAGTTGGGTGACCTTGGATCCAAATGCCAAGATTATAAGTATATGCACCACCAGGTTTGGGCTCATTTTACCAGTATTGGGGCTTCCCTGCTAGATGAGCACTCTACCAACCGAGGTATTAATATATCCCCAGTACACTTTTGATTTTTGAGACTGGCTGGCCTGGAACTAGGTTTGCCTCACAGAGATCCATCTGCCTCAGCGCTGGAATTAAAGGTGTGGTCCACCACCGTTTACCCCAGTGCAGTTTTTAAGAGTTCACTTTTGAAAGCAGGGTGTGGAAGTCTATGCTGTAAGTTTGAGTCTGCCCTGAACTATGCGTACATAGTGGGGTCCTTAATAAAAAAAGGGGGAAATGTATTTTTAGAGATGGGGAACAAGGGTCTGCATGTTCTCACATTAAAAATGACAGACCCCAAAGAGTTTCTGTCCCCGCCCTAAAGACTATGCTTAAGACCTCCTGATTGGGTAACTGCTACACAGGAATGCTTGACTGGCTGGGAGCCACACAAAGGCAGGAAGGGAGTGGGTTGAAGACTGGAAGATCACATTGACCATCTTCTCTTCAAGGTCAAGGCCTTCTTGGCTGATCCATCTGCATTTGCGGCTGCTGCCCCTGTGGCCGCCGCCACCACTGCTGCTCCTGCTGCTGCTGCAGCCCCAGCCAAGGCTGAAGCCAAGGAAGAGTCGGAGGAATCAGATGAGGATATGGGATTTGGTCTCTTTGACTAATCCCCTCAAAACAACCAACTCAGTCAGCTTAATTTGAGAAACATGGAAATAAAAGCTACTTCTGTTAAAATTGCCTGGATTTATTTTGTATCCTCAGGTTTAGGAAACTGAAAGGGTTAAAAAACAAAAACCTTTGTGTTTGATATGGTACTTGTTGGCATCGTCTTTGTTCCTAAATTATTTTTGAGACAGGGTCTCTCACTGTTAGTCAAGCCTGGCCTTTTTATCTTATAGTAGTTCCCCTTACCCATGGGGGATATATTGGAAGATCACCAATTACAAATACCAACTCTGTAAAGTTGAACCTTTATCAAGAACTGATCTCTGGATTTAATAGGATATCAAAGCTAGTGGGTGGTCAAGTTTATAAGTGCTTGGTCTGAACGCCAAGGACTCAGGCTGAGGAACCGGGGTTGCTTGGGTCTGAAACCCCAGCCTGTAGGCTGAGGCAGGAGTAAAATGCTGGATTTGAGCTAGGGGTGGTAACAGGTTGAAATCCCAGTTTGAGAGTCATGGTTTTGGTGAAATTTGCATGTAGCTCAGGAGCATCCACATCAGTCAGCGATTGAGCTCAGTTCACAGCCATCTACCTCACCAGCCCCATAGGATCTTGGGATTAGGCACTGACCTTAGGTTGGTGCAGAAATTGATCCTCCTTCACTCAAATGGGTGCAGCAGTTAGTTACCACGGTGTGTTTGGCACTAATGAATTTTGTATTTTAGATGTGCAGTCGGATCTGGATGTAGAATACAGAGGGTTGACTACTGTTTTTTTCCAAGTACATTAAGATGGAATAAAAATTCAATTGGCCTTGCTTGAATACAGGGACAGTTGATAACTGCAGGTAGTGTATATAGTTCAGGTTCTAGTTGGGAGGGTTCAAACTAGAAAGCTACAGGTTGTAGGCCTTCCCAAAATATATTACCTGTGTGCATCCACAGGTGAAGGTGTAGAGAAAGAGGTCTGACCTCCGTTCCTCTAAAGCAGTAGTTGGATGTCAGTTCATGCAGGCATTCAGTAAGTGTCAAGTCTGTCTGAAAAAGCTCAGGATTTTAGAAACTGGCTCTCCAGTTTCTAAATCATATGCCATATTGGTATTAGTTATAAAGTTTGTGGCTTATTCACTACAAACCAGTATAGTTAACTTGTTTTAACTACGTGCCAACAGTTTGAAAGCCACTGCTGAGGGCCAACAGGTAGCCTGGAGACCGCGTTCTCTAAAGCACACAGAGTCCAAGTAAAAATTAAATCTCCAAAGACATGGAGCTCTTCCTTACCCCTGCCCCTTACTCCTGCCCCCAGTACGGCTCAGACCGCGCAGCAGCAATTCCCCAGGCATCCCTGCATCCCTCCCCTGCCCCTCATCCACCTGTTCTAACCTCCAAGTCCTCTCTGGACTGCAGGACGGGACACGGGCTCTCCGGGTTCCGTTCCCGGAGTCCAGGAAGCGCATTTAGTGGCTCCGCCGAAGAGCGCAGACCCTTCAGGAACCGCCCGATGGGGGTGTCGGGGCTGGATCCGGGATCCCCGACGATGCCGCAGCAGCAGGGGGTCTCTCCTGAGGTCAGGCTGAGATGAGCCTGCATCCCGGGGCTCCAGCGAGCGACCTGGCTGTGGCCGCCCTCCCGCCCGGGGGCGCCAGGCGTCGCCTTGCCGCGTGGGCCCGCCCCCATGACCCGGAAGCGCTCCGGAAGCGGTTCCGGAGTGGGCGCCGGCAGGATGGCGGCGGACACGCAGGTGAGGCGGGCGGCCGCGGGGCCAACGCGGCGGATGGATGGCGGGGCCGGAGCGCGGGCGGCGGCGGCGGCGGCGGCGGCGGGAGCGCCGGCTCCGAGGTTGCGGGGCTGACGGCGGCGGAGGCCGCAGGAAGAGGCGGCAGGCGGCTCCCAGCTGGAGGCTCGCCTCGGCCCGGGCGAGCACAGCGACCCAGGCTGGGGCTCGAGGAGTCCGGGGCTTCGGCTTGGCTTCGGGGCAGCTGGCGCCCTGCTGGGCCTGCTCCCGCCCGGGCGGTGGCTGCGCTTCCCCTCGGGGTGTGCCACGGTTCTCCAGAGCCCCGTGACCGTGAGCCGCGGGGCGGTGCAGAGTCCCCCCCGACTCTGTGCGGCCACCTAGCACTGTAGCCTTTATGTCCACAAGGGTTTGGAGCTGAGGCTCTGCGCGTTGGTTTCTCGGAGGCAGGAGATAAATGACATTCCTCCTCTTAAGTTTCAATCTTTTTATAATGTAAAATTCTGCTGAAATAATTTCTATTTCATAGGGTCGTTGGGGAGATTTCCTGAGGCAAGGTAGTAGGGCTCCGTGTAGTTTGGTTGCTGGTACTGGGTCCCTTCACCTAGGAGGGTTTTGTCACCTTTGAGTGTTAACAACACCTGTGGGTATGGAGCAGTTGAAGACACCCCCCTTTTTCCATCCCAGCCTCTTCTGTAGCCGCGTGGAAGGATGAAAAGAATATAAAGGGGAAAAAGAAACTTTCTCTCCTTATTCCACCCCCTCCACACACACAACTCAAAAAAATGTAGATTTAAAAAAAAAATGTAGATCAAGCTGCCATTGAACTTGTAGTCATGCCTTCCGAGTGCTGGGATTCCCTGCCTGGCAGAAACTGGTATATAAAAGACGGTTTGGGTCTCTGGGGTGAGATGAATTGATTCTTATGTTTGTGCCTTGAGGCTGACCAAAGAGGGGCCTTTAACCTGAACATTCAAAAGATATTTTGCAAGGGTCTCCTGAGGAAGGGGCTGGTAATTTGTTTAGAGCTGTGTCATAGTGAATCCCAAGAAGTAAAACTTTTTAGTGTTTTCAGAAGATTGAATGTCTAACATTAATACTCACGGGTAAAAGAATCTTCTCTTCAGCCAGGTGGTGGTGGTGCACGGCTTTAATCTCAGCACTCGGGAGGCAGAGCCAGGCGGATCTCTGGAAGTTCAAGGCCAGCCTGGTCTACAGAGCAAGTTCCAGGACAGCCAGGGCTACACAGAGAAACCCTGTCTCGAAAAACAAAACAAACAAACAAAAAACCAAACAAAAACCAGAATCTTCTCTCTAGAGTTGTGTTCAGTAGGTAACTCTTGGCCATGTTATCAAAATAGCCATAAGGCCTACTTAAGTTAGTCAAAATGATATAAAATTAAAAATTCTTAAGTACATTTTAGTAGTCACATGTGACTAGTGGCTGGTGTGTATTGGCCAGACTAGGAGAGCTTTTCTGTCATTTTGGAAAATTCTCTTTCTTGTTCAGCACTATCTACAGCGCTGTCTGTGAACTTGGAAGGCATGGCTGCCGATCTTTTTAACATCCAGTATGACTCCTAAAGGATCTTAGTACTTTTCCTCGGCTTTGTTGTGACGAGATTTCCAGGGGGTTACTGAGATTTCCAGGGGGTTACTGACTTTTCATCTTTTCCTTTGCCATGCTGAGGATCCAGCCCTGGACTTCCTGCATGCTAGGCAAGGGCTTTATTACAAGCTACACTCTCAGCCTCTCAATTTCTGATTAAGAAGAGCCTTGACTTCTTTTTCAAATATGAAAAGTTCTTTGATAATGTGAGAGGAAAATATAGCCACGAATTTAATGCTATGTTATTGACAGTGTAGTGGCACATGTCTTTAGTCCCAGCATTTGGAAGGCAGAGGCGGGTGGATCTCTGTAAATTCCAGACCATCTAGGGCCGCACTGTGAGACCTTTTCTCAAAAACAAAAACAAAAAGAAAGAAAGAAAGAAAATCGGTGGTGGCAAAGTTCACCTTTAATCCTAGCACTCGGGAGGCAGAGGTAGGCGGTCTCTGAGTTTGAGGCCAGCCTGGTCTACAGATCAAGTTCTAGGATAGCCAGGGTTACACAGAGAAACCTTGTCTCAGAGAAAAGAAAGAGGAAAAACCCAAAAGGAGTTTACTGTTACTGTATTGTAAGGCCGAGGGCAGTCTGTAGGGTGAAAGTGCTTGCTCTGTGCCAGACTGAGTTAGATTGCTAACCCTGGGTGGAAGGAGAGAACTGATTCCTGAAAGTTGTCCTCTGACCTCCACACACGTTATGCCCCCCTCCGCCCCCACCTCTTTCTGGCCTGTGGGTGATTCAGTGGTAGAACACTTGTCTAACATTCATTAGCCCCTAGGTGTCATCCTTAGCACCTCTCCTACAGGATGTTGTAGGGCTGAGGTCATGGCTCAGCAATAGAATGTGTGTCTGACATGTACGAGGCCTTGTGTTTGATCCCCAGCACCACAGAAGCAAACCCAACAAATAGAGAGGGGGATGGAGAACACAGGCAGTAGCAACAAACTTTTGGAAGCCTGAAAGTGACAATAAGAGATACAGATTTGCAGGGCGGTGGTGGCCCATGACTTTAATCCCAGCACTGGGGAGGCAGAGGCAGGTGGATCTCTGTGAGTTCGAGGCCAGCTTGGTCTACAGAGCGAGATCCAGGACAGGCGCCAAAGCTACACAGAGAAACCCTGTCTCAAACAACAAACAGAAGAAGAAATGAGAGATGCAGATTTTTGAACACCAAGGAAGTGAGTCCTAATCCATCAGCTGGGAAACTCAGGAACCATCCTGAGGTTCTCTGCAGAATCTTTGAGAGGTGTAGTTGATGGTGTCAGTTAACATGGAAGTGAGGATGACTGGGTTAAGGAGAATTTGAACCCTAGGTTTAGATGCTGTCAGATTCCCAGATTTTCTACTCTGAAAAGAAACTAAAGTTTTCCCTCTGGTGACCATAAAACCCGGTACTGTGGACCCAGTGCTGTGACCACTCGTCCAAGGTCAGTCTCTAAGGAAACTGTCAACAGAGTCATTGGAGAAACGTTCCCCCATTGGATGGACATTTCTAGATCAGAGGACTCAGCACAATGGATAAAATAGACTCACAACAAAGCATATTACTATGAAATTTCAGAATCTTAAAAAAAAGATCTAGAAGCTTCTAGAAAGAAAAACCAGGTGTCCTCCAAAAGATCAGTCAGAGTTGGCATTCCTATAATCCCAACACAGGAGGACTGGAGTTGGAGGCCAGCCTAGGTGCACAGTGAGACCCTGTCTGAACACAACAAAAGTGTTTTGATGCCTTCATAGCCACAGCTAAAGGTTAGTATTCAGTGGAGAAGTCCAGTAGCTTCAGGACTCTGAAGGGAATGATTTCAGTATAGAATTCAGGGTCTTGACAAACTTGAATATGATGCCAGAACCTTCTCACACTGCACGAACTCTCTGAACTGAAGGGTGTGCTTTGCACAGACACTGTGGTACACTTGGTGGGAATTTACACCCTGTAGATGGTCACCTGCCAGACTGGAGTAAGACAGAAACTTCAGAGACTCCTTCAGGAGAAGGGACAGAATTTTCTGGAATGAAGACACACAACTAAGAGTTTGAGTCGAATGATGAATAAGATTAGGTAAAACAAGGCAAACAGGCGATTGTGGAAAGGGCAGGTATTAACTCCAGGGAAGCAGTGCTGGGCGGGATGAGGAGCACAGGCTGTTAAATGGAGGGTACTACTATTTGTGCACAGTGGGAACACTGACCACCCCAGCTGGCGCCTCTTATAAAACTGAGGACTGCTGTTGGTGGGATGGAGAGTGTATGTGTGTGTGCGGGGGGTGGGGGGTGGGTGGGTGGGGGGGTCAGAGGATGGCGGCCAAGAGTCCCAGTGTGAGGAAGCCTCCATATTTAGAGTTATGGAGGTGACTGCTGAGGTGCCGGCTAGGCTCAGGCGTGGGGGCCGGACCTAGAACTCGTGGGTTGTGTGCCTATGTAAAAGTAAAACCAAGAACACCTAGAATAGCCAGAGCAGGACCAGGTGTGGTGCACACCTTTGCTCCCAGCACTTGGTGGGCAGGCAACTCTCTGAGTTCAAGGCCAGCCTGATGTATGTAGTGAGTTCCAGGACAGCTAGGGCTATGAAGAGAGACCCTGTCTCAAGAAAACTAAACCAAACCAACAAACAAAAGAACACTCCCAAAAATATCAAAGCAAGAAATAGTTTATGTACAAGTTTGGATGCTGTTGTCTTCGTTGCCAAGAGAATTAGAGCAGGACTTTAAGCATGAAAGAAAAAGCAGGGGCCAGCAGGATCCCTCAGTGGGGAAACCACTTGCAGTAAGACCTGATGGCCAAGCCCAGGACCCAGCACCCACTCAGGGAACTCCTGCAGGTGGTTCCCAATTTCCACACTCGTAAACGCCCTTCTCCAAAATAAAAGTGGAAATAAAGGCTTTGTTCTGTGTCTCTGCACCCTTGACTCGTTACTTACTTGGGCTTCCTTTGAAGTACCCCCAAAACAACCCCCCACCCCGACTTCAAACTTAATTGCCTCATGGACCTGCAGCCTGATCACATGAACTTTGCAGTCTACTGCTCAGGAGCAGGTTTTCCCAGGTTTCAGAGAATATTCACAAACTGCCTGAAGCAAGAGACTGCAACTGTGCTAACTCAGATGTGGAAGGCTGTGGGCATGTTGGTGTCCCTTTATAGACCTGTTTGGTTTCAGTTTGGGTTTGAGAACACAGGTGCTGTGGCCATTGGCTCTGCTTGAGGCAGAGACTTCTGTCTTGAATGGGCCTGTCGATGCCGCCCTTGAAGTACAGCAGTATTAGTACACAATGTTGTGCTTTCCATACCAATCCTATGGGGTGAGTGCTGTTCACTGCGTCAGGTAGATAAACGAGGTTAGAGCTGACACGTTTGACTTGGTTTCCTCAGCCAGTGAGAGCAGAGCTGGGACTGTTCTGTCAGAATGGCGTGTGTACTGTGTTCTCCCCGGGAGGTCAGTGTGACAGTGGGAAGGGAGAGCATGCAGGGCACATAGTCCTTAGATTTGGACTCTTCTTTTTTCCACAAACCTAGTTCGTCTCTCTCTCTCTCTCTCTCTCAGTCTTATCCATAGTTCTTAAATTTACTTCATCTTAAATCACAAATCAACACTTTTAGTTTTGATTAGTTCTAGATCTCTGCCTAACTAAAATAATTGTCCATTTCCTGGGATCATATTCAGGTTTTTGTTTTCAGAATTTTTGAGGTATAGTTTACATGTGAAAAAAGTACCATCATTCATTCATTTATTTGAGACAGGCTCTCTTTATGTAGAGTAGGCAGGCAGGCAGGCAGGCCTTGAATTCACAGAGATTCTCCTGCCTCCTGCTGTGATTAAAGGCATGTGCTACCGTGTCTGGATTGTACTGTCTTTTTAGAAGAAATTTACTTGTTCTGTTAGAGTATATCTTGGTCTTGAAAATGTCCACCTCAGTGCTCCCTCTCATTCCTCAAGTACCCCAATACAGTCCCCTCTCACATTCATGCTCATTTAAAAAATTTTTTTTCTATTTCATGTGTATGTGTTAGTGCATGTATGTATGAATGTATGTACGTGCATGCTTATGTGTTCCTGGTGTCTGCAGAGGCCAGAAGAGGGTGTTAGATCCCCTGGAACTGGAGTTAGAGGTGTTTGAGTTGCCATGTGGGTACTGGGAATTGAACTTCAGACGTCTGCAAGAGCAGCAAGTGCTCGTAAACACTGAGCCATCTCTCCAGCCCCCGCCCCCCTGCTTTCAAAATACATTTACTTATTTAAAGTGTGTATATATGTATGCATGAGTGTACTTTTGTGTACCCATGCCTCATTGTGTGTGTGTGGAGGTTGTGGAAGTCCATTTTCTCCTTTACCGTATGGGTCCTCAGGTTTGGTATTTGGTCCAGTTAGTGCTGCCTACGTGCACGTGGCTGTGGGGCCACATGCTGGAACTGGGGCAGCCTACCAGTGGTCACATCCCTTAAGAACAATGCTCCCCCTCCCTTAGCAGCCATCAACCAGGGGTGACATTTGGGGTATTTCTGAAAGGATACTTTCTGTCTAGAGATTTTTGGATTTTTGCCTTGCTTACATTTGAGAAAGGTATGTTGACTGGATTAAAATAGTGCATCTAAACCATGGAGATTTGACAGTGTCTGGAGACTTGATTGTCATAACTGGGGCAGGAGGAGAATCGGCTACTACTGGCTGCAACTAGTGGGTAGAGCTGAGAAATACTGCCAAATCCCCGTACTGCACAGAGGCAGCGTCCTCTGACAAGTAATTATCCAGCCCCAGCTGTCAGGAATGTGGCCATTGTGCTGTGTGCACACTCTGCGTGCACACCCTCGTTGTTTGTGGTCTGACTGATGACATTTGCTGTTGGCTTTGGTCTTCACAGGTTTCCGAGACACTAAAGCGTTTTGCCGTGAAGGTAACTACAGCTAGTGTGAAGGAGCGGAGAGAGATTCTCAGTGAGCTGGGGAGATGCATTGCTGGAAAAGGTGTGTATCTGCCTCCACCTGCGGTACTGAATTTCAGTTGTACTCTCTCATCTCTTCTTCTTCCCCCTTTAAGATTTCTGCCTTCATGCTTTTTTTTTTTTTAAATAATGTGCTTCAAAACAGTTGAAACCGTAGGGTTAGTGTGGATAGGTGCCGAGGTTATTTATGGTTTTAACTATATTGATTTCAAATGTTTCTGAAAGATACACCAATCTTGCCGGGCAGAGGTGGTGGCACATGCCTTTAACCTCAGCATTCAGGAGGCAGAGGCAGGTGGATCTCTGAGTCTGAGACCAGTCTAGTCTTCAGAGTGAGTTCCAGGACAGCCAGGGCTGCGACACAGAGAAATCGTGTCTCAAAAAACTGAAAAACAACAACAAAAAAACCCCACTAGTCTTTCTTGAGCATTACACTGGGCACACAGACATTTTTCTTTTGATCCAAGACACTTCTTTGTATGTCCACAGAAGTAAGAAAATGGTAGCAGGTGGTTGGCCAGTTAAGGACCCTAAGATCCGTTAAACTTGAGAGATCCATTGCCAGGCAGAGCCATGCGGATCTCTATGAGTTCGAGGCCAGCCTGTCTGCAGAGCGAGATCCAGGACAGGCACCAAAACTACACAGAGAAACCCTGTCTCGAAAAACCAAAAAAAAAAGGATTGAGAGATCCATGTTGTCTAAAGCTCTCTGAGAACATTTACTACATGTGTTTGAATTTTACTCAACTTTCTGTGTGTGTGTGTTTGAGAAAAGGGTCCATATAATGGCCTTGAACTGCCATTCACCTTTCTTAGCACTTGGTACTGGATTACAGGTGTGCACTATCACCGAATTTAAACAAACGAGCTGACTGGCCAGCCGGCCTTCCATCCCTCCTTTCCTCCCAATCAGGGTCTCGCTGGATGGAGCCAGCTGGCTTTAGCTCACGACTCTTCTCTTGCTCCATCCTCCCGGGTGCTGAGATTACAGGTGTGAGCTATCACACCTGGCTTTTCCTCTCACCATCTCACTTGCTGCTTCGAACCTGCTGTTGCCTGGGGGACAGCCAAGCTTGTGAAAGCTGGAAGTGGAGTTAGTTGCTGAGCTTCTGAGCTGTCCTCCTGTGTGTTAGGGCTGTGGTGTCTAATTTTGTGCTTCCTTGGAGGTCATCCATGGTCCTTTATCAGCAAGGCTCTCGTTAGTGAAGACACCAAATGTGTACGTGTATGGAGCCGTAATGGTTGAATTTCCCTGCACAGGAACTGCCAGATACTACGTCCTGCTCCCCCACTTTATGGAGCAGGTTTGACTTGTATGTCTTGAGTGTGTGAAGCACTCTGAATCTTTTGAAGGTGATTGTGCTTTTCTGGCACCCTGCAGTCCTGTAGTTGGGAGTGAGTTGTAAAGTGCTGGGGTGTGAGAGTGCAGCCAGCCTCCGGTACTGGAGCTGTCGTTCTGCGTTCTCTAACACTCGGAGCCCAGGGTGATCGTGAAGCTAGTGATGTCTCTAGGATCAGTGTGAGGGGTACATGAAAACATTTGCAGGTGTTCAACGCAGTGTGTGGCAGTGGCACACTGCAGCTTATGTTTCCTGTCATCATTACTGCTCTGTCGGCCTGCCCCGGCTCTGTTACTGCTTTCCTTAGAGCCTACAGGGGCTGGCTCTCTCTACCACGTTTGCTTCCTCTCTGTCATCTGGGCGCCTGAATGGGAAACGCCGAGAAAGCTTCCCAGGCTTGATGTTCCCAGTCCAGTGTCTCTGTTGACGGCATGCTCTGGACTGACAGGTAGTGCTTGTCCCATTGACTCTCCAGCACGCAAGGCACCTTGTTCAGCCCAGGCACCCCTCTGGCTGGCCTCTGTGGGTTTCTGTTGTTCACTTTCTTCTTTGTAAGGTGGGTTTCACAGCAGGGCCCGCCTTGTGGGGATGGCATGTGTTAATGTATGGGAAGCGCTTAGAACAGCACTGAGTGCCAGGTGCTCTCAGTCCACCCTTCTTCTTACCGTCTTTCTTGTTGTTAATCCCGTTCAGCACCTGCCTCCCTCTGCATTTCCTGTAGTTGACTAATCCCTCGGCAAGTTAGACTTTCAGAAACTGCCTAGTTACAGATGCTTTTCCCTTGCTGGCTCCTCATGGTACCTTGAACTCACTATGTAGACCAGGCTGGCCTCGAACTCACAGAAGTCAACCTGCCTCTGCCTCCCTGAGTGCTGTGATTAAAGGCATGCATCACCATGCCCAGCTTATGGTACTTTAATTTTTCACTTTAATTTTTTTTTTAATTATTATTTTGTGTGAGCCCTGTGTGTTTTGTTTTGTTTTGTTATTGAGACAGGGTTTTTGTGTTGCCCAGGCTGGCCTCAAATTTCTGGGATCAAGCGATCCTCCTACTCAGTCTCCTGAGTAGCTGGGAGGTACTACAGGCATGTGCCACCACACCTGGTTTAGCTTTCTGTCGGTCTGTCTACTTATTTATTTTTGAGACAGAGTCTTACCCTGTAGCTGGTGGACCTGGAACTTTGCTATGTAGATCAGGCTGGCCTTGAACTCACAGAGATCCTCTTGCTGCTGCTGGGATTAAAGGCACGTGTCGCCACATCTGGCCTTTCTGCTGATGTTTAGACCACTTATTAGACTGTGCATGAGCAGATACCTGCCAAGAGATCATAAACGAAACAGCACAGGGTGAAGCCGATGCTCATGTCAGGAAGCGGAGCAGCTGTAACTGCTGACCCTCTGCTCTGCAGAGACAGGAAAAGTATCGAGGTCTGTGTTTGCTTCTTCAGTGTCGTTGCTTTATCAAGTGGCCATGCTACTCTGAGCTTTGCTGGACCGTGTGTTTTGATACTGTTTTTTCTCCTTGGGATTTTACCTCAAAGATTCGGGGGCTTACTGGGGTGTCTGACAGAAGGCCCAGTGTAAGCAGAAGCTCACACTGTGCATGTTGCTGAGTTTCTGTGTAAACTTTGCTTTCAGATCTGCCAGAGGGAGCAGTAAAGGGGCTCTGCAAGTTATTCTGCCTGACTCTGCATCGGTACAGGTGAGTCCCACCAGAGCCCCAGTGTCGAGAGTGTGTCTGTCCTACAGGGAGAGGGGTGGGTAGTGGGTAGAGCCCAGCTGTTAGAACCAGACTTCTTAGATCTAACTACTGGATCCTGGGCAAGTTACTTCACCTCTCTATGCCTCAGTTTCCTCACTGCAGAATGGAGATGGTGCCACTATATACCTCATGGGTGGTCGTTAGTGTGAAGTCCTGGACGGTGCCTACCTCCGTGATGCTCAGCATATGTATGCAGTCATTAGTTGTGCCTAGTTTGAAGTCATGGGGCGTATACCATTCTGCCCTTCTTGTCATCCTCTGCTCTTACCAGCTACTTTTAGAACTCCAGGGCACGGTGATTTATCTAGTTTATTTCCATCACCCAGGATGCACTGGAGTCGAGTACTGTCAGTTTCCCCCGTGAGGCCGGTGCTTGGCGTAGGCAGTCCTGCCTGTGCTGAGGTCACCCGTCGTTTACCTCCCCGTTCCTTCCTGCTCTAGAGATGCAGCCTCTCGCAGAGCTCTGCAGGCGGCCATCCAGCAGCTGGCTGAGGCCCAGCCAGAGGCCACCGCTAAGAACCTCCTGAACTCTCTTCAGTCCTCGGGTGTCGGCTCCAAAGCAGGTGTTCCAAGGTAAGAGCCGAAGGCCATGGGCCTCCAGGGATTTGTGGAGTTCTGCTCAGGTAGGCTTGTGCAAATGAGCAGGTGTGAGCACAGAATCTGGCTCTTACCTTTTACACTCTGAATGCTACTGAGAGCGTGTCTGTGTGGAGAGAGGAACCAGGTTAGTAGAGAAAATGGCTTTCCCTGAGGAGCAGGGCTGGGAGTCAGTGGGCCCAAGGCACTGGATGGGTAAAGCCAGATTCATTCATTCAATCATTCATTCATTCATTCATTCATTCATTCTTTAAAAAGTTATGTGTATGAGTGTTTTGCCTGCTTGTATGTCTGTGCACCATGTGCATGCCTGGTACCCAAAGACACCAGAGGAGGGTGTCAGGTCCCTTGGAACAGACAATTGGGAACTGCCATGGGTGTGGCAGCCCGTTTTCAGGTTCCTCGTGGCTTTACCCAGCAGGTCTGCATAGAGGATGATTAGGACCACGGGCCTGAGTGCAGGTGTCTGAGATGGTCTGCACTTGGCTGTGCTGGGGGAGGAGGTCTTTTGCTCCGCCCCTTGGCGTCTCTATAAAAACCCTGGGGCAGAGACAGTCGGGGCCTGTTGGAAAAGGTTCCAGGCCCTCTCGAGGCTATCCTTTCCTTTCTTTTCTTTTCTTTTCTTTTTTTTTTTTTTTTTTTTTTTTTTTTTTGGTTTTTCGAGACAGGGTTTCTCTGTGTAGCTTTGCGCCTTTCCTGGGACTCACTTGGTAGCCCAGGCTGGCCTTGAACTCACAGAGATCCACCTGGCTCTGCCTATCCTTTATTTTCTATCTGTTTATCTCTGCAAAATTCTCCGCAATAAATCCTTCTATCTAATATTTCCTGCTGCTTGCACTCAAGAAAACTCTGGGGGCCGGGCGGTGGTGGCGCACGCCTTTAATCCCAGCACTCGGGAGGCAGAGCCAGGCGGATCTCTGTGAGTTCGAGGCCAGCCTGGGCTACCAAGTGAGTTCCAGGAGAGGCGCAAAGCTACACAGAGAAACCCTGTCTCGAAAAAAACCAAAAAAAAAAAAAAAAAAAAAAAAAAAAAAGAAAACTCTGGGGAACTGTGGGGGTGGTGGGTAAACACCCCACACATGGGGTTGCTGGGAGAATTACCAGGTCCTTTGGGAGGACAAGCAGCGCTCTTAACATCTGAGCCTTCTCCAACCTCATCTTGTTTTTATTGTTGCAAATGTCAAGTGATGAAATGTTGGCCAGTGAGGCCTGGACTCTTGCCGTGACTTGTCCCTGATGCTGTTGGGGAACAAATTTCTGAACTGTTAAGTCCAGGGAGGGTCGTGTGCTCTGCCAGCCTCAGGTGTGCCTTTGTCTCTCCCCTCTCCTCTGCAGCAAGAGCAGCGGCTCGGCCGCCCTGCTGGCTCTGACCTGGACCTGCCTGCTGGTCCGCGTTGTCTTTCCCCTGAAAGCCAAGCGGCGAGGAGACACCTGGAGCAAGCTGGTAGGTTCCCTTGTCTTTGGAGCCATGAGGGTCAGCTGTACGCAGTTGTGTGAAGTTTAGGCATCTCTTGCATGCCACGTGCTCTCCCAGGTTGAAGTGGTCCAGCGGTGTGTGTTTGGTGGTGGTGTAAATCAGCAGGAGTCACATGTCTGTTCGCTAATGTTCCTGGGCTTCTCTGGGTCAGGCATGATGCTAGGCATTGGGTGCAGTGATGGGTAAGACGTGCGGGCCATAACTAAAAAGAGGGATGCCAGAAGATACAGGAATGCAGATGAGTAATGTAGATCATGCCATTTTCTGACCGTTGTCTTGGCCATCTAACTCCCTTCTCTCTTTCTACGCCTGCTCCTTGTACAGTTTGTTTCTTCTTCCCACCTGTCTGCACTCCAGAGATGGCCTGGCAGGCCGGGCTGGGAGGTTCTCGTGGATGTCTAGGTAGGCTGAGTGTAGGTCAGGGGAGTGGTTGATGGTTCTGGAGGAGTCTTGAGGGTGGTGCTGTGGATCTAATTTTTGGCCATGAGATTCGACAGAGCCACTTCCCTCCCTCCCTTAGAGAGTGTTTTAGAGAGATTTGCAATGGCTGTAGACACTGTAGAGTGCAGTGCATGTAGATGTAATGACTAGCAGCATGGGAAAGCTGAAGTCCTCTCAAGGTGAAGCAGCCAGGCAGGCAGACAGATGGCCTTGTGCTGAGTTTCTTACCCAGCACACTTGGGACAGCTGTGGAGGAGCCTCCAGCAGTGGGTTAGTGGTGAATTAGAGCACGGACACTTGCGGTAGTCCTTGTGCTGGAGCTGGTGTGCGTTTGACTCTGGAGCCCTCCACAGGGTGTGGGCTTCGTTGTTAGTGAACGGCTTTCTACTAAGGTGGTTACCAGCGGGCGAGGTCTCTGCCCTATCCCCATTGAGTTCCTAGAGCTGTCACCTGTGCTGTCAGTCAGCTTGGTGAGTGTCGTTATAGGACAGAGTGCAGCAGGAGCGTGTGACCTGTTGCAGTGACTAGAGTCTGGGCTTTTCCTGTGCGGATTCTGTTGTCATTATATACATAATTCAGCCGTTTACTGGCTGGCACTGCTAAAAGCCGGGGCTGCTGTGAGTAAAGCTGAGGCCTTTTGCATCTGTGGAGCCTGTGCGCTGTTGAGGAAGATGGAGATACAGTGTAGAGTCCGGGGCAGTGCTAAAGGAAGCAGGGGAGGGGACTCTTGAGCAAGGGCTGGAACATCCCAGAGGGGGAACCCTGATACAATCCTCAAGGTGATACCGGCAAGCTTGTTTAATTATAGACACCTTCAACAAGTATAGAAGGATATGCTATTAGCACAGTAGATAAGGGTATAATCGTGTAGAAGGATGTAACTGTCTCTAGCCACTGTGGTCCCTTGTGTTACTAGTTTTTGTGACTATTGAAATGTTTTCTGTGGATCTGACAATTTCTGGTGCCAGTGCTGGAGATTTAACCAGGGCCTTGACTGGCCTGGAACTCACAGAGATCCACCTGCCTCTTCCTCTTGAGTGCTGGGATTAAAGGTGTGTGCTCAGTCACCTTACTTCATACAGTACTGACCACAGTGTCTGCTGGTTAGTTATTGTTCGTTAAGTATCTGTGGTCTTTTATTTTTTTTAAGATTTTTTTCCTGCTGAGTGATGGTAGTGCATACCTTTAATCTCAGCACTGGGGAAGCAGAGGCAGGCGGATCTCTCTGAGTTTAAAACCAGCCTGGTCTACAGAGCTAGTTCTAGGACAGCCAAGGCTACCAAAGAAACCTTGTCTCAACACCCCCCACTCCCCAAAAAAGGTATTCTTTTGTTGTTTTTGAGACAGCGTCTCATTGTGTAGCTTTATCTGTCCTCAAACTCACTGTGTAGAACAGACTGACCTGGAATTCACTAAGATCTGGTGCCTCTGCCTCCTGAGTCCTGGAATCAAAGGTGTCCTGTAGGATTTGGTCCTTAATGAAGACAAGTCTAGGCAGATAAGTACATTAACTAGGATCTCTTGTTCTGTTCCTGAATGGTAGCGGTCTTACTGACGAATGTTTATTGTGTCTTTTAAAAATTTTTTTGTTATTGGGGGTGAACTTGAGGCTTCGTGCATGCTGTGTTCTGAGCTACATCCCCATCTGTGTCTTTATTCAATAGTTTTCTCTCCCTGAGCTATAAGGTACAAAAATGCACCTTCTTCTCCTTGTGTATCCTTTGGCTCATAGGAGGTGTTTAACAAATATTTATTAAATAAATACATGAATGAAGGGTACTAGGTAAAAGACAGGATTTAGGGGGCTGGAGAGATGGCTCAGCTCTTGGGGAAGACTCAGGTTTGATTCCCAGCACCCACAACTCTCTGTAACCCCAGTTCCAGGGAATCTGATAGCCTTTTCTGACCTCCAAGGATACTGTACATTTGTGATGTACAGACATACAGACAGACAAACAACCCTTTTAGAGAAGGGGCAGATTTAGGACAAGGGGTTGGTAGAAGAGGTTTGGGTTCCAGTGGGGTGGAGATGCAGCTGGGATCTGGAGGGCCTGATGGATGTCTGTGGCAGACCATGAGGGTCGTAGGAGACTTCTGAGTCATAGGATGCTTCGAAGTCATAGCCTGACTCCAGCGTTCCCTTGCCCTGGCAGGTGGAGGTGCAGTGTCTGCTGCTGCTGGAGGTGCTGGGGGGCTCCCACAAGCACGCTGTGGATGGCGCGATGAAGAAGCTCACTAAACTGTGGAAGGAGGTGAGTGGAGCTGGTGGGAGGTAGGAGGCGTACCTTTTCTGTACCTCTGCTGCCCGTCTGACTCACCGCCTTCTACTTCCTCCTCAGAACCCTGGGCTGGTGGAGCAGTACTTTTCAGCCATCCTTAGCTTAGAACCCAACCAGAACTACGCTGGCATGCTGGGGCTGCTGGTGCAGTTCTGCACGGATCACAAAGAGACGGACGTGGTCAGTCAGCATAAGGCAAGTGCCCAGCGTGCTGAGAGTGGGTTTGCTGCATCAGGGTCTGGAGGGAAGGAGCGGAAACCTGCTTTGTCCTCGTGGCTGTAGCCTGTGTGGCTCCTGGTGTAGTCACTGGGGTGAGACTTTACTGTTTACCTCTGTGGGCAGCTCCCATGCACCAAGCAGTGTGCCAGGAGTTGGGGATGCAGCGGTGAGCAGAAGATGTGATCTTTGTGAGACTGAATCAGAGGACTCTGACATGAGACAGATTGTCACCTAGTTAATTGTATCTGATAAGTGTGACAAAGGAAATATGCAAGATGGGTATCTGACTTGGATTGTGGGTCCGGGAATGTGTCCCTGTAATGAAGGAACTTAGTGGGTAAAGTGAAGTTGGCTAGTAAGGAGGGGCAGAACATTTTGGGCAGAGAGCAAGTAGGAAGGAGCATGGAGAAGGCAAGTGGGGTTCATCTTGGGGGTGGGTGAGAGCTTTCAGAGACCTCCAGCTGTGAGCAGGCAGGGCCACCCTGCCAAGGTCTTTGAACTTTGACCCGGGAGCCATGGAAAAGACTGCTCCTCGCCTTTCAGTGGCGAGCAGGGGAGGGTGGAAGGCCATGGGAAGTGGGTCCACTGCTTGATGCTGAAGTTTTGGGACCTCGTGTCCTGTAGAGCGCCCTGCTGGATTTCTACGTGAAGAACATTCTCATGTGCAAAGTGAAGCCTCCGAAGTATTTGTTGGTGAGTGGATTGCACACCTGCCGCCCAGACAGTATCAAATCCTCGTTTAAATTCTGCACACCACCTGCTCTTTACTCTCACTCTTTCCCGGGAGGCCCGGGTGCTTGACTCTTTGTCTTCGCAGGACAACTGTGCCCCCTTGCTCCGGTTCATGTCCCACTCGGAGTTTAAGGATCTGATTCTGCCCACCATTCAAAAGTCCTTGCTGAGGAGCCCGGAGAATGTTATTGAAAGTAGGTTCCTGCTGAGCAGGTGGGCGGGAGGGGATGTGCTGCCTGAGCAACTCTGTTCCTGTTGGCTTGGCAGTGGGAGCATCCTGTGTTCTGAGTGTGAGATGTGTTCACCGTCACCTGGTGAGAGCCGTGGGCAAGATAGGAACCATTACCAGAATATGTTGAAAGTCATGGGCTTTCTTTTCAAATTTATTTGTGTGTGCGTGCATGCCTGACCGAGTGCGTGTTCCCACAGAATCTAGAAGAGGGCATCAGCCCCCTGGAAACTAGAGTTCCAGGCAGTTGTGAGCTGGCTGATGCTGGTCTTGGAAAAGCAACTGGTGCTCTTAGTGCTGAGCCATTACTCCAGCCCTATCAGGCGCTGTTAGAAGACTATGGGAAGTATCCACTTAGAATACTGACTATATTGTGGAGGCTGGAGACTGTTGAGATTCAGAGCCTTTTCTCGAGACAGTTTGGACTGATTTGGTGTGAAGAGCAGAACTTTGGCTCAAGGGGGTGACGACCTTGTGGCCTTGGGGAAGTGAAGGGTGGTCATGTCACTGTGGCGCTAACCAGCAGACTCCGGGCGGTGTTTGCTGGGGAGTGGGGCAGAGTGGGCCCTGGCACTGGCACTGAGGAGCACTGCTTTCTGTCCCCTTAGCCATCTCCAGTCTGCTGGCATCAGTGACACTTGATCTCAGCCAGTATGCCCTGGACATCGTGAAAGGCTTGGCTAGTGAGTAGGCTGACCCCTCTGCGGCCCCTTGATGCCCCTTGAGTTATGTCGTATTCGGTAGTTTGGGTTGAAAAGGGGGTGGGGCACATCTTATGTTAGAAATAGGCTTTAGTGTCAAGAAGACAACTCCTTGGTTAAAGGTGGTTTCTGACGCGTGTGCCAGCTCAAGTGCAGTCCTGGAAACCACATGATCAAAGGAGAGAACCTACTCCCACACACTGTTCTCTGACCTGTACGTGCGTGCTGTGGCACCCACCCTCCCCCAGACATAACTAAATAAATGTTAAACATGAAAAAAGAAAAATAAGGCTTTAACCACCAGCAGGGGGAGGGGTTTCTTTGCTGAGATTGTTGATGAGGAGGTTGGCGAGCTGGGACTGGAGTCTGCATGCTCAGCTGCTGCAGCCTCTGAGCGGTGGCTCTGTGTGTCCAGATCAGCTGAAATCCAACAGCCCCCGCCTGATGGATGAGGCTGTGCTGGCCGTGCGAAACCTGGCCCGCCAGTGCAGCGACTCCTCCGCCATTGAGGCCCTGGCCAGGCACCTGTTCGCAATCCTTGGAGGTGAGCAGGCCTTCCCGACCCCGCAGGTGACACACGGCAGGTGACACACAGCAGATGTGCCCCTAGCCTTGGCACCGGGATGTGGAGGGAACTTGACCGAGTCTACTCCGGGAGAAGCTGTTGATGGAGCACACCCATGACTGTAGAGGTGGTTCTAAGAGTGTGCTTTTGTGTGCACGGGAGAAAGGAACGACAGACACGAGGATGTTAATGGTGCCTTTGAGTGGTGGGAACATAGTGATAGAGCTCGTTTTTCTCTTTGTATTTTCTGTCTCTCATATTTCCTGTAAGAATGTCGTGCTTTTGTTTGGTTTTTTGAGACAGAGTTTTTCTCTGTTGCCCTGGCTGTCCTGAAACTCACTCTGTGGACCAGACTGGCCTCTAACTCACAGAGATCCGCCTGCCTCTGCCTCCCGAGTGCTGGGATTAAAGGCGTGCGCCACCACCGCCTACCTGAGAAAATAATACTTTTAGTCAGAAAACAAATGTCTTCAAAGGCTGTTTTAAACCCAGCTCACACCAGAAAGGCTGCTTCGGGAGTCTACATGTGTGTCATGAAGTGAGGCCAACATGAATGAGCACTTTTGTTATTTCCTCACAGGCTCAGAAGGCAAGCTAACGGTTGTAGCCCAGAAGATGAGCGTCCTTTCAGGTAGAGACCACCCCGGGTTGTGGCAGTGTGCTGTGGTAATGGGGAGGTTTAATGTAATGTCAGGTAAGGAGAGTCCTTTGAACCCCGATGCCCAACAGTGTTGGCTGTGCCAGCTTGCCTCAGGACTCTGCTGCCAGCTGGGTGGCAGGACGCCTGGCTTCTGTAAAAGGAGAGGCTGAAGAAAGTTGAAGGACTGTCCATAACGGCCAGGGAAAAGCGTGGCTGCTGGGGCACCCAGCGGAGGTCCGTGGCCTGGAGTACCCTGGTGGCCGCGGCAGGAGGCTTGTCTGCTGTGGCTTTGTGCAGGGGAGGGGCCAACCAGAGAATCTGCTTTTCAGGGATTGGAAGCCTCAGTCATCACGTGGTATCTGGGCCTTCCAGTCAAGTCCTGAATGGGTCGGTGGCTGAGCTGTTCATCCCGTTCCTCCAGCAGGAAGGTAATTCCTTGTGGCCTGGGGAGCGTGCGGTTTGGACCCATTCTTGACCATGGTTTCTCAGCCAGCCTTCTAAAAGGCCTTCTGAAGGCTCACCTCCTGAGTTAGCGGGGCTGGGAGTGGTCTGAACTGTCCCTGCTCCCTCCCCTGGTTATAAGACATCAGACCGACTGGACTTGTGCCCCTTGCCCTAGTGCACGAAGGGACCTTGGTACACGCTGTCTCTGTCCTGGTGCTCTGGTGCAACCGCTTCACTACAGAAGTGCCCAAGAAGCTGACTGACTGGTTCAAGAAAGTTTTCAGCCTGAAAACCTCCACCTCCGCGGTGAGGCACGCCTACCTGCAGTGCATGCTGGCCTCCTTCCGAGGTAAGATGCCGGCCTCCATAGGAGGACCACTGAGCCCGTGGGCGGGCATGCTCACCGCTCGGGGCCTTCTCTTTGGCTTCACTGACTGGGCCTCACTGGCTCTGAGTCATTCTCCCAGTCTGCACAGTAGTGACTTCTTCCCTTGTTTGACAGTTGTTTGTTTGTTTTTATTTTGTTTTTTGGGTTTTCGAGATAGGGTTTCTCTAGTTTTGCGCGTTTCCTGGAACTCACTCGGTAGACCAGGCTGGCCTTGAACTCACAGAGATCCACCTGCCTCTGCCTCCTGAGTGCTGGGATTAAAAGCGTGCGCCACCATGTGTGGTTCCCTTGTTGGATTTTATTCAGAAAGGACCTACAACCTGTTGTTGTACTGGGATCATGAATTTAAAAGGTCAATGCTATGTAAACTTGATTGATTTTTGAACCCTTTAAAAAAATGGCCACTTTCATCTCTTCTTTGCTAAACACAGCTACTGACTTTGGCAGGGATGGCCGTCTCCATTCCAAACAGCCAGGGGAATCTCTCTACTAAAAATTTGATCTCTCTACTAAAACTCTCTTGATACTGACTCTTCCCTCTGATATAAGCTTGCATTTCTTTTAAATGATGTGTTGATTTTAAATTCATGAATTACTGTTTAAAGAAACGTCAAGAAGATCCCCGAGCCTTCGCTAGACAGAGGAAATGAACTTTGTGCCCACACATGTTAAGAGTAGGAACAAGAACCTGTCAGGAGACATGCTTGTCCCGAGTTGACAGGAACCATGCTTTACGAGAAACAGCACAGTTGGATCTTGTGACTCAGGCCTGTAATCCCAGCACTTGGGAGGTAGAGGCAGGAGTCCAGGTCATCTTTGGCTGCATACTGAATTTGAGGCCAGTCTGGAGTATGAGAGTAGTTACAAAAACCAAAATGAGTGTGTTTAGGTGTAGTTTTAACTTTTTTTTAAAAATTTATTTACTTAGAGATGGGGTTTCTCTACATATCCCTGACTATCCTAGAACGCACAGATATCACCTGCTGGGATTAAAGGTGTTCACTACCACACCTAGCTTATTTATTTATTTTTAGTGTTTTTTATTTCACAGGGTAGCATCTTGGCTAGAGGTTGTCTTGTATGGGAAGAACACTGGATTGGAGTTGCTAGGCATGACGTTAGCAGTGGTTCTTTGTCAACCAGCTGTTGACAACCCTGGACAGTTTACGTGGCCTCTCTGTTTCCTTATCCAGTGGAGGAGCAGCAGATGATCAGATTAATAGGATTCTGTTACCTTTAACTTTTATGGTTATAGAGTTTAAGTCCCAGACTCTCACTCCAGTTCTTTGAGATACTCAGAAAACCCCGGTGGATAATGTCTTAAGTAGTCCCATCACCCCTGCAGACCAGTATGTCTCTAAGATGCTTCTGTCTCCACAGGTGACACACTCCTGCAGGCTTTGGACTTTCTGCCCTTGCTTATGCAGACAGTAGAGAAGGCGGCCTCCCAGAACACTCAGGTTCCCACGGTCACTGAAGGGGTTTGCTGCAGCCTTGCTGCTCTCCAAGCTTTCTGTGGCTGACTCACAGGCCGGTAAGGGTTTGCATGCATCCAAGGTGCCAGGTGACAGCACTCTTTGCAGAGTCCTGGTCGAGTGTTGGATGTTCAGCATCAGCCTGTTCACTCCAGGGCTGCCTGTTACCTGTAGGGATGAGCTCAGGGTCACAACAGGAGTGCAGCCGGGCCTCTCACTCACTGTCTTTGGCCCTGTTACTTCAGTGCTCTGGGCTGGGCTTGTCTGTGATACTTGGACTGCTAGGTTGAGTATTAGGACTTAGGGTCTGTTGTTTGTTTTGTGTGTGTGAGTGTTTTGCCTGCATGTATGGTCACCACAAGTACTCAGTGCCACAGAGGTTAGAAGAGGGCGTCAGGCCGGGCGGTGGTGGCGCACGCCTTTAATCCCAGCACTTGGGAGGCAGAGCCAGGCGGATCTCTGTGAGTTCGAGGCCAGCCTGGGCTACCAAGTGAGTTCCAGGAAAGGTGCAAAGCTACACAGAGAAACCCTGTCTCGAAAAACCAAAAAAAAAAAAAAAAAAAAAAAAAAAAAAGAAGAGGGCGTCAGATTCCCTGTACCTGCAGTTATAGACAGTTGTGACCTGCCATGTAGGTGCTAGGAACCTGAGTCCTCAGAAGAGGAGCTAGTGCTCTTAACCACTGAGTCATTTCCTAGACTTTGTCTTAATTACTTACATATTCGTAGGATAGTCTAGTTCATTCTTACTGCTGTGATAAACACTCTGACCGAAAGCATCTTGGGGAGAAAGGTTTATTTCAGCTACAATTCCAGGTTGTACTCTGCCATTGTGGGAGAGCTAAGGCAGGAACTTCAAACAGCTGGTCACATCATCTCTACATGCTGGGTAACATACTGTGTATACCATCTCACTTGTCACCCGTGTGTGGAAATGATTAAAGACAGCCTTCCCATTCTCCTCTGCCTGCTGGGATTCTGCTCTGTCCTAGTCAGCTTGAGAAATCTAGCTGAGGATGGGAGATTTAGTGTGGCCCTTGGTCAGAGGTTCTAGTCACGTGGTGGGGCAGTTGTTTTTCTGCTGCCCATTGTGTTTGGATCTGTGGCAGGCAGGGAGTGTGTGGATGGGCAGAGCTGCTCCCCTCTTGCTGGCTGGGAAGCAAAGCAAAGACACAGGTCTCAGCATCTCTTTCCAGAGCATGCACCAGTGACTGACCTACTTCCCCCAAGCCCTGTCTCCTGTAGGTGTTGCCACCTGCCAGTGGTGCCATAAGCTGGGGGCCATATTTTTAGCATATGGACCTTTGGAGTGGGTGCCCAGCGTTAGCCTCTAGCGGCCTCCCCGTCTGCCTGTGCTCTCTCTCGCCTGACCTTGCTCCTGTATTGAGAACTAGGATTCGCTCTCTGCATGCTGTTACATCCACTGTATATGCCAAGGCCTTTGACTACCTTGGGTGGAGATAAACGTGATCACAACCTCACTTCAGCACAGTTCAGGGTGCGTGCTCTGGAGTGGGAGTACAGAGGTAGATGTGTGTCATTTGAAGGAGGGTTGGTTGGTTGTTTGAGGGATGAGTGTTGGGAAAGGGTTCACGAAGGAGGAAGCATTTGAATAGATCTCGGAGAGGCTGGAAGGAGAGCCTGGAAGGACGTGACTCTCATGAAGGAATGGCCACAGTTAGGGAAAGGCTGAAAGAGCTGCATTGTGTGAACCTCGGGTGTTTCGTCCCGGTTTTTGGGTAGTGGGAATTCCAGAGGAGAAGCCGCAGGCAGCAGAGAACCATATAGTTGTCCAGACTGCAGGTGAGGCCAGAAGGACTGACGTTTGGTTTCAGAATAGGAGAACAATGAGCTTAGGAATGGTCCTCCCAGAGTGTCTTTCACAGAGCCTGCCCAGTAGCTTCAGCTCAGTAGGGCCATGTGGGGAACATGGTGCCCTGGGTCATGGGTGACCTTTGGTTTCTTGCAGAAGCCAAACTGAACAACTTTTGGCAGCTGGTTGTGGATGAAAAGAAGCAGATTTTCACTTCTGAGAAGTTTCTGCTCCTGGCTTCAGAGGATGGTGAGTTTCTCGGTCTCTGACAGGTCTTTGGGGGGGACCTGTTCCTGAGCACCTGCTTGGCCAGCGCCTCTGTGAGCGCTCAGAACCATGATCTGACCAGCAGCTTGGCTGTTTCTGACTGAGTTTATTCCTGTGGGAGAGTCAGGCTCAGTAGGGAGGCAGACCTGGGCGGGCTGTAGAGACAGCCGTGGAGCTGTGACAGCAGCTGCAATTACAGCTGAGTGGGTAACTGGTACTGTCGGGGTTCCCCTACACGGAGTACCGGTGGAGTTGTGGCAGCTCTGCTCCCCCACCAGGCGACACAGAAACGACCGGTTTCCACCCTGGCAGGAAAGGAACAGTGATCTCCAAGTGTATGTGCAAAATTCTAGGTTGCCTCACAGGAGTCTGCTGCTAATTAGTGATTTGAAAAGCCTTTTGACTCACGAATCACAACATCCTATTAATGAGCTACAACTATTAGTCACTTTCTGGTTTAAATTTATTTTTAGTTAGCTTTTGATTAGGAATGACACTCACGTAGTTCAGAGACAAGGTGGGAGGGAATCTTCATTGAAAACTACCTCCTGCTCTGACCTCTGGCCACTCAGTCCTGCTAGCCACCGACAGCCAGTTTCATCTGCTGCTTCTGTATCCTTGGTAGTATCCATCCATCCCTTTTTTTTTTTTTTTTTTTGCGTGGGGGGTGGGGAGGGGTTCGAGACTGTGTAGCTTTGTGCCTTTCCTGGAACTCACTCTGTAGACCAGGCTGGCCTTGAACTCACAGAAATCCACCTGCCTCTGCCTCCTGAGTGCTGGGATTAAAGGCATGCGCCACCACTGCCCGCTAGTAACCCTTAACAGTTAAAATCAGTGTTTACCTTCTTTACTTCAAAATATGTATATGTATAATAGAGAAAAAGAAATAAAAATGAACTGTAGCTTTACATCTAGTGTTAATCACATTTACATTTTGCTGTTAATGTTTTAGTTCATTCCAGTCTTTTTGGGGTTGGGGAAGAATACATTTAGTTATTTAATTAATTTTCTCTGTGTGCGTGTGTGCATGCACACACGCGCCTCCCTAGAAGTTGGAGGCCGGCTTTCAGGAGTGGGTTCTCCTTCCACCATGTGGGTTCCGGGGATTGAATTCAAGTCATCATGTTTAGTGGCAAACTCCTTTACCCATGAGCCAGCTCACTGGTCCCACTTAGTTGTTTCAGAAAGACTTACACTGGCCAGGCAGTGGTGGCTCACACCTTTAATCCCACTTAAAGCTGGGAGTAGAGGCGGGTGGATCTGTGAGTTCGAGGCCAGTATGGTCTACAGAGCAAATTTCAGGACAGCCAGGGCTACACAGAAATCTTGTCTGGAAAAAGAGGCTTGCACTGTTTCTTTCCCTTACAGGCCTGTGTACTGTGCTGCATCTGACCGAGAGGCTTTTCCTTGACCACCCGAATAGACTCACTAACACCAAAGTTCAGTACGTGAGCCTCACTTCTCTTGGGCCAACAAAGCAGATGTTGGCCCAGCTTTGGGGAGTGGGTGTGAGGCAGGTTTGGCTGTGGGAAGCTCCATCCCCACCTCCTAGGCCCCCCGTGTCTGTGTTTGCAGGCAGTACTATCGGGTCCTGGTGGCGGTGCTCCTGAGCCGGACCTGGCATGTGCGCAGGCAGGCACAGCAGACCGTCCGGAAGCTGCTCTCCTCTCTCGGGGGCATTAAGCTGGCCAATGGCCTTTTGGAGGAGCTGAAGACTGTCCTCAGTTCTCACAAGGTGCGACTCTGGGCTCTGGGACTACTCAGTCAACGTGCTTCTGCCCTAGGGTTTTAGCGGGGCCACTCCTGGCATGTCCTCTCGCTCAGACTGGGTGATTCCACCAGGCCTCGGTAACATCTTTGCCTGTTAGAGACTTTCTTGCCCGTTTCCATACCTTTGATGTAGTTCGACCAAAATATTTTTGGATATTTTCTTTTTGATTGTTTTAAAACACTTAATTTTAAACACACACTTATTCTCAATTTTGCTCTTTTCACTGTATCTTTAAAGGCAAGGAAGGCTTATAGCCCCCCCTTTTTTTTTTAAGAGTCTGAAACAGTTTTAATAACACGTTTTGACGAAGGAGAGGTGGCCATGGCTACTATTCTAAAACACTTTTTAAAAAATTTTTATTCTTGGGCTGGAGAGATGGCTCAGAGGTTAAGAGCACTGACTGCTCTTCCAGAGGTCCTGAGTTCAGTTCCCAACAACCACATGGTGGCTCACAACCATCTGTAATGAGATCTGGTGCCCTCTTCTGGCCTGCAGTCATACATGCTGTATACATAATAAATCTTAAAAAATTTTTTTTTTATTCTTTACATACATTACGTCCTGATCACAATTTCTCTTACCTCCCCTCTTCCCAGTTCCCACTACCACTCTTCTCCCCTAGATTTACTTCTCCATTTCCCTTAAAAAAAAGAAAAGATAAGGAAGAGTAGACCTCCTAGGGATATCAACCGAACATGGCATAACAAATGCCATTAAAAAAACCAAAAAACACAAACCCTCATATCATGGCTGGACAAGGCGATCTATTGGGAGCAAAGGGGACCCGAGTGTAGGCAAGAGTCAGAGGTCCCCCCAACTCCTGCTGTCTGGTCCTCCAGGAGCACCAACTGGGCACCAGTAACCTATCTGTCGAGGCCCTTGCTTAGACCCACAGAGGGTTCTTGATTGTTTCGTCAGTGTCTGTGAGCTCCGGGGGCCTTGCCTGGTTGAGTCTGTGGGCGGTGTTCTCATGGTGTCCTGGACCCTTCGGCTTGCCTTCTTTTTTATCTAGCTCTCCAGTCTGTCTGGGTTCTATCAGGCAGCAGCAGGAAGAACCAGGAGTAGATGGTAGTGACCTGGACTGTTGAAGCGTTCTAGGTGCCAGGCTTTACCCTTTTTCCCTTAGCAGCGTGTGTGCCTGGTCTTCCCCTAGGTTGTTTTAGGTGGATGTCCTGGGTGTCTTTCCCACACCTGGGCACATCTCACAGCCTGTGGATTCCAGGGCAGGAAGCGAGGCATCGCTTGCACTCCAGCAGGAGAGGCTCAGTGGCTCTGCATGCTCTCTGTGTGCTGCCCTGCCTAGGGCTCTGTGGGGACTCACCTGTTCTCTCTCTAAAGGTGCTGCCCATGGAGGCTCTTGTGACAGATGCTGGGGAGGTGACTGAAATGGGCAAGACCTATGTGCCTCCACGGGTCCTGCAGGAAGCTCTGTGTGTCATCTCTGGGGTGCCAGGGCTCAAGGGTGACATCTCGAGCACTGAGCAGCTGGCCCAGGAGATGCTGATCATCTCTCATCACCCGTCCTTAGGTCTGTGGCTAGGGTAGGCATGGAGCGGTGGGCGGCTCTATGGGTAGGGTGGGCATGGAGCAGTGGGCGGCTCTTTGGGTAGGGTGATGGTGGTCCAGGCAGAAGCTTCAAGAAGCTTCTCTCCTTCAGTGGCGATGCAGTCTGCACTCTGGCCAGCGCTTCTCACCAGGATGAAGATTGACCCTGAAGCCTTCATCACCAGGCACCTGGATCAGATCATCCCCAGAATCACTACCCAGAGTCCCCTGAACCAGGTAATGGGTCCATGAGCTGGGTTTGTACTTCTGTCAGGGCCGGGGGACTCCTAGGGCACAAGAAGTGAGGGCTCACAGAAACAGGAAGAATGGTGACGTATATAGGCTTGGCCCCTTGATTGTAAGTGACAGAAATGCAGACTGTTGGAGCACAAAAAGGGCCTCATTTACGGACAGTGTTCAGGATGTGAGTAGCTTGGGATGTTGTTTCCAAGGCTCAGCTGGTGTCCTTAGGAGAGTAGAGGTGGTTTCTGTACTTCCTCCATCATGAAACCTATCGGTTCTCTGAGTCCTTTCTCTCTGTTCCAACACGGAAACTGCCTTCTCAAGTTTCTGGTAAGAAAGAGTTTCAGGCTCACACCTTGTCCTCCCACCAGCTCCAAATGGGAAAGCCCACAGTTTCCAGTACTGGCAGCTGGCATGGGGTCTCACTGCCCCAACTGACTAGGGGTTACATGCCTGCCTTTAGAAATGGTGGGGCAGCTGCCCTGGACCATTATCAGTGATAATGGCAGAGCCAGGGCTTGTCTAGTAAGGCAGGCTCAGACTACATTGAGCCGAGCTAGTTGGTGGGCATTACTCAAAGCACAAGGCAGAAAGGGGAGCCGATTGCAGGGGTCATTTGGGTGTGGCAGAACCCTATTCTGGTCATAGACTGACTGTGTCTGTTTGTCTGGCAGTCTTCCATGAACGCCATGGCCTCCCTTTCCATCCTGTCCCCTGACCGAGTCCTCCCTCAGCTCATCAGCACTATCACCACCACTGTGCAGAATCCTGCACTGTGCCTCGTGACTCGGGAGGAGTTTGCCATCATGCAGACCCCTGCTGGAGAGCTGTTTGATAAATCCATCATCCAGAGGTGAGACTCAGTTGCTCACTTGTTACTCCGTTATCTCTCCTCCCCACCTCTGGCTTTCATGCTGATTTGATGGAGACATCTTCATGGGGTTATTGTGAGGAGTGGACAAAACAGCCTGTCTGTCTGTCCGTGGCAGAAGTAGCTGCTTGTATTCCAAGACTGGTGCTTAGGCCTTAGATATTGGTGAATCTGGATCTAGTACTGCCCGGCTCCATAGTACTTAAGCTACCTGGAATCTGGGTGTGGTGGTGCGTGCCGGTAATCCCACACTTTGGAGACTGAGGTACAGGGATTGTAAATTGGAGGCCAGCCAGGACTATATAGAGGCCCTGCCTCCATTGCAACAGGGTCTCAAAAACAAAAAAAGAAGCTGAGGAGATGGACCTAAGTGAAGTGCTTGCTGGCCAGCTGGCCTCGTTAAAAGTCAGCTGCATATAGGTTCAGTGAGATGCCTTGTCTTAAGAGATGCCATGGAGAGTGGTAGAGGGAGACACTGGAGATTAACCTCCGGCCTCCACGTACACCTGGGAGCACACACACGCATGCATGGACACACAGACACACAGAGGAAAAACAAATATGAAGGTTTGCCGGCCCGGCTTGGTGGCCGTCATGAGGCTGAGGAGCCTGGTGGCCCTTTTGAAGCCGGATAACTGCTTCCCCTGTACTTCAGTGCCCAGCAGGACAGCATCAAAAAGGCCAACATGAAGCGAGAGAACAAAGCCTACTCCTTTAAGGAGCAGATGATTGAGCTGGAGCTGAAGGAGGTGAGTCCCCCGAGCTTGGCACTCGAGGCCGCTGGCTCGTGCTGTGTTCTGTCCCCTGATTTGTCCCTGGTCCTCTCCAACACTTCTTATTGTTCCTCTGTGGCTTCCTCTGCCCCGACTTGAGGGAAACCGGGTTTTCACTGGATGTTGCTGCTCTGTCTTGCCTGCCCTCACGTTCTAAAGACAGGCCTGTCTTGATTCCTTATAGCAAGTGCAGGGCCTGCTGCTGTGGAGCCTAAGGCACCCTGAGGTGACTGACAGAGTCAGCTCTGGAGAGCTGGTTCTGACAGAGCTCCTGCCTGCGTCAGCAGCCCACGCTCTCCCTCGGTCTTGCCCAGCTCATCGCTTGCCCTTCCCAGAGAAGTGACCCCCTGCCCGTCTGTCCCAGTGTGCTTCACTCTCTTCCTGGCTTGTAGATTTTAGGACATTCCTCACCCTCCGCAGTCATTTTATATGTTTGTTTCCTGTTTATTGTCTAACTTTACCTGCTAGATTGTGAGCTCTGTGAGGGGAGAGATTTTATTTTCTCCCTGGTGTCTCTAGCATCTCAAACAGTTCCTGGCATGATGTAGATGCTCGATAAATACTTTGAAAGACTGAGTGATCTCTCTGCCACCCAAGCAGTCTTCGTCTTATAACAGCCTTGGGTGGGTCTGAGGGCAGGTTGATCTGAAGTCATGTGGCCACCAGAATGCCCCTTGGAGATCATTGAGGGGCCTGCTGTTTCTGTGACATTTCTCTCTCCGTCTTTTAAAGCTGAGAATCCCTTTTTCAAGTTTCCTTTTTTGCTACTGTGTCCATTCTGTAGCTATCCAGTGGCCGTGACCTTTATAGGGGTGGAGGAGGGCATGTGCTGGGCTTGGGGCCCTGGTCCTAGACTTGAGGCTGGCCTGGAGGTCCTTCTGGAAGGACGCTAGCTTTCCTGTGGTGCTGGGGAGGCAGCTCTGTGCCGTGATAGAGTTGGCTCCTGACCGCCCTTCAGGAGATAAAGAGGAAGAAAGGTATCAAAGAGGAGGTGCAGCTGACCAGCAAGCAGAAGGAGATGCTGCAGGCCCAGATGGACAAGGAGGCGCAGATTCGGAGGCGGATGCAGGAGGTGAGGAGGATGCTTGCGGCCCAGCCCTGCTCTCTGCTGTCTCCGACTGGACTCCGCTGACTCTCCTGGTACCTCTGCTTGCAGCTGGATGGGGAGCTAGAGGCGGCACTTGGACTGCTAGACGCCATCGTGACCAGGAACCCGCGTGGCCTGACCCAGTACATCCCTGTTCTGGTTGACGCCTTCCTGCCCTTGCTGAAATCTCCCCTGGCTGCTCCCAGGGTCAAAGGCCCCTTCCTGTCCTTGGCTGCCTGTGTCATGCCCCCTAGACTCAAGGCCTTGGGTTAGTCCTTATTTGCTGGTGTGTGGTTGGTTATCTCTGGGATGTTTGGGAAGTGGGCTGGAGGTGCCTGTGGGTGTTGTGAGGAGACATGTGGTGGCCTAAGCTGCTGAATTTTGTTTCCACATGCAAGCAGCCTGTGGAGCCTCAAACTGGATGTGCTCAAGAGCAGTGAAGTGTCTCCTCTTGCCTCCATTTTGCATTCTCTCTGCCTTCTGAGGAGCAGGCTTTACATGCTGTTAGCATCTCATCTATTTGTAGTAGCTTTGGCTTAGTGCTGGAGACCATGTCTAGGGCCTCGTGTGTGCTAGGCAAGCGCTCTGGTGCCTGAGCCACACCCCAGCCCTCTGTTGTGGCCATTCTCCACAAAGTCAGGTTCGGGGGTAGTGAGAGAGGCTTGGTGTGCTGTGGCTGGTCCTTGTGCTCAGAGCTCATAGGCAGCATGTGTCAGTGGTGTGGCCAGCGATCTCCGACCCTTAGCTCTCTGTTAGCTCTGAAGAAACACTAGCCAAGCAGGAGGAGTTACAATGGTCTTACTCGTATGAGTCATTGGAAACTTTAAGCAGACTTTCTTCCTAGCCTAAAGGGAATGTTCTCAGGATGGGGGCTGGCACCTGCAAGCTGTTCTGAGAAGAAATGTCAGTTGGTGCATGTGGAACCTGCCAGAAGTATTAGTAGCTGCCTGATGGTGGAACTATGTAGCTAGAGCTTTACTGTGGGCTCAGTGACTCTTGGGCGGCACGTGCCCCCCAGCACACTGACTTCTTTAGTGTCAAAAGTATCAGCTCTGCCAGACATGGTATTGCATACCTGTAATCCCAAAACTTGGGAGGTAGAGGGAGGAGGATCCTGAGTTTTAGGCTAGCCTGGGCTACGTAGTGACACCATGTTCCCAAACAAACATCACCCCCGCAAAAAACAAAGGGGCAGCAGCTGTTGCCGTCCTCCCTTCTTCTGATGCACCTGCCAGAGCAGGGGCGGGCGGAGACAGGCTGCCTCTGCCCCGATGCCGCCTTTGCGTGTGGTCATTTGCTGCCTGTCTTTCTTCTCCCAGGCACCTTGGTGAGTCATGTGACGCTGCGCCTGCTGAAGCCAGAGTGTTCTCTGGATAAGTCCTGGTGCCAAGAAGAGCTCGCTGTGGCTGTGAGGAGGGCAGTGTCGCTGCTGCACACCCACACCATCGCCAACAGGGTGGGCAAGGGTGAGCCAGGTAAGGGGCAGTGGGAGCTGGTGTGGGGAGCGAGGCAGGAGCCACAGCGTCCCTGGCTTCCTGTGCCTTTGCTGTCGGGAGAGTCCTCCCTCCCTGGCCTGGGTTTTCCTTGTTTGCTTCTGTTCAGTCTCACCTTCTGGAACTGGCTGCTCCGTGGGGTAGAAGCGGGGCTGGTTTAGCACCAGCCATTGTACCTGGCACTGTGCTTGGTGTCAGGCTTCCGGCATCGTCCCCACCGCGGTCTGCTCAGTCGCCCAGCTTCTGTCTGCTCTGATGCTCTCACAGATGCTGCACCCCTGTCCGCACCGGCCTTCTCCTTGGTCTTCCCGATGTTAAAGATGGTGCTCACTGAGATGCCCTACCACAGTGAGGAGGAGGAGGAGCAGATGGCCCAGATCCTTCAGATCCTCACTATCCACGCGCAGCTGAGGGCTTCCCCTGACACCCCACCCGAGCGAGTGGACGAGGTTGGCAGGCTCTCTCGTCCCGTGGTCTGAGGGGTCTGGGGAGGCAAAGGTTCCCTTCCTTGAGTTTTGCTGTTTTGTCAGTAGCCGCAGTCCACATAACAGACAATGGCTCTTTAATATAAAAGGGGCCATGCTGCTGCTTCCCTAAGTCTGCGTCCGTGTTGGCGTGTTCTGATTTTACCGTTGCTTGAGGTCCTATGCCGTGCATGACTGCGCTGTATCTAACCTACTACCTATTCGTGGCTGTTTGAGCACTGTAGCTTTTCCTTAATCTGAACAGCTCTGTTTGTGTTTGCCTGTCTCTGGCATATCTGTAGCACATGCTGGTTTTTAGTTGCTAGGTTACATGATGTGTACTGAGCTAGCTTCTCACTAAGAGTTCTTTTTTTCAACGCTAATAAGCTTTGTGTGAGTCTTGGTGTGAGTCTCACTGTGTAGCCCTGGCTGGCCTCAGACTGGCAGAGGACCTCCTATCTCTGCCTCAAAGCACTGGGTAAAGGTGTGCATCACCACACTCAGTTGAGTGATGGGTTTGTTTGGCATTTCTTTCTTTCTTGTAAAGCTGAGTATTTCTTCTTAGGCTCACAGTTCATCAGTATTTCACTCTGGGAGTGTCAAGCAAGCTTCAGAGCCTGTGATAGTCTAGGTTAGCACTTACGGGCATGGTTGTAAATAAACCTAATGACATTTCTATGGTGACTAAGTCAGTGCTGTGACCCAGGATATCCTCATGTAGGTGAGGGAATGGCAGTTGACTGGCTGCCTGGCGTGGATATAGACCTTTCCTACTTTATCATCATAACTTTTCTCCTGTTCCCTCCCAGAATGGTCCAGAGTTGCTGCCTCGAGTGGCCATGCTGCGCCTGCTGACGTGGGTGATCGGGACAGGCTCTCCTCGCCTACAGGTGATTTCCAGTTGGCCTGTGCTGTGGTTTTTTTGTGACTCCGACTTCAGGAATGAGTAGTCAAGACCTAGTTTTCTCTTGGCCCTCTTGTGTAGAAGGGATGCCACTGCTTGGCTTGACTATGGGACTTCGCCCTAGAGGCGCGATGGGGTGGGGTTTCTAAGCTCACCTGTTCAGCTGCCTTGGTGTAAATGAGCTGCTGAACTGAGCCAGTGTGTCGATGTCGTCCGCAGGTTCTAGCCTCAGACACCCTGACCACCCTGTGTGCCAGCAGCAGTGGCGAGGACGGCTGTGCCTTCGCGGAGCAGGAGGAGGTGGACGTGCTGCTCTCTGCCTTGCAGTCCCCGTGTACCAGCGTGCGGGAGACCGCGCTCCGGGTGCGTCTGTGCTTTCCTGTTACTCTGGGCAAGTGTTGGAGCTGCGTGAGGAACGTCGGGCAGGATGTCTCTTACCTCAGACAGGGCTAGGAGGCAAAGAGAAGAGGAGATCATGGGTGGGTTAGGGTCCTTCTAAGCTTGTCATGATGTAGCACTGTCCATTTTATTTTTCTTCTGTGTACTGATAAAATATGCTGACAAAAGCAACTTTAGGGATCAAAGGTTTCCTGTAGTTCATAGTTCCAGGTTGTGATCCATGTGGTTAGGGAAGGAACCAGGAGCTTGAAGCAGTGGGCACATAACATTTGCAATCAGAAAAAGAGTAGTGGATACGTGCTGTCTGTGCTCAGCCGGCTTCCTCCAGTCCTCCAGGACTCCCTGCCTAGGGATTGGTGCCACCCACAGTGGGTACATCTTCCCACATCAATGAACATAATAAAAATCAAGATCATTCCCCATTGGCATGCCCAGAGGCCCATGTTCTAGGGGATTCTAGAGTCTGTGAAGTTGACAGTTAACAATAACCATCCCCTGACCTAACTCACAGGATTATGGCATTGATGCAGCTGTATGCCTCTGTTTAGCATTTCTGGATGGCTTTTAGATTGTGGTTCCCAAATGCTAGGTCCCTCTATTGTGGGGAAAAATGATGGCGTATGCTTTTTTTGCTTGTTTTTTTGTTTAATTAATTTAACAAACACCTTTTGAGCTCTTGTCAGCCATGTTTAGAGTTAAATTGGTAATTTTTACTTTAAAAAAGTTCTTAAGCTTTGGTGTACACCTTTAATCCCAGCATTTGGGGGCAGAGGCAGGCAGATCTCTGAGTTCAAGGCCAGCCTGGTCTACATAGTGAGTTCCAGGACAACCAGGGCTACATAAAGAGACCTTGTCTTAAAAACAAAACAAAAACTTTTACCACCATACGTCATCATTTCACAAAAGAAAAAAAGCTGGGTTGAGGGGCATGATGCATCCTCTGAACCACTGAGCTATACCCCTAGATCCCCCCAAAAAACACTACTTGAGGGGTCTGAGCAGGTCACCAGTTGAGCTGATTCCCAGCACTTCTAGCCCGGCTCTGTCCAACACCTAACTGCAAGTCAGGCAGGCCAACACTAAGCTTGGTGTTTGCGGTCTGGCTGCCATGCCTGCCTGACTTGCGGTTACTTGTAGTTGATTTTCCTTTATTAGCCACACGCAGTTAATGGTTGTGTTTAGGACAGCAGAAGTGAGGAGACGGATACATTCCCCTCTGAGATGTCAAGTCTCACAGTCTGATCCTCCTCCTCCTCCCAGGGGCTGATGGAGCTCCAGCTGGTATTGCCAGCACCTGACACTGATGAAAAGAACGGCCTGAACCTGCTGCGAAGACTCTGGGTCGTTAAGTTTGACAAGGATGATGAGATCCGGAAGCTGGCTGAGAGGTCAGAGTCCTTCCAGCAGGGTTTGCCGGGGAACATGCTTCAGGCCTTTGCTTGACCAATCCTCAATTTTGGTCTGCTGCAGGCTCTGGTCAACCATGGGCCTCGATCTACAATCAGATCTCTGTTCTTTGCTGATCGATGATGTGATCTACCATGAGGCAGCCGTGAGGCAGGCTGGGGCTGAAGCCCTTTCCCAGGCGGTGGCACGGTACCAGCGGCAGGCGGCAGAAGTCATGGGCAGGCTCATGGAGATCTACCAGGAGAAGCTCTATGTGAGTGACCTGGGCAGCTGCTGTGGTCTGGGGCAGGGGAAGTGGGTGAATGTGCTCTGCTCAGCTTGTGTCATGGTACAGGGTCCGGGCCATTGTTGATGCCCCTGGGGTAAGGGGGGAGCACTGAGCACAGTCTCTTGTCTGTTGCAGCGGCCGCCCCCAGTGCTGGATGCTTTGGGGCGAGTGATTTCAGAGTCCCCCCCAGACCAGTGGGAAGCCAGGTAAAGCCCTGTTTTGATCTTGTTGCCAAGCTTTCTGAGATACACTAGCTGGACTGGGGTGGGTGCTGCAAGGGGGTAGCATGTGCTGATGCTGAAGTAGACGGGAAGTCGGGCCACCTGGGTCAGAGAGACCTGCATCAGTGCTGGCTCCCTGTCTACCAGCTCTGCATCTTTGGACATTGTCTCCTCATCTGTGTGAGGGACACACTGCTAGAACCTACCTGGTAAAGCACTAGCCCTAGCCCGTTAGCAATGTGCAGTGTGCTCAGCAGATGTTGACTCATTCTCTCAGCCTGTGAAGTAGTAGGTGGAGGTTAGGTAAGTGTCTAGGAGCAAATATGACCTGGGAAGACACTTGTCACCCACAGTGGGCTTTCATGAAACAGTAGGGCTAGCTTCCTGAATGGCTGACCACACTGTGTTAGGGTTATTGTTGCTGTGATGAAACACCATGACCAAAGCAACTTGGGGAGGAAAGGGTTTTATTTGCCTTTCACGTCCACATCACAGTTCATCATCAAAGGAAGTCAGGGCAGGAACCTGGAGGCAGGAGCTGATGCAGAGGCCATGGAGGGGTGCTGCTTACTGGCTTGCTCCTCATGGCTTGCTCAGCCTGCTTTCTTATAGAACCCAGGACCACCTGCCCAGGGATGACCCCACCTATAATGAGGTGGGCCCTCTACCATGAACCCTAAAGAACGTGCCTACACCCAATCCTCTGGAGTCATTTTCTCAATTGAAGTTTCCTCCTCTCCAGCGACTCTGGCCATGTCCAGCGACATAACCAGGCAGTACAGCCGCGCTCTCCACTCCTGTGGCTGTGGCTGGTACGGGGTGTTGTGTGGGGCCATCGTGCTTTCTTTCTGTGTCTTGTCTCTGACTGAGGAGAGTAATTCCACTTTGCCTTTGTTCCCGACCAAGGGCTGTTGCATCGGTTTCTTTTATCAAGGTCTCTCCTCTTCAGCCTGTCTCACAGGTAGAGTGGTGTACATTTCCTCCCATAGTCAGGGAGATAGGCAGAATGGGTCCTTGCCTCAGGACATCCTTCCTGCAGGAGGTAACCTCAGGCCAGTGGCTGGTCTCCATTTCACAAGCGGCTTGTTCAGAACACTGGGCAGTTGCCTCATGGTGGGCTGCATGCCGCACCCTGCCCCACAGCTGTTTGCTGTTGTCCTCCATCCGTGTGGGATCCCTTGACTCGCCCTTGCCACCTACAAGCTCCCGTTTCTTTCCTAGGTGTGGTCTAGCCTTGGCCCTGAACAAGCTCTCGCAGTATTTGGATAGCTCTCAGGTGAAACCGCTCTTTCAGTTTTTTGTCCCTGATGCCCTCAATGACCGAAACCCAGATGTCCGGAAGTGCATGTTAGATGCAGCGCTCGCAACACTCAATGCCCATGGGAAGGTGAGCAGTTTGAGCAGCTGTGGGAGGTGGGGTGAGACTGAGAAGAGAAGTGAGTGCCAGAAACGCTGACAGGGCACCAGCACCTGGCGGGAATTTCATTTGTGTCAGAAAGACAGAGGATGTAACCCTCAGGGGTCTGCTTCTGGCCTGCTGGAAGCTGGAAAACCTGCCAGCATGGTCAGCCCCAGAGGCAAAGCCTGTTGTTTGCTGCAGCCTGGAGGCTGACCTGTGGCTCTGGGGTCTGTCTGGCCTTTTCAGGAGAATGTCAACTCCCTGCTGCCAGTGTTTGAGGAGTTCTTGAAGGATGCACCCAATGATGCCAGCTATGACGCCGTGCGGCAGAGTGTGGTGGTCCTGATGGGTTCTTTGGCCAAGCACCTGGACAAGAGTGACCCCAAAGTAAAACCCATTGTTGCCAAGCTCATTGCTGCCCTCTCTACACCTTCTCAGCAGGTACTTCCCATCGTGGGGGCTGTGAGTCACGGGGGAGTGGGAATCCACTGTGGATAGGCTGTAGGATGCTAGCAGCTGAGTGGCTGACAGCAGCCATCTCCTCTCCAGGAAGAACCTAGGTATTTCATTTTTTCCTGCTCATTTGCTAGAGGTTTGTGTTTTGGTGTGTGCGTGCGCATGCATGTTTGTGTGTTTAGAGTAAATCTTGCACTGAAGACACAAAGATAAAAAAAGAAAAACAACCCAGCTGTACTGTGGTGGTGCACACCTTTAATCTCAGCACTCAGGAGGCAGAGGCAGGTGGATCTCTGTGAGTCTGAGGCCAGCCTGGGCTACAGAGTGAGTTCCAGGACAACCAGGGCTACACAAACCCTGTCTTGAAAAACAAAAAAGAAAAGAAAAGAAAAAACAACCAACCACCTCAGACAGAAGCTACCGTGGGGGTGCACTCCTTTAATCCTAGCAGCGGCAGGCGTATCTGTATGAGTTTGAGGCCAGTGTGGTCTGCATAGACCACAGTACCAGATAGTGAGACCTTATCTCAAAAAATAAACTAACCAAAAACCCCACAGACGGGCTCCATTTGTGTTGTGTCTTGTAGCCCTCTCCATGTGCCACTTAACATGGTGCAGATACCTTTAAGGCCTCTCAACCACAGTGTGAAGAGTTTTTCTTTTCCTCTTGTCTGAAAATCATGCATTTACAAGGGATTCCCTGATTGACATTTGGGTCTTCCCTGCTGCAAGGTGTCTTCGTGCAAGTCACAGTTGGAAAATGTTTCAGAATTGTCAAATGAAAAATCAGAAAATCTGACCTATGCGGTGGTGGTGCACACCTTTGATCCCAGCACTGGGGAGGCAGAGGCAGGTGGATCTCTGAGTTCCAGGCAGCCTGGTCCAGACCTAGAACTCACTGCCTGCCTCTGCCTCCTGAGTGCTGGAATCAAAGGCGTGTGCCACCACCGCCCGGCTTTACAGCCCCTTTTTATCACAGACATTTTTACTCAATGCTGGGTATTTGTGTATGTAAAATAGACATGCAAATTGAATGTCAGTGGTAATAAACCATAACATTTTCAAAACAACTCCTTAGTAAACGATAAAAATCATGGTATACCAAAGATGAGAACAGATTTTGTACTAAAGAGGATTCACTTGCTTATTTTTATATAAACAAATTTTGCCTACATGTTTGGTACTACTTAGGATGTAGAACTTCAATTTGAGTTAATTTTTGTTTTATAATCAGTGTTGAAATTGCCACTCTGCATAAATACATGATAAAAGTGGCAGGCATATATAACATTTTACTTATTAATTTATGTGGGAGGAGGCACATGCCTCAGTGTGAGTGTGGAGGTCAGAGAACAACTTGCAGGAGTAGGTTTCTCTCAACTGTGGGGGTCCCCAGGATGGAACTCGGGTCATCATGCTTGGTGGCAATGCTGGTCTACTTGGGTGAGCCGTCTCCATGGCCCTTCTCTTTTAGATGTATATTTAAGGCTATTTCAGAAATTGTGGTTGGTTTTTTTTTTTTTTTTTTTTTTTTTTTTTTGTGCTGTTTTGTTTTGGCTTTTTTTTTTTTTTTTTTAAAAGATTTTATTCTGTATACAGCATATGTGACTGCAGGCCAGAAGAGGGCACCAGATCTCATTACAGATGGTTGTGAGCCACCATGTGGTTGCTGGGAATTGAACTCAGGACCTCTGGAAGAGCAGTCAGTGCTCTTAACCTCTGAGCCATCTCTCTAGCCTGGGAAATTCTGTTTTAATGTCAAGTCAAAGTTTATAGAATAATTTTTTATAAAGCTTGGGTCATCAACTAAATCAATTTTTATTTTATTTATTTTTTTATTTGTGAAGGCTAGCCTGAAACTTACTATGTAGACCAGGCTGGTCTTGAACTCACATAGACCTACCTGCTTTTGCCTCCTAAGTGCTAGGATTAAAGGCATGTGCCACCACTCCCAACTCCAATAGTTTAAAAAAAATTAAGCCTTCTAACACAGTGTGATCCACAGCTCTAGCAGTTTGACACTTACACCCTGAGGAATGACGAGAGGAAAATGCTACAAGTCTGTTTTCTGTAATTGAGCCACGGTGCTTCTCTGAGCGCAGAAAACCTCATAGGTACAGTTAGACACTGCCATTCCCGACACATGTCATCTCAATGGGAGCTGAGGGGCTGCGGCAGGGTTCACTGCTGTTGGGTGGTGTGACGGCACTCTCCGGACAGTGCGCTCGTGTGTTCAGAACCGAGGCTGTGGTGAGGTCACCCTAGGCGACAAGCCTGAGCCTTGCCAGGGGTACCTCGGAGTCTTACGTGTTTGATTTTGAGTTAATTTTGACCGTTGTGCATCAGAAACTGTTTCCCAATTCCTCACAGTCCCTACATTACATGGGGGCATTGTGAGCCACAGTTTAAGAAGCTGTGGTTCAGACGGGAAGCAGCACTGTAGGGCTGCTGCTCTTGTCACTCACTGACTGCAGTATGCACCCTGGGGAGCATGTGTCATGAGTCTGTAGGAAGCACTGCTTCTCTGATGCTCAGACACTTGAGCAGTGGCTAAGATTGGGTGGGAGACAGTGCTGCTGGGCGGGCCCCCGGCAACACCCGTCACTGACGGAGCTGCTTGCGCTGATGAGACGGCCCTCCCACAGGTCCAGGAGTCTGTTGCCAGCTGCTTGCCACCTCTGGTACCTGCCGTCAAGGAGGATGCTGGGGGCATGATTCAGCGGCTCATGCAGCAGCTGCTGGAATCGGACAAGTATGCAGAACGTAAAGGGGCTGCCTACGGGCTGGCGGGCCTGGTAAAAGGCCTGGGCATCCTCTCCCTGAAGCAGCAGGAAATGATGGCTGCGCTGACCGATGCCATCCAGGACAAGAAGAATTTCCGAAGGCGAGAGGGTGGGTGTCCCGGAGCGCGGTGCTGACAGCCCAGGAAGTTGGGCCCACACTGCAGAGGAAGGGAGGCGGGACTGTGTGACCCATCCCAGCCCTGTCTGTCGGGGGGTGGCCTGCGCCTTCCCCTTTTTCTTTCTTGCACTCCTGGGCGCTGAACCCCAGGCTGAACCCCAGGCCTCACCCGTGCTAGACAGGCTGCTCTACTGCTGAACTCCATACCAGCCCTTACTTTAATATTTCAAGGTAAGGATCTCTTAAGTGGCCAAGCATAACCTACAACTTGGTGGTCCTCCTGCCTCAGGCTCTAGAGTGTTAGGATTATAGGCTTGTCTCCCTGCCTACTTTCTGACTTGTAATAGAGCACCTTAGCTGAGCGAAGCTTGGCCTTTCTAGTTGTCGGTACCAGGAAGTGTTGGAAACTCCCTGCCTGTCACACTCGGCCGCATCCCTGTCCCGAGTCCTGTAGCCGCCACAGCCTGAGGAGGTACGCGGGTGCTGGCCCCTGTGTCCCAGCACTGTCCCCCTCTCCCCAGGAGCGCTGTTTGCCTTCGAGATGCTCTGCACCATGCTGGGGAAGCTCTTTGAGCCCTATGTGGTCCACGTGCTGCCCCACCTGCTGCTGTGCTTCGGGGATGGGAACCAGTACGTACGCGAGGTAAGTCCGGAACTGTGCCCAGGCCGGCTGGGTCCCAGCCCCCACTGCCAGAGGCCCTTCGGCTTGTACCTGGCACACTGGTTACTGCTGTGGATCTCTCTGTTTGCCTCACACATTGAAGACTTGATTTGTGTGTGCGTGTGTGTTACGTAGTTGTCTGCGAGCATGCCCATGTGTGGACTGGGAGCTAGAAGAGGATGTCATATGTCCTCTGTCTTTCCTCTGTATCATTCCCCTATTTTGAGGTAGGCCTTTCCCTGAACTGGGGCCTCACATTTTCTTAGCTGGGCTGGAAGCAGGCAAGCCCCAGCAATCCTGTCTCTGACTCTTTCAGAGCTGTGTTTAGGTATATGTGTGAAGTGCCTGGCTTACTGTGTGCTACTAGAATCCTAGCTCTGGTCCTCAGGTTGCTAAACAAATTGCTCTTCTTTTTTTCCCTTCCAGATAGGGTCTCTCTATGTAGCTTTGGCTGTCCTGGAATTCAGTTTGTAGACTAGACTGGCCTCAAACTCAGAGATCTGCCTGCCCCTGCCTCCCAAGTCTTGGGATTGAAGTTGTGTGCCACCACTGCCTGTCCCAAGCAAATTGCTCTTCCCTGCTGAGCCAGCTCTCCAGCTCCTAGTGCTGAAGCGTTTTAAGATGTGTTTTTGGCTGTTCCTCTGGACCTGGGTACAGGGTCTGACACAGCTACAGTCCTGGTCAGTGTAGGGACACTAGGGTGAGTGTCAGGCCTCAGTGCTCGCCCAGGCGAGGAGGCCCCTGAATGTCTTTTCTCCTCCCTTGAGGCTGCAGATGATTGTGCCAAGGCTGTGATGAGCAACTTGAGTGCTCATGGCGTGAAGTTGGTGCTCCCGTCCTTGTTAGCTGCCTTGGAGGAGGAGTCCTGGCGAACTAAAGCTGGTGAGGCCATCCCCTCTGTGTCTGTCTCAGCTTCCTGCTCCGGAAATGACCCTCAGCAGGGATGTAGGTCGTCACAGCTCTTGTTTGTGGACATGGCAGAGTAGCTCGGTTACACTGTCATGCAAAAGCCGAAGCTCTGAGGAAATCCTGATCTTGAAAGCTGTAATCTGGAACCTTCTAAAACAAGCAGACTAGAGCCATTCTGGTTGGGAGGGTCAGGGCCTGGGACCTTCCTGCATGGCCTCCCTGCTGTTCCTTCAGGCTTTGCCTTTCAGTTTGAAACAGCACATATAAGAGATGAAGAAACTGAGGCCAGAGAAATCCAGTAATTAACCCTTGGAACACCCACAGGACTAAACTAAGTCTCCCTACTGACCTAGTTAGATCTCTACTGCTGTGGTAAACGCCATGACCAAAAGAAATTTGGGATTATAGTCCATCAGGAAGGGAAGTCAGGGCAGGATCCTGGAGGCAGGAGCTGATGCAGAGGCCATGGATGGGTGCTGCTTACTGGCTTGCTCCTCATGATTTGCTCAGCCTGCTTTCTTATAGCACCCAGGACCATCCTGCCTGGACATGGCACCACCCACAACGATCTGGGCCCTCCTATGTCAATCACTAATTAAGAAAATGTACTAAGACTTGCCTATGGGCAAATTTTATGAGGCATTTTCTCAATTGAGATTCCCTTTTACCAAATGACTTAACTTGTGTCTAGTTGCCAATAAACTAGCCAGGACACCCATCCTGGTGTCATCTCTTTCCCTATACTGCCTGCTCCTCACCTGGAGTCCCACAGTGCAGTGGGCCTCTTTCCAGGGACTGAAGAGTCTGCAGGGAAGCAAGCTGGGTGTCCCTCCCCCCTACAGCCAGCACAGTGCCTTGCTGGCCAGGGCTGAGTGGCTCTGTCTTCTGTCTGCAGGGTCAGTAGAGCTACTTGGGGCAATGGCGTACTGTGCTCCTAAGCAGCTGTCATCCTGCCTACCCAACATTGTGCCCAAGCTCACAGAGGTGCTGACGGACTCCCACGTCAAAGTGCAGAAGGCGGGACAGCAGGCACTCAGGCAGATTGGCTCTGTCATCAGGAACCCGGAGATCCTGGGTATGCTTTTCCCGTGGGGCACTTACTCCAGCTGCACCCCTTACCTTCTCCTTATGTTCTAGGGAGTGTCAGCTGAGACCGCTGCCCTGTGGGGACAAATATGTCTGTGTTGAAATAACCTTACTGCTTGGGAAGCCCTTTCCTTAGACTAAATAGTCGAAGGGACTTCGGAAGCAGGCAGTTCTCCCACTGGTCTGGAGCCGATGTCATTGGCTTCATAGATAGGGGCACCGAGTCACTGGCTCAGGAGCAGCTGGGCTCTGAGAGACCCTGTGTAGTTGGCTGAGCTGTGAGGTCTGCAGACTCCTTGGCAGCCTGCCGCACACCAGCACCATCGGAAACCCTGAATTCTTCGGAATTGTCCTCATCAGGCAAAAGAATTAGCGTTGTTCTTTCTTTTTTTAATTAAGGAATTTGTAATATTTTTTAGTGTTGTATGTATGTATATAGGCACAAGTGTACATTGGCATGTGTGGAAATCAGACAGTTAATGAGAATTGGTTTCCTCCATGGTTTCACCGTGTGCATCCTGCGTATGGAGCTCCGTTCAGGCTTGGTAGCAAGTGCCTTTACTGGCAGCCATCTCACTGGCCCAGATGGATCCTTTAGTGTGAGTTTGGTCTCTGGCATAGGCTGGCCTGTGTGTGCAGACTAGCATCCTCGGAGGAGTTTGAACTTCTGATCCTTCTGCGTCTATCGCCCAAGTCCTGGGATCATAGGAGTTTTCACCACACCTGGTTTAGGCAGCGCTGAACACTAGTCCAGGGTTTTGTCCATGCTAAGCGTGGGCTCTACCAACTGAGCTGTGTCCCAGCCCGTAGTGTGTTTCTTTTCTGAGGGCTGGCGACAAAAGCCAGCCACCACCTTGACTGACGTTATCACTTGTGTCATTTTAAGCTTCAACTCTGAGCATGGGTGCCGGGGACATAGAGTGGAGCCATGAAATGACTAGACATGTATGTTTCATTAGGAAATGAAATGATGTGGCCGAGTGCATGCGTGTGTTGGGGGTGGAACCCAGGGCCTGCCCATCCTGCATGAGTGGTCTACCACTGAGCTGTGTTCCCAGCTGCTGTTTATGTTTTGAGACAGGGTCTCTATGTAGGCCAGGATGGCTTCAAACTTGACAACCTCCTGCTGCCTGTAGCCCACAAGAATTAGGGTGACAGGTGTGTGCCACATGCCTAGCTCTATCTTCCAGATTTATCTGTATTATTATTATTATTATTATTATTTTTATTTATTTTTGGTTTTTTTGAGACAGGGTTTCTCTGAAACAGTCCTAGCTGTCCTGGAACTCACTTTGTAGACTAGGCTGGCCTTAAACTCAAAGCTCCTCCTGTCTCTGCCTCCTGAGTGCTGGGATTAAAGGCATGCACCACCACTGCCTGGCTATTTGTATTTTTTTTTTTTTAAAGATTTATTTATTTATTATGTATACAATGTTCTGCCTGCATGTATGTTTGCTGGCCAGAAGAGGGCGCCAGATCTCATTACAGATGGTTGTGAGCCACCATGTGAGCGCTGGGAATTGAACTCAGGACCGCTGGAAGAGCAGTCAGTGCTCTTAACCGCTGAGCCATCTCTCCAGCCCCTCTTTGTATTATTTTTAAGGCCTGTGTCTGTGTGTGTGCATATACGTGTTGGTGGGGGTGGGGGTGGGGGTGGCACAGGTTAGATCCCCCAGAGCTGGAGTTAACAGGTGGTTGTGAACCTCCTGATCCGGAAACTGAGCTTGGTCCTCTGCAAGAGCAGTCCTCTCCATCCCTGTTTTTGTTTTGGTGTAGGGTCTTTCTATGTAACCTTGGCTGGCTGACCTGTCTCTGTAAACCAGGATGGTCTCAAACCCAGAGATCTACGTGCTCTGGTTTCCAAATGTGAATACATGAGCGACCACACTCAGCTTCCTTTTCTGTTTATAAAGGAAGGTAGAGGACTGGAGTGTTGGTTTTCTCTCATGCCTGCCTTTCCTGTTCCTTTGTCTGCCCCCTCCCCCCCCCTTCCCGTCCTTTGACTCGTCCAGAGCAGGAAAGCTTTCCTTGGGGGAGGCGAGAGGGGAGAGGGAGGGCGGCTTGCACACTGAGGAGGGTTTTGGTTCTCAGTGTCCTACAGAGTGTGGCGGCCTTGGTGTGTAAGACACAACATGTAACACCACAAGGAGGCGGGAGGTTTAAGCCCACCTCTGTCATTGGTAAAGCAGACGTGCAGTCTAGTAAGGATCCATACCTTGGTTTAAACATTCTTTTATTTTTATTTTTATTTTTTTAAATTTTGAAACAGGGTCTCACTGTGTAGTCCAGGCTAGCCTTGAACTTCGGGCAGTCCTCCTGACCAACCTCCTGAATGCTGATAGAGGTCTGAGCCATGTGCTTGACTTTTTTTTTTATTTATTTTTAAAATTAGTTTTCAGAACAGTGGCTTTCCATATGACTTTATATCATATCCTTAATTCTGGTTAATCCTCCCTCATGCCCTCCCTCCTTCCCCTTCTCTGTACTCTTACACCCCGTTTAAACTTGTGTGCCCCTGGTATTTACCCTCCTGTGTTCATGTCATATATATTCTGTCACCTCTCCCTAAGGCTTCCCTCCAATGGCTTCTTAGCCTCTAAAATTTATTTAAAATTTCCAGACTTTTTGAGGCAAATTGTTAAGTAAAAATTGTACATATTTACACATACAGTGTATTGGGTTTTTCTTTTTTTTTTTTTTAATACAGGGTTTCTCTGTGTAGCTCTGGCTGTCCTGGGACTTACTCAGTAGACCAGACTGTCCTAGAACTCAGAGATCCTCCTGCCTCTGCCTCCCAAGTGCTGGGATTAAAGGCATGCGCTGCCCCCACACTCCGCCAGCGTTTTGGTTTATATTGCCACAGTAGCTCACTCTGGCTCAGGCTGGCCTGGAACTCCCTGTGGACTTAGTGTCCTGGTGGCCGCACCCCGTTGATCCTGCAGCAGCAGGGTAGGAGGGCTTCGGTTTCCGGTGCCAGCACTTACCTTTTTAAACGTGTGTTTTAACTGAAATAGAATCATATCACGTTTCCCTCCCACTCTTCCTTCCAACCCCTTCAGCTACCCTCTCTCATGCCCCTCACTTTCAAAACAATAGCCTCTTTTTATTTTTATTACTGCGGTGTGTGTGTGTGTACACAAATACATAAATAAAACCGTTATCTTTGTGCTTATATCATCCTAGCAAGTTTGAGTGGCATCCCCTTGTGGGATGTGTTTGAGTTTGAGACAAGGTCTTGTTATGTAGCCTTGGTTGGCCTAAAACTCACTATGTGGATTAGGCTGGCCTTGAACACAGAGCTCTGGCTGCCTCTGCTTCCTGTCCTTCTGGTTTGGGTTCGCATTTCCCAAAAGGCCAGTGACTTGAACATCATCTTATGTCATTTTTGGTTATTTCCATATCTTTTTTGAGAATTATCTATCCATATCATTTGTTTGTTTTATAATTAGGTTATTAATTTCTTGTTGGCTAATACGTGTCTTCAGGGACTAAATTGCCTGGGTATGTGAAGAAGATAGACCAGACACTCCTTGGAGTCTTCCTGTTGAGCTGTTTATATGGAAGTCATTTTATCTGGTCCTTGGCTGCTTTAAGTATTGAGTGCTTTATTTCTGCCATTGGCTCTTGGGCCTTCAGTGTCTAAAATTTTTGTTTTTGTTTTCTATGAACTCACCATTTGGTTGCTGGTTCAGGAAAGCCCCTGGTGCCCAGGTAGCTCCGTACTGGCTGTAGCTCCTCCTCTGGAAACTAGTCTTTGATGTCCTATTCAGTCTCAGCTACAGTGTAGAGGGTGCCAGCTGCCACCTTCTCTTCTTGTGGAGCAGGGGTTGCTCCTCCAGGCAGACTGGCTTCCCCAGTTGAGGCGCCCAGTCTTCTTGCTCTCCCTAAGGCCCTGCCACTTCCCAGACTTGTACAGACCAGCATCTCCCCTCTGTGATATGCAGCCATTGCCCCGGTCCTGCTGGATGCCCTGACGGACCCATCAAGGAAGACCCAGAAATGCCTGCAGACCCTGCTGGACACCAAGTTTGTTCACTTCATTGATGCCCCGTCCCTGGCGCTCATCATGCCTATTGTCCAGAGAGCCTTCCAGGACCGGTCCACAGACACACGGAAGATGGCGGCGCAGATTATTGGCAACATGTACTCCCTGACAGACCAGAAGGTAGTAGCCCGGCTGGCTTAGGGTGCAAAGTTCCAGTCCACAGCAGACATGTGGGCATTGTCTCTGCTTATGTTTGCAGGGAACCCTGGGCCACTTAGGGTGGGAGGTGGAAATCTGGGCATCTCCCAGAGTGCAGTGGTTCAAGGACTTAACTAACTGTGCTTGGCCAAGGTCTGTCTCCGTGGCCTCTGCTACACACTGGGCAGAGAACAGGCTGCCTTCTCCTCGGACCTTTCAGGAGTGTTCGCCAAGCAGCTTCAATTTTCCTTCATTGGCGTGTTCTCTGATTGGGAGTATGTGCTTCTGTAAGCCTCTTAGAAGAGTTAAGTTTAGTTGGAGATTTGCTTTGTTTATTCATTTGTTCCAGGAGTTTGCATTTGGCATTTTGCCATCTACCACGGCTCTGCCTTGATACACAAAAGAAGTTAAAGTGGAGTTCTCTTTTTGTTGTTGTTGTTTTATTTTTCAAGATAGCGTTTCTCTGTGTACCCCAGGCTGGTCTCAGACTCGCAGAGACCTGCTTGCCTCTGCCTTCTGAGTGCTGAGATTAAAGGCGTGTGCCGCCATGCCCCGCTAAGTGAGGTTATTTCTATTTTAGACAGTTTAGGAAATTAAAAAACTTGAAACTGTATGTGTGATGTATGCCTGTCGTCTCTGCACTCGGGAAGCTGAGACAGGAGGATTACAAAATCCCAAGGGCTGGAGTGGTTCTCAACCTGTGGGTCGTGACTCCTTTGGAGTGGGGGAAGGGGTTGAATGACCCTTTCACAGGGGTTGCATATCAGGTATCCTGCATGTCAGATACTACATTACGATTCATAACGGTAGCAGAATTACAATTATGAAGTAGCAAAAAAATAATTTTATAGATTGGGGTCACCACAACACGAGGAGCTGTATTAAAGGGTCATAGCATTAGGAAGGTTGAGAACCTCTGACTTAGCAGTGAAGAACCCTGACCTGGGTTTGATTCCCAGCACCCACATGGTGGCTCACAAACATCTAACTCTAGTTTCAGGGAGGTCAATGCCCTGAGATGTCTGTTGTGCACAGATGTACGTGCAGGGAAAACATCCATACATACAGAATACTTTTTTTTGTTTTTTCAAGACATGGTTTCTCTGAGAAACCCTGGCATCTTGGAACACTCTTGTTAGAGCAAGCAGGCCTCAAACTCACAGAGGTCCGCTTGGTGTGCATTACATGAAAGACCTTGTCACGGGAAGAAAATCAGAAAAACAGCAACAAAATGCCACAGGTCTCCTCCAACATGAGAGACGTTACTGTCGATGTTTTCACATTACTGCAAGGTGTGATTGCACATGCTTTTATAGACAGCACTCAGGTAGAGGCAGGAGGATTGCCACAAGTTCAAGACTAGCCTGGTCTACATGACAAGTTCTAGGCCACCCCGGGCTACGTACCAGGACCCTATCAACAGAGAAAGAGAGCGAAAGAACATTACACTCCTGAACATTATTTCTTAAGTTATAAGTTTCCCCCAACTGATGATTTAGTAGTATATAACACCCCAACAAGTTTGTGTGCCGTATTTACATAAGTTACTTGTTATATAGTATCCCATGGTGGAGGGGAGCTGTTTCTGTTTTTTCCTATTTTAAGAGCTATTGTAAGCCAGATGTTGTGGCGTATGCCTTTAATCCCAGTACTCTGTTAGTTCAAGACCAGCCTGGTCTACAGAGTGAGTTCCAGGCCAGCTACAACTATTTAGTGAGAGCCTGTCCCCCAAATAAATAAGTAAATAGGAAGAATAGCTTCCTCTCTCTCTTTCTCCCTCTTTTAAAAAATTTATTTGTTTAATTTTTTTTCTATCATCAGCTTGATGCAGTACAAATTCTTATCCTAATAGTGAAATATTTTACTGATACTTGTCCAGTGATTGAGTAAAACCAAAACTTATTCTAAGCCATAGTCATCCTAGGGTCCCCCCTGCTATGTAGCCTCCCTGGATCTGTGGGTTGCAGTCTGATTGTTCTTTGCTTTATATCTAGTATCCACTTATGAGTGAGTACATACCATGTTTGTCCTTCTGAGTCTGCTCTCTCTCTCTCTCTCTCTCTCTCTCTCTCTCTCACTCTCACTCTCACTCTCACTCTCTCACACTCTCACTCTCACTCTCACTCTCACTCTCACTCTCACTCTCACTCTCACACTCACACTCACTCACTCACTCACTAAGCAGTCTTGGCTCTTCTGGAACTGGCTGTGTAGACCAGGCTCCCCTTGAACTCATAGAGATCTGCTTGCCTCTGCCTCTGAATGCTGGAATTAATAGCATATGCCACTATGCCTTGCAGTTTTATATTTTAGCTTTTAAATTACATTTTAATACCGTGCGTGTGTGCGTACACACACACACACACACACACACACACACCCCTGCACAAATATGGAGGTCAAAGGACAGTTTGAAGGAGTCGGCTCTCTCCTTCTACCATGTGGGGCCTGGGGATCAAACTCAGATCCTCAGTCTTAGCAGCAGGCTCCTTCACCCACTGAGCCACCTTGCTGGCCCCAGAAGGCATTTTCTGTTTTGAAGATTATTCCCTAAATCTGAATGCTATAACAAGAGACAAACATTTTAAGGTTGAAAAAGAAAAGATGATAATGAAATTCTGACAGCAAAGTACCAGAGATAATTTCCTGATGATTTCAGGATCTGGGTGGGCCGCGGCCCCAAGAAAGAGATGGAGGGTTCCGCTGGACTGGACCTCTGGCTGTTGAGCCTGCTAAACAGGGTTGGAGGGGTCCTTTGTGTGTTTCCTTGAGCAGTTCCTTCAAGGAAACAACCAGAAGAGGTGTCCTACCCAGTTACCCAGACATTTTGTAAGCTGTGAGGCCCTTCCTGTCACTCTTGACTGTAGAATGGCGATGTCAGGGTCACAGTGGAGGGGCCTGGAGAAGACTGGAATTGGGGCTCTGTCCGAGTCGCATCTTGTGTTGTTACAGGACTTGGCTCCCTACCTACCCAGTGTGACACCTGGCCTGAAAGCCTCGCTCTTGGACCCTGTCCCTGAGGTGAGTCTGGGTGTAGCCCAGTATCTAGAAATTTCCCCGAGACCATGTGTGTGTCTTTCAGGGGAGGAGAAGGTAGGCCGGGGTCTTCCCTGCTCCTGTGTGAGCCCTCCCTGAGCCGCATCTCCTCACCGTCTCTGTTCTTGTTTCCATGACAGGTGCGCACGGTATCTGCAAAGGCTCTTGGGGCCATGGTGAAGGGCATGGGGGAGTCGTGTTTTGAGGACTTGCTGCCATGGCTGATGGAGACGCTGACCTATGAGCAGAGCTCTGTGGATCGCTCAGGCGCTGCCCAAGGTAAGACCAGAGCATGCCCAGGGGCCAGACACAGAATATTCTTGAGGGGCTTCCAGTCCAGCGAGTTGATTCCTTTCTTGTCCTTCAGGGTTGGCTGAGGTAATGGCTGGCTTAGGAGTAGAGAAGTTGGAGAAATTGATGCCAGAAATTGTGGCTACAGCCAGCAAAGTAGACATCGCACCCCATGTCCGAGATGGCTACATCATGATGTTCAACTACCTGCCCATCACCTTTGGGGACAAGTTCACCCCTTATGTGGGACCCATCATCCCTTGTATTCTCAAAGTAGGTACCAGTGACACCCCTGAGGAGGGAGGAAGTGAGGAGGATGCTACTGCTCTCCTGCGCTAGCTTGGGGCCAAGTGGCAGGAGTCCCCATCCTGCTCCTCAGAAAGCCCCATTTCCTTTGGGTCTGGGTGCTCGGAGGAGGCAGCCCTGGTTGATGGCTCTCTGCACGTCTAGGCTCTGGCTGATGAGAATGAGTTTGTTCGTGACACCGCCCTACGTGCAGGCCAACGGGTCATCTCTATGTATGCTGAGACAGCCATTGCCCTGCTACTGCCCCAGCTGGAGCAAGGCCTCTTTGATGACCTCTGGAGAATACGGTGAGAAGGGGCCCCAAGGCTGGCGGCTCCAACTTTGAATCTCAGAAACCCCGGTTGAGTTCATGTAGTTGAGAACTCTCGCCTGTCTCCACCTTTGCTTTTAGACAGATCATCACTCTTGTTTTCCTGTAGCAGAGTTAGTTCCCCCTTCTCCCAGTGCGTGCATGCGCACACATGCCCGCGTGCGTGTGAAGGTCAGAGGTCAACCTTGGGTTTCATTCTTCAGGAACCATCCACTTTGGTTTTTGAGATGGGATCTCTCACTGGGACCTGGGGCTGGCTGATTAGGCTAGGTTGCCTGGCCCAAGGATCCACCTGGCTTTTTACATGGGTACAAGGGATCATGAGTATTTGGCAAGCACTTTACCAACTGAGATATCTCCGGCTTCTTGTCTTGTTTTTTGAGACAAGGTCTCCCTGATTGGCTTAGAACTCACTGTAGCCAGACTGCTTCAGTCTTGGAGTCCTCCTGCCTCAGCCTCTCTGGTGCTGGATTACAGGTGTGCGCCACCATGCCCAGCACTGTAGCAGTCTTTGTTCCAGGCCCCTTTTAAAACGTTCTTCTGTTCCGGGCGGTGGTGGCACACACCTTTAATCCCAGCACTCGGGAGGCAGAGGCAGGCGGATCTCTGTGAGTTCGAGGCCAGCCTGGTTCATAGAGCGAGTTCCAGGACAGCCAAGACTACCCAGAGAAACCCTGTCTCACAAAAAACAAAAAACAAAATGACAAGAAACCATTCTTTAAATGAGAGTACTCTTTTATTTTGACATTCTACTTCTGGAATTTATTCAAAGACTGTAACTAGTGAGGTGTTCAAAGCTCTGTCTGTCCAGAAGGCTGTCTGCCAGAAATTGTGGCTGCAACCAGCAAAGTGGATGTCATACCCCAGATGGCTATAGTGTGTTTCTGTCTTTGGCTTTTGGCAGCGCTGGGGATGGAGCCCAGGGTCTCACACATTCCGACAAGCGCTCCACCACTGAGCTATGTCCCCATCCGAAGCTTGGCTTATCCAAAAAACTGGAGATTGATTTAAAGATAGAGAATGTGCGCACAGAGGACTTTGGTTGGGTTTGATTTGTTTGGTTGAAACAGTATGTAGCTCAGAGTAGCCTTGAACTCACTGTGGACCCCACGCTGGCCACAGACTCCACCCTCCTTCCGCCCTGGAGTCCTGGGACTGTAGGTATGTGTTCTGTGTCTGGGTCGCACATGCTCTTCATTTTATGAAAAGATTTACCTAATGTGCGTGAATATTTTACCTGTGTGTGTGTGTGTCTGCTCCATATGTGTGCCTGGTGCCAAAGAGATCAGAAGAGGGCATTGGAGCCCCTGGAGTCACAGATGGTGTGAACCACCCTGTGGGTGCAGGGAACTGAACCTGGGTCCTCTGTAGAGCAGCCAGTGCTCTTAATTGTTGAGCCGTCTCTCAAGCCTCTATCCATACTTTTAAAACAATAGTTTATTCTTCGTCCCCCCGTGTGGTACAGGGGGTTGAATCCAAGACGGCCTACATATCAGGCAGGTGCTGTGCCAGTGGTGGCACTCGGCCCTCCTCTTTCATGACTGAAGGAACTTGCTTACTAGTAGAAAATTGGGGAAATGCATGAGGTAGTGTGAACAGAAGAAGCTTGTCTTCCTGTCCCCATGCTGAGCTAGCCACCGTGGATGTTTTGGGGACCTTCCCTTGAAGTCTTAAGTCTCTGTAGTGCTGGGTCAGTCCTAACACCGTCTTGCCTTCAGGTTCAGCTCTGTTCAGCTCCTTGGGGACCTCCTGTTCCACATCTCCGGGGTCACTGGGAAGATGACCACAGAGACGGCCTCTGAGGATGACAACTTTGGAACTGCTCAGTCAAACAAGGTGAGGCCTGGCATTGGGCTCCTTCCCGTGCCTGTGGGAGCGATGCCCCGATGCCCTGCTCTGGAGGCTTCACCACCGGCGTTCTGTCTGTTCTGTGGGTTACAGGCAATCATCACTGCCCTGGGGGTTGATCGGCGGAACCGGGTCCTGGCGGGGCTCTACATGGGCCGCTCAGACACTCAACTGGTGGTGAGGCAGGCGTCACTACATGTGTGGAAGATTGTCGTTTCCAACACGCCCCGCACGCTGCGTGAGATCCTGCCCACTCTCTTTGGCCTCCTGCTGGGTTTTCTGGCTAGTACATGTGCAGATAAAAGAACGGTGAGTTTGCTGGACCCCAAGGTCCTCTTCCCAGAGCCCAGCTAGAGAGCTGGATCTACAGCGTTTGAGGGGGACACTTCCTCTGTGACAGGAACGTTTAGTTAGTTAGTCGTTCAGCAGATATTTACTGTGTGCCATGCTGTGGCCGAGTGTCTGTGGACACAATGGGAAGAAAAGGGGCCTCCCTCCCTGTCCTTGTTAATGATGTATATTGATCAGATAGTCACATGCGTGTGTCAGATGTGTTTGTGGTAAGTGCAACTCACACTCACGCCCACAGTAAGGGCACATGGCCCAGCGAAGGGGGTCAGTAATGCTTCTTAGAAAAAGTGATGTTTGAATGTGTAATGGTTTGAATATGAAATAGTAAGCAGTGACCAGCCTGAGAGGTGGGAAGACAACATCAGAACTGCCTTAGGTGCAGAGGCGCCGTGATGAGACACGGCCTGTGGAAGGCCAGGGCAAGGCTCTTGTAGCTGGAGTGACAGGCCTGAGATGGAGCTGGTGTGCTGGGCAGAGAGAGACAGGGTCAGTCGGGGGCTGGGGGAAGTGCCCAGTCTGTTACAATAATTCACTTCAGCCTGTCGCTTTGGCCCACTTCTAATGCCTGGTCCTGGTAAGCAAATCGTGTATTTAGCTTTAAAGGAGGGTTTGTATGTGGCTTCAAAGACAAAATTAATCTTTTTCCTTAAGTCATTTGTTACCAGTTGAGCTCCTTTTGAGCAAACGCACTGGGCTAAGTATGTTCCGTGAGCTGGGGGTTGGCCTTCCCTGTGTTCTGTGATGAGCTTCATCTTCATGTGTAAGGCTGACATGCCTTGTGCTGTGGTTTTATGTGAGGCTAACCTCGTTTTGAATGTTTATATAAGTATTTGATTTATTTGGGGGGCAAGTATTGTGTAGGCTAACCTCAACTCCTGGTCCTGCTCCTTCAGCATCCCAAGTGCTAGGATTACAGGCTTGGCCACCATGACTGGTCTCCACACTGCCCTGAAGATAGGGCTGGGTTTTTTGTTTTATTTTTAAATTATGGTAAGTAAGTATTATGTGACTATGTGCACATGGGTGTAGATGCCCACAGAAGCCAGATGGGGAGGGTGTTGGATCCCCTGGAGCTGGAGTTACAGGCAGTAGTGAGCTACCGGATGTGGATGCTCAAACTTGGGTCCTCTGGAGGAACAGTGAGTACTCTTAACCACTGAGCCATCCATCCAGCCCATCTTGTTTTGTTGTCTTTGGTTTTGGTTTAGACAGAATCTGTCTCAGGCTGACCTTGAACTCCTGGTCCTGCTCCAGCCTCCCCCCACTGGAATTCCAGGCATGGGCCCTGATGCCTGCACTGGCTTTCCTTTGCTGTGTTTGCAGCATCTTCCGGGAAGGTAGCCTCAGTCCGCGAAGCCTGTGAGCTTCTGGAACTGCTCTCTGGTGCCCTGGGGTTTGCAGACACTTGATGGGCACTGCCTCCCTCTGCTGACAGATCGCAGCGAGGACACTGGGGGACCTGGTCCGGAAGCTCGGGGAGAAAATCCTCCCTGAGATCATCCCCATCCTCGAGGAAGGCCTGAGGTCTCAGAAGAGTGATGAGAGGCAGGGCGTGTGCATCGGGCTGAGTGAGATCATGAAGTCTACCAGCCGGGACGCTGTGAGTATGTTTACAGGGCCCTGCAGCCCATGCAGCTGTGGGTGACTGATGGTCTGCTCTGGGGAGGGTGCCAGCCTCACTCTGGAGGGGGCTGCCCCTGTGTGCAGACTGTTTCCTTCTTAGCTAAAAACTAAGGAAGATTTCCTCGAGTGGCCCTAGGAAACTGGAGATGACTCTTCCACTCTGGAGGTTGCTGTAGATGTGTCTCTGTCACTTTACCGACTAGGTTACATGTGTGGTGCCACCTCAGTGCGAGAGAGTGGCAGGGGAGGGAAGGGTGTGTTTCCTGGGCACGGAGCCCCCACCTGGTCTATTGGAGACTAAAGGTTTTTAGCAGAGTTGAGACTGAGGAACTTGGCTTTCCAGGAGGTGAGCAAAACAGTCTGGGAGCTGGAGGGCAGGTCCCGGGGCCCTTGCTGGGGTTGGTCAAGTCTGTAGAAGACCGGAAGTAGCTGGGACTTAGTGATGACGGTGAGCTTTTCAGTTGCTGAGTCTAGGTGAGGGATTCCTGGGGATGATCAGGTGTCCTGTGTCTGTTCTTGCTTCAGTTTCTCATGGTCAGATCGGGTAGAACTATCAGCAGAGGGACTCCGGCTGAGTTTGAGCCCTAGTCAGCTCCCTTGTTGGTTCTATGGGAGTCTAGTTTTGTGCTTATGTTGTTCTAGGTGCTGTACTTCTCTGAGTCCCTCGTGCCCACGGCGAGGAAGGCTTTATGTGATCCCCTAGAGGAAGTCCGAGAGGCGGCAGCCAAGACCTTTGAGCAGCTGCACTCCACCATCGGCCACCAGGCTTTGGAGGACATTCTCCCATTTCTACTAAAGCAGCTGGTGAGTGGGCCTCCCCCACCGACCAGTGTGGCCTTCTGTCTGTGACAGTGAAGCACGGGGGACTCTGCCAAGCAGCGGGAACTTGGGAGTGGGTGCCACAAATCTGACGTGGCTTTGTGCCTGTCCTTGGTAAGTAAACGTGGGAGGCGAGGAGGTGAGTGGAGGAGGCAGCAGAGAGGCCGTGGGAACCAGCTCCCCACAGTCGTCCCTGTGTTCCTCTGTAGGATGACGAGGAGGTGTCGGAATTTGCCCTGGACGGTCTGAAGCAGGTTATGGCTGTTAAGAGCCGTGTGGTGCTGCCCTACCTGGTGCCCAAGGTACATCCCCACACATGGCACACATACCCCGTTCCAGGGCCTCCTGTGCACGCACAGATGTTGGGTCTGACAAAGCAGATGCAGTGAGCTGGGATGCGCCCTTATTTCTCAAGATGTACTGGAGCAGGGGAGTGGGCTCCCTTGGTCAGAGCAGGAGAGCAGGGGAGTGGGCTCCCTTGGGTCAGAGCAGGGGAGTGGGCTCCCTTGGTCAGAGCAGGAGAGCAGGGGAGTGGGCTCCCTTGGGTCAGAGCAGGGGAGTGGGCTGTCCTAGAACCCAGTCTGGGCCTGCCTGGCACTAAGCGGGTTCAGTCTTCATCAGGTTGATACTGTCATCATTCCTCCAGCTGACCACGCCACCTGTCAATACCCGGGTGCTGGCTTTCCTTTCGTCCGTGGCAGGCGATGCTCTGACCCGTCATCTTGGCGTGATCCTCCCGGCAGTCATGTTGGCCCTGAAGGAGAAGCTTGGGACTCCAGACGAGCAGCTGGTGAGGGCGCATGAGCACCCCTAGCTTTTCAACAGCCGTCACAGCCCTCCTTGCTTGCCCGCGGCTCCATGCTCAGCACACGTGTCCCTGTGGTTTTCAGGAGATGGCCAACTGTCAGGCTGTGATCCTCTCAGTGGAGGACGACACCGGGCACCGGATCATCATTGAGGACCTGTTGGAGGCCACTCGCAGCCCTGAGGTGGGCATGAGGCAGGCTGCCGCAGTCATCCTCAACATCTACTGCTCCCGTTCTAAGGCGGACTACACCAGCCACCTTCGAAGCCTGGTCTCTGGCTTGATCCGCCTCTTCAATGACTCCAGTCCTGTGGTTCTGGAGGAGAGCTGGGATGCCCTCAACGCCATCACCAAGGTGAGGGGGCCACTGACCCTAGAACTGTCTTGTGGTTGCAGAATATTCTAGGCTCCCCAGCTCCTATTGTTTTGGTTTTGTTTGGGGTCTTGTTGTTGCCTAGTCTGGTCTCCTAGATTCAAGCAATGTTCCCACCTCACTTATCAAGTACTGGGACTACAGGTTTGTACTGTAGGCTTAAAACTCCAGATATTCGTAAAAGTAGGTTCAGACAATAAGTTTATGTCACTGTTACTCAGCTTCAGCACGGGCATGTTTGTGGCCAGTCTTTGTCTCTCTCCTTGGCCCATGCCTTGAGAGGAAGGGCTGTGCCTCATGGATGCGTCTCTCCAATTCTTGCAGAAGCTGGATGCTGGTAACCAGCTGGCCCTGATAGAAGAGCTGCATAAGGAAATCCGGTTCATAGGCAACGAGAGCAAAGGCGAGCACGTGCCGGGCTTCTGCCTTCCCAAGAAGGTGAGCCAGAGCCGGGAGGCACAGGGTGCTGCACCCCAGCTGGAGGTGTGCTGCAGGTCAGCTGAGGTAGCAGTGGGTCAGTCTGGTGTGCTCCGTGTGTCCTGGAGAAGGTGCTGCTTCTGTGGTGGCCTCCTGTGACTGGGTTCACAGTGCCCCTGGTTTAAGCTGTGAGGCCGGCTCTGCCAGAGCCAGTAGGTCAGAGGTGGCGGCGCTGTTTCCTGTTGTCAGCCTGTGGGGTTCTTTGTCCTCCAGTCGGGTCACCCTCGTGGCAGTGACCCTGATTCAGCCCCTTTATGGACTGTGGGGAGTGCCTTGCTTTGGGTGGGAAACTGGCGGGCCTGGGGCGTCTGAACTGGACTCAGCTCTGGTCTCTTGTCAGGGAGTAACCTCCATCCTTCCAGTGCTGCGGGAAGGAGTCCTCACTGGTAGTCCTGAGCAGAAGGAAGAAGCAGCCAAGGCCTTGGGTTTGGTGATCCGCCTGACATCAGCTGACGCCCTGAGACCCTCTGTGGTCAGCATCACTGGCCCCCTGATTCGAATCCTTGGGGACCGGTTCAGCTGGAATGTGAAAGCAGCTCTGTTGGAGACACTCAGCCTCTTGCTGGCCAAGGCAAGTGAGTTAGGAGCTTGTTCCATTTGGATCCTGGAGAACAGACCTGTCTGGGAGACCAGCATGAGATATCCCAATGTGGGCAGAGGGATTGGACCGTAGACACTGTACTGGCTCAGTGCAGAGGCCTGCCGTAGCTCTGTGACCAGAGGACCTTAGAGTCATGTCACCTTTGAGCCTGCCTCCTCACCCACTCGACTCATAATACCACCTGCCGTTGCTTGTTCTTGGGGCTAAAGCCTGCTCCAGCCAGGGCTGTGAAAGGGTGCCCTCTTACGGTGCCTGCCATTGCCTCCCTTACCTCCTTTATTCCCACCATGAATCTGAAAGTGGGTACCGCTAAGCAGGTTTTCCTGTGTGCTTGGGTCTTACTGCTCTGAGCTGGGCTAGCTCCTGGTGGTTGATTGTTGTGGTCATGTCGTTAGTACACCACAGTCATGACTTTTGGGTGTGGGATTTCTCCCACAGGTTGGAATTGCGCTGAAGCCCTTCCTGCCCCAACTTCAGACCACCTTTACCAAAGCCCTGCAGGACTCCAACCGGGGCGTGCGCCTGAAGGCTGCCGATGCTCTAGGGAAACTCATTTCTATCCACATCAAGGTGGACCCCCTTTTCACAGAGCTGCTCAACGGGATCCGTGTGATGGAGGACCCAGGTGTGAGGTACAGTGCTGCCTCGGGAGCCATGTTCACAGGCCATGCCCGACCGAGCAGGTGGAGGGCAGTAGTGTGGGAGAGCCTGGGGTTCAAGCGGTGCATTTCTTCTGTAGAGACACCATGTTGCAGGCCCTGAGGTTTGTGATTCAGGGTGCAGGTGCCAAAGTAGACGCTGCCATCCGGAAAAACATCGTCTCACTCCTGCTAAGCATGCTGGGACATGATGAGGTATGACTGTAGGTCTGTGGCTACCCTGGGAGTTCTGTTGCTTCTCCCTTCTCGGGTGTTTCCTGCACATTGTGTGGGAGTTCCTGCAGGACTTGCCATGTTCACTCAGGCTGGGAGGGGTTGGAGTGTGTTGGTACTGATGTTTCTAGAGTTCTGTTGTCTGGACCGTGCTGGGGATCAAACCAAGGTCTTGTCCATGCTAAGCAGGTGTCCCCACTGAGCCCCTGCCCAACCTGACCCGCCTGTCCCACGGATGCAGCAGCTCAGGCTCCAGAGCTTTCGTCAATCGCTTTTCCCGCTCCAGGAGACGTCTGTGCAGAGCCGTTCTTCAGCAGCACGTGCTGCGGGCCCTGGCTCTGTGAGCTGGGGTGCAGGTGCCAAAGCATGTGTCCATGCGAAGGTCTTCGCAGTGGAGAGGGCAAGGTTTTTCGGTGGCCACACTTACCAAGTTAGAGGGCCTGGGGCTCCTGCTTGTGTTCGGTTCCATTGGTCCTACCAGTTCTGGAAGCGTCTGTTCCACTCCCGATCTGTGAGGGTGCTGAGTCTCTGGGAAGACTTCTATTGTCCCCCCACAGACAGCCCTCTGCTTGTGGTGGTCTTATTATCAGGGCTGATTTGGGGGGGAGTGGGGAGGAGTGATGTGCTGGCCTTTGTGGGGGATTCAGGATTGTGTCTTCCCTAATCATGCGTCCGCCTTATTTTGGGGGGGCAGGTCTCTGAGCCTAGAGCTCCCCTGTTTTGCTTGACTGGCCTGTGAGTCCTCTGGGTTTACCCGTCTTTGCTCGCAGCTTTTTATATTGGTATTAGGGTCTGAACTCGGGTCCTCACGGCAGGCATTCTACCCACTGAGCCAGCCTTGGTTTTTTGGTTTTTTAAACAGATTTTTAAATTTATCTTTATTTTTTTTGTGCATTGGTATTTTGCTTGCATGTATGTCCGGGTGAGGATGTCAGATCTTGGAGTTACAGACAGTTGTAAGCTGCCATGTGGGTGCCGGGAATTAAATTGAACCCAGGTCCTCTGGAAGTGCTCTTAACCACTGAGCCATCTCTCCAGCCCTGCATCTTTGATTTTGGATGTAAGGTTTTGCAGGTAGCCCAGGCTGGTCTCCAGCTTGTGATCTTGCTGCCTCAGTCTCCCTGATGCTGGTGCTGCAGGTGTGAGCTGGCAAGCCTGGCTTATGTGGCTTCATACCCTCTCTGTGCACACACCCATGGTGGGTACTGTACCGCTGTGTTGTGGCTCTGCAGGCCTGCCGTCCTTAGTGGCCTGTCCTCCGACTACAGCCCCAGCTTCCTCATGAGTACCTGTAGGAGTGCCTCGTCGTTGGTCACAGTCTCCTAGAACTTTTACAGGGCCGTGCACGTGCAAGCAAAGGTTACTATAGACAAATCTGCATTCTCCACAGCAGAATTTAAAATAGCCCACAGGGAGAGAGGGTGTCCGAGGTAGTTCTAACTACGTGTGCCGCTGCTGGAAGGCCCACATCGCTGGCAGCCTGTTCTGCGAGCTCATACTTAGGTTCAGGGTCAAGGGCTGGCCTGCTTTAGTTGTCCTTAGTCACTGAGTCCGCACTTGGTTGTTTGTGTCCTAGTCAGGGTTACTACTGCTGTGATAAACACTGTGACCAAAAGCAACTTGGGCAGGCAGGAGTTTATTTGGCTTACACTTCCACATCACTGTTCCTCACTGAAGGAAGTCAGGACAGGAACTCAAACAGGGCAGGGACCTGGAGGCAGGAGCTGATACAGAGGCCATGGAGGGGTGAAGCTTACTGGCTTGTTCCTTTTGGCTTGCTCAGCCTGCTTTCTTATAGAACCCAGGACCACCCGCCCAGGGATGGCTCCACCCACAATGGGCGGGGCCTTCCCCCATCCATCACTGAGAAAATGCACCACAGACTTGCGTACAAGCCAGTCCGATGGAGGTGTTTTCTCAGTTGAGGGTCTGCCTTCCCAGGTGACCCTAGCTTGTGTTGTGGACATAAAACTAGCCAGCACAGTTGGTTTGGAGGGAACAATCAGACTGAGACTTACTAATGAAATGCAATTTACTTTGAATCTCCTCTTTTGGTCTTTGGAGTAAGCTGGCCATGGAGCAGGCAAGGAGCCTTCTGTGTGTCTGGCTTTGATTTTGACAGGAAACACTGGCCCTAGGGTGCTGTGGATGTGGCTTAGTGGAAGAGCACTCACCTACCATGTGTAAAGCCACAAGTACTGTATCGAGCGCTGCCCCTCTCCCACCATGCAGACTGTGTGTATGGCGTGTTGACCCCGTGGTGAGGGGCCGCCGCCGCAGCAGAGGGCATCTGGACATGCGGTGCCGGCAGCTCGCCTGTCTGCTGGCTTCTTTCCCGGCTGTGCTCTGGTGGATGGCAATTGAGATGCTGAATGTGAAGCATTCAGACTCCTGAGGAGCACAGTGCTGTGTAAATGCAGAACTATTGCTATTGTGATGATGACTGACATCTGCGCACACACTGGAGTTTTCTCTAAGTGGAGTGCAGTGTGTAATCTAACTCCCCACCACATAGAGTCCAATGAATTGGTGGTCCCAGTCTGGTGTTGAGAATGTGGGTGCCTAGAGTGAAGATGGCTTCAGAGTTCCCGAGCTGAGGTGTCCTTCTGCCCTCATTCCTGGGGAGCCGATGCACTGGCCACACTCCCTGTCACTCCCCTCTCTTCTCTGTCAGGATAATACGCGGATCTCCTCAGCTGGCTGCCTTGGGGAGCTGTGTGCCTTTTTGACCGAAGAGGAGCTCAACACTGTCCTTCAGCAGTGCTTGCTGGGTAGGTCACTGCACAGGCCTGGCGGAGAAGCCTGGGACACTTGTCTCCTCCCCCTTGAAGGATCTTGGAGCCCTGGACTGCCCTTGTCTTTAGGCGTCCAGCTGCTGAAGCAGACTGGGTTGTCTGTTGCTCCTGTAGCCACAAGCCAGGAGCAGCTGCGGGAGCTGCTATGAAAGCAGAGATTTCTGGTCCCCGAGTCTGCACCCTGGTCTCGGTGGGGGGTGTGTTGTAAAGTACAAGTTCATGCCAGTTGTGTCCTTCTGTCCAGCTGACGTATCTGGTATTGACTGGATGGTTCGGCATGGCCGGAGCCTGGCGCTCTCTGTGGCTGTGAACGTGGCTCCCAGCAGGCTCTGTGCAGGCAAACACAGCAATGAGGTTCAGGACATGATCCTCAGCAATGCCGTGGCAGACAGGGTAAGGCCCAGTCCCGTCCTCCCCTGACCCTCCATTGCCATTCCTCACTAGCCCTGTCCAGAGGGGCGTGTCCAGCTGGGTGTCCAGATCCTGGGTTCCACTGTGGCTGGTTAACTTGGATGCTGAGTGAATGAGTCCTTTGGGCTCCAGTTTAATCATCTAAACCGAGACATTGGGTTAGAGGATGTCGATGGCCCCTCTTGGTCAGAAGATCTCTAATCCTTGTTCTGGGGAACCATTGGCTTTGTTCTGCTCTGCCACCTGGCAGATGTTTAAATGAGAGCTGAGGAGGAGCTGTTGGTGAGGGGTCATCCAGGATAAGATGGGTGTCGAGGGGCCTGCAGTTCCCCGGGGCAGGACGCTTACCTGGCTCTGCTGCTTCAAGGCAGCATGGGGTGGGGCTCCACCCTGTGTATCTCCTGCTGTTCTCCACAGATCCCCATTGCTGTGAGTGGGATTCGGGGCATGGGCTTCCTCATGAAGTACCACATCGAGACAGGAGGTGGACAGTTGCCGCCCAGACTCTCCAGCCTACTCATTAAGGTGAGTGGGGACAGTTGATGAGGAGCCCTAGGACCAGATCACACTGGAGTGAGTTCTTTTGTGATGGTGTCCAGGAGCTTTGGACCCCTGGGGATAGATGGCAGAGTGTTTCTGTGTGTATTTTTCTCAGGCTGTATATTCAGTGTTTGGTCAGATTCTTAGACCTGTGACTCTAAATCAAGATAAGAATCCCTTTTTCAACAGATGTGGTGGCGTACGCCTTTAATCCCAGCACTTAGGAGACAGAGGCAGGAGGATCTCTAAGTTCGAGACCAGCCTAGTCTACAGAGCGAGTTCCAGGACAGCCAGGGCTACACAGAGAAACCCTGTCTCGAAACAAACCAACAAACAGAACCTTTGTTTTTGTAGCAGCAGGTGGGGGAGGCGCATGCGGTCAGAGGGCACGTACAGGAGTTGGTTCTCTCTTCCCATGTGGGTCCAGAGGGTCCAGTCCTCTAGTCAGGCTTGGCAGCAGTTGCCTTTACCAGCTGAGCATCTCACTGGTTCCCAAGACAGGGAGTCACCATGCAGCCTTAGCTGGCCCAGTCTACAGATTCAAGGAGGCCTGCTTCTGCCTCCCATGTGCTGAGATTAAAGGCACATGCCTCCATGCCTGGGGATTGAATTGAATTCTAATAATCTCCTTGCCTGTCTCCCTCCCTCAGCTGGCATGGCACTTAGCAGTGTGACTGTTGTGTCGGTCCCAGGCTCTAATCAAGATAGCTGGGGAGCCTGATGGGGTGGCACATGCCTGTAATCCTAGCACTTGGGAGTCAGGCAGGAGGATTGTGAACTTAGGCTATCCTGGGCTACAAGTGAGTAAGAGAAGGGAGTAGGTGAAGGTGCCCGGTGATCTGACGTGACAGCAGGGCTCTCCCTGCCCGACAGCTCCCTTCTCAGACACAGTGTGCACAGAGGTCAGAGCCAGATCAACGTCTTAGTCGGATGGGGCCATGCTGGAAACCCTGTGAACAGCCTTAGGCAGTTACAGTGCTGCTGTGCTTGGACATCTCTGAGTAATGAGGTTCCAAAAAGGAGCCACCATCCTCTGGAGATGCCTATCCCACTTGTGAGAGTTTAGAAAGGGTCTGATTGGATGGGCCGCCTGTGACCCGGTCAGCCTGCATTCATTTGCTGAGGGCCTGCTGGGTTTGACTGAAGGAGTGGCAGTGAACAAGGGAAGCAGCTCCCCGCAGCCTCTCAGAGAAAGGCCTGGGTTAGACAGGTGAAGGGTGAGGAGGATCATGTCAGTGAGGAACCCAGGGCGAGCACATCCCAGACAGTGTGGCCAGCAATAACCAAGGCCTGGCAGGAAGGAATGGAGCTTGTGTGAGGAAGGGAGAACCTCATGTGGGCCAGGAGCTGTGAGCCAAGGGACTGTGAGCCAAGGGGCTAGCAACACTAGGTGAGAGGGGGAAGGAAGACACCCTGTCACCTGCCGAGGGAGGGACCTTGTCACACTTACCTTTGGGGTGGGAACAGTGGAGAGAGAATGTCCCTCCTGGAAGTGTAGGCTTTTCTGAGAAGCAGACTGGATGTATCTATCCCTCTGGGTTCCTCTCACAGTGTCTGCAGAACCCTTCCAGTGACATCAGGCTGGTTGCCGAGAAGATGATCTGGTGGGCAAATAAAGAGCCCCGGCCTCCCCTGGAGCCGCAGGCCATCAAGCCCATCCTGAAGGCTCTTCTTGACAACACCAAGGACAAGAACACTGTAGTGAGGGCCTACAGTGACCAGGCCATCGTGAACCTGCTCAAGATGAGGCAGGGCGAGGAGCTGTTTCAGGTGGGAGTCGGTCTGGAGTGTCAGCAGCACACTCTGAGCATGTGTCCTGCTGTCCTTTGTACAGTGGTACCAAAGCCCCGTTCTCTGCCACGTGTATGTCGGTTATCAGGGGCAGGTGGAGACTCAGGTGCCTGGAAGGAACATAGATCCTTTGTTTTTCAGACTCATTTCAGCAGCAAATCAATTCTCTTTTATGGAGCCCAAGTGCATGCCAGAAACCTGGCAGGGCTGCCCCATCTGAGCCCCACGCTGTGTCCTTCGCCCCCTCCTCACCAGCCACTGTCAAACAGAAAGCTGCAGCCTGTGTTCCCCAGCTTAGGAAAGGCACGAGGAGATATTTTCTGAGTTGTCTCTGGTCTATCCAAAGCCTTTGCGTTGCCAGATTCTGCCTTGGTGGCTCAGTCCCGGCTTGGCACCCACCCATAGCTGTGTTCTCCCGTCTCCTCCTCATCTTCCCCGCAGTCACTCTCCAAGATCCTGGACGCGGCCAGCTTGGAGGCCCTGAATGAGTGTAACCGGAGGTCGCTGAAGAAGCTGGCCAGCCAGGCCGACTCCACGGAGCAGGTGGACGACACCATCCTGACGTGACAGGCCAGGTCCTCTGCAGAAACTCCGCTCCACATCTTTGTTCACTGTTTTCATTTTTGAAAATACGTTTATTCCAAGGGGGAGCTCAGGAGATGGTGTTCCCAGAAAGTATTTTAGTATATCAGCCGATCAGAGCCAAAGCCTTAAATCAAACCCACACACAACTGAAAATTGCCTCCTCCATCTCTTGCCCTTGTCTTTGGAGAAGAGAAAGAAGAGCATACGCATAAACCTCAGTATGGCAGCTAGGGGGCCCAGCCCGGCCTGGCCAGGAGGCACAAGCCCAGATCCCTTTCTGTGCTGGAGCTCCCAGGGTCTGCCCAGGGTCTGCCCAGGGTCTGAGTGGGCACAGCTTCAGAGCTCTGCCGGCTGCTGCGTCTGGGCTTTCTCTGCAGCCTGACTGGATCTGACTTGTCTGGAGAAGGTGATACTCATCCACCTCCTCAGTTCTAGGTCTAGGGGTTATAGGCCATTCGAAGGAGGAGTGTTTAATAAAGGCTTTGATTTCATCTTGAAAGAAGCGGGCTTTATGTTGTCATCCTTTGAGACAAGTTCTCTCTCTGTGTAGTCCAGGCTGGCCTTGAACTCAGAGATCCACTGGCCTCTGCCTCCCAGTGCTGGGATCAAAGGTGTGTACCAGGCCAGGCAAGAATTAGATTGTTTATAATCTCCAAACACCCATTAGACATGAAGCTTTCTGCGTCAAGAACAAGGGACGTTTTCTGCTCTTGTTGGAAGTATGAGCCTCGCTCTGGTTTTCAGCCCTGCCGTCAGAGCCTCATCCACTGGCTTCTCTGCCCAGGCTCAGCGCACAGCCAGGCCTGAGATCTCCCGCAGTGTGGGGAAGTCAGGGGCTGAATGACTACTTCCCAACTCTGTCCTGGTGGGAAGGCGGTGGGGACGGTGGTCCCCTCTGTGGAGCCATGTTCCTACAGCCCAGGGACGTGCAACAGGGAACCAGAGCTGCAGCTCAGTGTCTGCCTCGTTTATGAATGACTTCCTTCCTCCTAATTCCTAGAAGGTTGTGACACACCCCCTAGTGCAGCAAGCTTCATGGTCCCAGTGTGAAATAAACCTTTATCAAAATTGCTGGCCAGTGCTGGGCTTGGACCAGTGGTGACTTAGTGCTGTAATCCCAGCACTTAGGTAGGAGAACTTGGGGTGGGGGTGTCATTCTCAATTACATAGTTAAGGCTAGCCTGGCTCCATCAGAACATGTCTTAGAAAAATAAAGTTAAAAAGGCCAGTGCCTGGCTGGGCAGTGGTGGTGCACACCTGTAATTCCAGCACTATGGAGGCAGAGGCAGGTGGATCACTGAGTTCGAGGTCAGCCTGGTCTGCAGAGTGAGTTCTAGGACAGCCAGGGCCACACAGAAAAACTGTCTCGAAAAACAACAAAAGACCAATGTCACTAACAGTGTAGCAGAGGTCGAAACTGGGCTTTTGACTTACAGCAATTTGTGAGAAAAAATGACCTCTAAGATGTGTCTGGTAGAATCCTTTATTCCTGAGCATCATATGTCTGGGACTTCTTTCACAGCAGACCTGGTGTCATCTGGCTTGGGGGGTAACTGTAGAATCCTAGGGCTGGAAGGGACCTTGAGAGGTCAGCCGAGTCAGTCCCCGTAGTCAAGCAGCCAATGGTTTTGGCTTTTGGTAGCCATGGCAACTGGGATTCAGATGGTCCAGTGTCCTCCCAGCTGCCTAGGGCATCTGTCAACCAAGCTGTCTGCATGTGTGCTCACCTCTCCCAGGCAGTGTGGTTAGGTGCTCAGCCCAGAAGCCTCTTCCAGGCAGCGGGCTGTCCTCAGTGTTTCCTCTACCAGCTTGGGTTACATCCATCCTAGCTGGGAGGGCAACCTGATGTGCAGAGGGTGGGGGACATCCAGTAAGCAGAATCCGAAGGAAAAACAGCTTCCAGTTCCAGAAACCGGAGGAGGATGAGCACTGTGTTCAGAATAGACGTCTGGAGGTTGTCACAGACATGACTCAGGTCTCTTGGAGCACGCTGAATTGCATTCCTCTGGTGTGCTAGGTGGGTGAAAGCCCTCAGGAAGTCCAGTGGCTAAGGACTGTCACAACAGTGGGCAGGCTGGAAGGACTTGTCTGGAGGCACAGCAGCCCTGGAAACAGCCCAGACAAGCCCTGGAGGAAGTGGAGCTTGGCTCCCTAGGAGTAAAAAACTATTTGTCCCAGTGGCTGGCAGCTGCTTAGTGTCTGACAAAGCATTGGAGCTCTTCATACCCAGTTCCTCATTTGTAGAATGAGGAATTTGGAAATGCTCAAAATGTTCTCAGCTCCCCTTTAGGTATTAGTATAATTGTACTACTCAACATTTATTTGAAGCATTCTATAAACTAGGGTCTCTTGTTTGTTTTAAGATGTGTGTGTTGCCTGTATGCATGCCTACACACTATACACATTTCTGGTATCCACAGAGGTCAGAAGATGACATCAGGTCCCCTGGACTGGAGTTATGGATGGGAGTTAACCGCTATGTGAGTGCTGAGAAGCAAGCCAGGGTCCTCTGGAAGAGCAGCCAGTGTGATTAACCCTTAACAGCTAAACCATCTCTCCAGCCCCTTGCTACTGTTTTCCAGGAGGAAATTGTGGCACAGTGGCCACATGCCCAGCATTATGTGGCTCAGAAATGGCAGTGCCGTCCTCTCACCTTGTGGTGGGCTAGGCTTCAGCATTTTTACTCTTCAAAGCAATGCTTCCAGAACTTTCCTGTTCTGGCACTCCCAGGAAATGGGGCAGTGGAAGACCCTGGGTAAAAGTATGAGCCAGGTCCGGGTGACTGGCCCAGGGCTCCACGCACCCCAGGTTTCTCCTAGCTTCTGGAGCTGCACTCTGACAAATTCCTCACCTCATTTGCAGGGTACTGGCTGGGAAAGTCTTTAGAGAGGCAGGGTCCTCAAATCGGTGACAAAATGGTGTAACCTTGATCACTAAGAGGTAATTGTCTAAACCAAGTGTTCCCAACCTTTGAACTTGGAGCCTGGGAAACTGGTGTCCAGGTCTGTGGAATGGATCTTATGATATGACTGAGACACTCCTCAGATCAGCCTTGCAAGTTAAGTCTTCTCTACAGGGCTCACAAGCCCAGGAAGCAGGGCTTTGCAGAGACTTAGATTTGGTCTTTGGAGGTATTTACCTGATGGATTTTGAAACAAGGTAGGCATTTGGAAATGCTTGTGGGTTTTTTTGTTATTGTTTTGTTTGTGTGTATTTGTTTTGGGTTTTTTTTGGGGGGGGGGGTGCTTCAAGACAGGGTTTCTCTGTGTAACTGAACTTGCTGTGTGTGTCCTGGAACTTGTTCGGTAGACCAGGCTGGCCTCAAACTCGGAGATCTGCCTGTCTTTGCCTCCTAAGTGCTGAGATTAAAGGCCTGTGCTGCCACCACCGCCACCCTGTGTGTTTTGTTTTTTAAAGTAGGGCCTCTCTGTCCTGAACTTGCTTTGTAGACCAGGCTGGCCTCAAACTCAAATGTCTGCCTGCCTCTGCCTCCCGAGAGCTGGAATTCAAGGGGTGCACCAGCACACCCAGCCAGGAATGCTTTAAGTATAGTTCCATGAGGCTGTTCAAGTTGCTTCAAGTTTTTCTAAAACAGCAACAAGTTGTAATATAGTATATATTATAGTAGTATCCCCAAACTCAGGGGCCTAGGGCAGAAGTGCTGTAAATTCAAGCTCATCTGAACTGTAAGATTCCATCTTAAAAAAAAATAAGGGAAAAGAAGGATTTTACTTTTGTTGTGGAGTATGTATAGGCGTGTGTCTATATGCAGGTACAGGTGTGTGTGCATATGTGCACATGTATGGAAGCCACACACAGTGCCTTCCTAGATTGTTCTCCATCTTATTTTTTTGAGACAGGGTCCTGTCATTGAAGCTGGAGTTCTTTGATCCAGCTGGGCACCAGGGATCCTCCTGCCTCCAGTTTCCCAGCACAGGGAATGTAGCCATAGGCTGCCACACCTAGGGGAGCTTGTGCTTGGGTGGCAGGCACTTTACCGACAGTTTTCAAATCCCCAGGCTTTAGCTTTTTGCCGTGCTGGAGGTATGACATGGGGCTAGGCCAAGCTGCCCCCCAGGCCCAGGCCCAGTCTAAAAGGACTAGTTGTAACACGTTCTAATGTAATATTTTGTTTGTGCTCTAATAGAATTGGTGCTACATCCTAACTACAACTATAACTAGTTCTGACGCTGAAGGAAATGCTCTACAGTTGGGTGCGTCGGAGACCCAGGGGCTTTGCAATCGGCTTCCAACCCTCCCTGTGCTGCCCGACATCCAGCTCTCTAACAGATGTGGTGTACAGCCACCACAGGTGGTCCACAGTGAGTGATAACATGGTGTGCTCTGCACAAAGCTGGGCACACAGGTTCTTCTCATGTGGACAGTGTGAGAGACTCAGGGAAAGGGCCAGTGTGCTGGTTTGAATAAAAATAGCCCCATAGGCTCATAGATTTGGATGCTTGGTCACCAGGGAGAGGCACTACTTGAGAAGGCTTAGGAGTTGTGACCTTGGAGGAGGTGTGTCACTGGGAGTGGGCCACAAGAACATATTATAGAGATTCAGCTGTATATCAAAGCTATACCTAGAAAAATCAAGGAATGTTTCTAGAGGAAGCCATTTATCAAGGAATATTTGGTGTTATTTAGCTTTTAATATGTATCAGCTGCCTTCTGCTATGAAATTCTTGTGTGCCCATATACTACTAGGCCATTGGCAAACAATTAAGCTTCTCAGACTTACTGCTGATCCATTAGGTAACTAACACCCCTGCAGAGCCTAGGAGACAGGCAGGCTGTAGATGCATAGCTTTGTTTCTTGTGCAGATGAAGCTCAGACCATCCCTTGCCTTCAGGCCTAGTACAACCAGAGCTATTTACTCAGGACAATAGGGCTTTTTGCAGAACCAGGTGTAGTAAAGACTGGAGTGGAACTCCTGGCCCAGGCAGAGCTGTGTGGCCAGGGAGAAGAGAAGGAGCAGAGTTTCTCAGAGCCAGGGGTAAGGAGCAAGGAAGGAAAGATGGAGGATGAAGGAACAGAGGATGAAGATGAGATCGAAAGCATAGGAGCTTAGTTAGGACTATGGCAGGCAGGCCCAGTAGGTACAGAGAGGAGCTGGCTGTATGTGAGGACGGAGCTGAAGCTGCATAGATAGAGTTTTGTCTTAGAGGAAAGAGGATGGTGTATATAGATTCCTTTCCCTCAGATAACCCTACGCCAGATGTAGCGTCTTCCCCAGGACCCTGGGAGGGATTTTCCCTTGGGAAAATTCCATTACCTAGTGTCTCTCTTCTGCTGCCTGCAGATCTGGATGTAGAACTTTTAGCTACTTCTCCAACTTCTCCAGCACCATGTCTGCCTATGTGCCACCATGCTCCCTTGCCATGACAATGGACTAAGCCTCTGAAACTGTAAGCAAGTTCCAATTAAATGTTCTTTTGTTTTTTATGAGTTCTGTGGTCATGGTGCCTCTTCACAGCAATAGAACAACACTACGACAGCCAGTCATGGTGCCAGGTGGGACACAGGTGAGCATAAGGCCTTTTTAATGTGCCTTCAGTTTCTGGACCCCATAGTTTGAAAAGCTGTTAAGATTTATTTGGAAGACATGATTGTAATGGTGATGATTTCTTTTGCCAGTACATGGCAGGAAGGGATTGGCCGCCAGTCACTCCCCATATAGCACAGCACTCCTTATTTAGGAAGAGTAGAGCTGAGGTGCCCTTGGGAAGGAGGTCTCTAAGGTTCTGTTGGCAGAATTTGGGGGGGGGGCTGTATTTCTTGATTTTCTAGTCACCAAGCCCCAGTGCCATCCAACAAAAATAATCTGGAAAGTGATTTGAACAGAAGAAGCGCCAGGGTTTGTGTGTGGCTCTGGAATGACTAGGTTCCGCCTTGCGGAAGAGAACTGTGTGCTTCCCTGGGTGCTTCTGAGTCCTGTTAGGGGGGCTCCCCTGCCTTCAGGTGGGGAGGGAGTCTACCATGTTCAAGCCTAGGAAGAAAGTGCTGGTTCAAGGAGTGTGTCAGGAGGATTCTGAGACCTAATTGAGTGTGCCAGACCGAGTCCCCATACCCTGTCTAGTGTGGCTTCTCTCGAGATGGTAACAGAACAACCAATGTGTGGAAGTCTCTGAACAGTGCCTTACTCCCCTGAGAGAGCTACACTCGATCCTTCCTACCACTTAAGATTCCCACCCCAAAGGGAGGTGGGCGGCTGGGGCATGGCGACATCTGTCACATCCTTTCTCAAACAGCTTGGCCTCAGGACCCATTTACACTTCAAAATTATCAAAGACTCCATATCAAACAATCCATTCCAAAGAATGTATCTTACCTGTAGACGCTTGCGTTCTAGAAACCACAACAAAAATCTTCGTTAGAAAAGAGTTAGCCAGGCGGTGGTAGAGTATGGGATCCAGGACAGCCAGAGCCCCACAGAGAAACCCTCTCTTGAAAACATAAAATAACAACAGTAATAGTAACTAGGAGGAAACAGCACAGCCAGGTGACGTAGCTCAGTTGGTCGAGCGTTTGCCTAGTGTGCAGGAAGCCCTGGATCTATCTGCAGTACCACAGAAAGCCTGGCGTGGTTTTCATGGTCACTTCCTCTTTCTTACACGAACACAGCCTATGGCCCTCGGACGTACCCGGATATCACAGCTCCATCCAGGCCTCTCCTGACCCGGAGAGCACTGCTGACTTCGAGGAGCCACCCTCCTTCCCAGTCCTCCTGACCATCGCTCAGCAGCTCTTCGCCCTGGAATGCACTGTCATCCTCTGCCCTCTGCTTACCACCTGCTTTCTGCTCACTGCCAAACTTGAACAAGGCCTGCCACCCTGAGCTTCCTTGGCCCCCAGCCCCTTCTCCTCTATGCTTCTCTCTTCTGACCCACAGCCCATTCTCCCAAACAGTGTGCAAGTAGGTTTTTGAATTTTGCTTACTGCTAAATCTCTGGCGGCTAGACCAGTGCCAGGCATAAAGTAGGCCCCCAATAATTGTGTTTTTTAACTTAAAAATTAAGAAGAAATATTTTTATTTTTTAGAAAATATGCACGAGTGTATGTCTTTGTGCCTGGTGCCTGTAGAGGGCGACTGTTCTCCTGGACTGGAGTTAGAGACATTGTTAGCTGCTGTGTGGGTACTGGGGACGAAACCTGGTCCTCTGCAAGAGCAACTGCCTTGGCGTCTCTCCAGCCCCCATTGATGGTTGAATTACTGACTTGCTTCCCCCACCATGAAGATGTGGGTGGTGTTTTGCTTCTGGGTGCATCTAGCAAGCACACCCATATTTATTGAATTAATGAATGAATCCATCGCAATCGACTGAATTTGTTGCATGAATCCAGGTGAGGTGATGTTTTAAAAGCAGCTTTGTCTGGCTGTCACTGTTTGCTGTGTTGATTTGTTGGTATCTGCCCCTCCTGTTCATCATACACTTCCAGCCCGGCAGCTCTATCTGGCTGCCGCCACCGTGAGTCTGCGGTGTAGCTCATGGTGCTGCTCTGCTGGGAGACTCCTGTCCTCTCTTGCAGCTCCTAAGGTAGAAGCAGCTGCAGGCCTCCTCTAGCCACAGCTCAGGACTCCTGAGATGAGGTTTCCAGCCGCAGGCGGTCCTGATCAGGTTGGAGGTTTACATACAACACAGCACACGTGCTTAGAGATGAGAGCTCTTACTGATGAAGCTGAGTGAAGGTGAGGCAGTGTTTTCAGAGAATGTGCTGGGAGACTCATTTTGGGGTTCCAAGGGTATATCCTCAGGGAATTCCCTCCCCAAGCCAAAACTGATGATTCTCACAGGTTCAGACAGCTGCTGTCTAAGTACAGCTGACATTCAAAGCCCACCTCTGTTCTGGTGCCACCATGAATCTTTATGCTGGGATCTTTCCCGTCACTCTAACAGTGACGGTTTGTCTCTTCTGACGTCTAGGTGGAGAAATCTGACAGCTGTTGTGTCTTCTGTACTCTATCATTCATTTTTAATTCCTCATGAATGTATCTGAGCTCTGCTGAGTCTGCAAATTTTTGGAGGGAAAAAAGTTTAATATCCTTTACAACATGGGGTATATAAATAGGAAGAAACCATTCAATAGTTCCAGAATAAATGGAGGGATTAACACCTATTGGGTTCTAGATGACACCTGGGGCAAAACTGGGAATCTCATCTCCCATGGCCAATTCTGCTTTACATCCCTGGCGTGTCCAGCAGCCACGTCATCAGGCTGCTGCCTAGGAAATTCTTAAAGTCTAGAATAGCAAACAGTTCTAGGATGAAGTCCCTGCAGCATGACCGATTAGCATCGGTGGCCACACAGCCTCCCATCTACAATATTCTGTGAGGAAACAGGCTCTGAGACAGGGCTATGTGGCTTGTCCAAAAGCATTGCAGGGGTGGACTTCGAAACGGCAACCCTCCTGACCTGGGAGCAGATATGCAGATGTGATCCACTGCCTCACAGGCTGGGGAGACACCGGGTGCTTATCTCAAGTCTAACCTAAGACTTTCTTTTTGGTTTTTTTTTTGTTTTGCTTTTTTTTTTTTTTTTGGTGACAGGGTTTCTCTGTGTAGCCCTGGCTGTCCTGGATCTCACTCTGTAGACCAGGCTGGCCTCGAACTCACAGAGGTCCACCTGCCTCTGCCTCCTAAGTGCTGGGATTAAAGGCGTGCACCACCACTGCCCGGCCTAAAATGTCTTTCTTTCCATCTGCTTTATTTAAACTTTTTTTTTTTGAGGTTATTTTTTGTGTATGAATGTTAGTCTGAATGTGTCTATATACCATGTGTCTGCAGTGCCTGCCAAGGCTGGAAGATGACAGATCTAGAGACTGGAGTTACAGACGGCTGTGAGCCACCACGTGGGTGCTGAGGATTTAGTTAGGGTCCTCTGGAAGAACAGCCGGTGCTCCTAACTGCTGAAGTATCTCTCCGGCCCTTCCGTCTGTTTCTTAAAACTGCTGGTCAAAGGGATGGCATTAACTTGCCCAGACCCAGAAGTTCCATCAAGTACACATACCACAGCACCACTCCTCAGCCGGTACCTTCTGATTCCAGACTTGAGCTCATCTGACATGACCACGCTAGCTTCTGGAAAAACAGTTCAAGGCTTGCACCAGCCACTCACTCCATGTGCTGTTCAAGGACTTGCCTGTAACACCTTGAATAGCATAAAATTATGAACTGCGTGAATCTACTAGCAGCAGAGTGGTTAAGGAACAGTACAACCATCAGATGCAGTACCAGGTCGGGAGGCAGTTAAATGACTGATAGAAGTATACTGTGCATGCGCAAGGCGTATACATATACGTACTTAAACACACATAGAAATTAGTGGGGAAGCAGGTCTCCATTCAACTAGTAAGTATTTCTTGCTGTCCAAGAAACCTTAATGTGTCACTATGAGGAGTGGTTCAGAAGGAAAAACTAATTTGGACTTTGAATTTAGTAAGCATTTGTACTTTTTTTTTTTTTTTAAACACTAGCACTGCTTTTTATGGGGAAAGATTAGATCGAAAGAACGGCAGTATCCCAACAGGAGCCTGACTGGAAAGGTGTTATGACGCATGACGAGGGGGCTGGGAGTGGAGCTCAGCTCGCAGAGTGCTGGCGTAGCATTGTGCGGAAGCCCTGGGTTCGAGTCTCCGCACCACATAAAACTGGATTCGGGAGGTACAGGTAGGAGGATCAGAAGTTCAAGGATATCCTCGGCTACTCGGCGAGTCTGGGGCCACCCTGGGCTACTTGAGAACCTGCTGGGAAAAGCCAAAGGCACAGGGACGGAGCAATCCGCGCAAGTCTGCAGTACGGATGGCGGTGGCAGCGCCCCGGGAAGCGCAGGTGGGCATCCACCCAAACTGGAAAAACCTGAGGCTGCTTCTGAATTGCGTACGGCTGAGTTCCGGCGCCCCGGGGTTCCTTCGGCCACGGGGAAACCGAGGCCGAAGGAGCGGCCGCGCGCGCGGGCGCAGGCGACCAGGGTGCGTCCTACGGATCCGAATTCGGAACCGCTACCCGTTCGGCCAGGAGCGTCGGGGTCACGGGGCTCGGAGGCGACTTCCGCCCGGCGCTGACCTCTAGGACGCAGCTCCGCAGCCGGCCGCCGCCGCCTCCCTTCCGTCGGGCCAGCGTGGAACGGCTCGCTCCTCTGGGCCGCGGCGGCCGCGCTCGCCCGGTACTCGGTCGGGGCGCAGGCGCACTGCGCGTGCGTGAAGAGGGCGCGGCCGGCCGGGGCTGCGGCTGCGCAGAGGCGGGGCCAGCCGCCGCGCCTGCGCAGTGGTGGGGCGGGGCGGGAAGGAGGGAGGCGGTGGCACCGGCGGCGGCTGCTGAGGAGGAGGAGGAGGAGGAGGGTGGGGGGAGCGAGCGGAGGGAGGTGTTTCTGTCAGTTCCGGCTGTTTGTTCGGGAAGTGGATCCGCCGCTGCCGGAGCAGCCGGGAGGGAGCTGCGGATCGCGAGGCCAGGACCGACCCCGCCCGCCCGCCCGCCCGCCCGCCCGCCCGCCCGCCCGCCCGCGCGCGCCGCCCCCGCCCGCCATGGCCCGGGACTACGACCACCTCTTCAAGCTGCTCATCATCGGCGACAGCGGTGAGGGCCGCAGGGGCCGGAGGCGCCCAGGGCCCTGCCGGGCGCGGCCCGCGGGGGCCCTGGGGCGGGCGGACGGGCGGGCGGGCGGACGGACGGGGAGGCGCGGCCCGCGCGGGGCGGGAGGCGCGGAGCGCGGCGGCCGCAGGCCCCGGGGGGGTGCAGTCAGGGGCTCGGCCGGGCTGTTCCTCTGCGGGTCGGGGTGCCGAAGCGCGCGGGATGCACGCCCCGGCGCTTGCTCCTGCCTCACGTGTGACCTTGGTCAAGTCGCGCGATCGCTGGAGTTGGGGAGACCCGGGTTCGAGTCCCGGGCAAACAGGCTTTTTCACTCCGTGACCTTGGGCAAGTTGGCTTCACCTCTCTGAGCCTCAGTTCCTGCATCTGAGAAGTGGGGACTTGCTAAACTGGGCGTTGTGAGTATTCGGTTGAGCTAAAAGTAAGGAAAGTGCTTAGCGCCTGGCCCGATGGAAAGTAACCCCTAAGTAACTGTTAGTGTTGTCAGAATGAGTCTCCCTGTGAGGACTGAGCCCTCTGTGAAATGGGGGTATTTCCAGCACCTGTCCCTCCGGGTTGCTGTGCGTTTGGATGAGGCGCGGCAGGTAAAGCCATAAGCACATTCCTGCAGAATCGTTGCAAAGTCTTTGGTTGGTTCGGTTCCCTCATCTGTAGAATGGAGTAGTAGTAGATCTGCCTGACGCGGCTGATGGTAGTTAGCACGCAGCTGATGTTAGCACAGACAGTGATGAGAACGGTGTCTGGCACACAGTGGGTGGACAGCGTTTGCAGTTGTTACCTTCCTGCGATACCAGAGGGGGACCCGGGGATGCTTCATCCAATATTCTAAGTGCTTCGTCCACATACACACTCCTTTCAGTACCGCTCCATCGCTGATTCATAGAGCAACTTCTGGTACCCAGTGCTTAAAATGCATGTGTTCGGTGAATGAACACAGAGCAGCCTTAGGAAAGTCAGACTGGTTTCTGGCCGAGGATGAAGCGTTTTAGAGATGTTTGGAGTATGGCAGGTGACCAGGTCTGTGGAGTGACATTGAGTTCAGGGAGGCAGGTCCCAGGATGCTTATGGGAGTGTAGCTGAGGTGCTAGGACCGTAGGATGTTTTGGAAGGAGGCTGGGGAGCAGCCAAGTCTATAGATGAGACTTCAGTTGAGTGTGGGATAGAGGGTCATGTGACTTGAGACAGCCAAGTTGGTGGTAGAGCCTGTGGATCATTAAGGAAATGAAGCAGCAAGTCCCTTGAGACTCCGGATGTTGGCTTGGGTGGCAGTGTCATAGATGGGTCATTCAAGTGAGTGGTTTTTGGTGGAAACCCGTGAAGCTGGGTTGGGATGTGGTTGGTGGTTTGGATCTGGTGGAAGGTGGCTGAAGTTTCAGGGGTTGCTGGTGGAGGGAAGATCTCGGGAAAAGTTAGGGCCCAACCAACCAGTGAAGTGGAAGAGTAACAGTGGGCGGGGATGGAGTTAGAAAGGTGGAGGGCTGGTGGGTTGCAGTTTGAATGAAACAGAACCGAGCAAGCTGTGTAAACTTGAACTTGGACATAGCCTATGGCATTCCTCTGGACTCTGAGGATTTGCTTTTTCCTCTGGCCTTGGTTCTGAGTGGTTGACGGTATGGTGATCTCTTTCCTTTTGTAGTTAAAGTCAGCCTGCTGTGGTCAGAGGTCTTTACCCTTCCTGAAGATGTCTTGTGCCAGACTCAGCAAGAAGATGTAGCTTGTTGGCTTTTCTGTGAAACCCAGGAGATGGTTTTGGCTTGCTTTCTTACAGTGTATTTTACATGGTGTATTGATTTTTTTTTTTTTCCCCTCAGAAGTCAGGTGTGGGAGAAGACTCCTTGGTCAGGGTCTGTGTGGTCTGGCTCCCAGTTCAGTATGAGTGTGTAGGCCTGGGTTGGGGAGAGGAGGGAGACACTTTGTTTGATGTCTCCTGACACTGAGCTGAACACTTAGGAAACTGGGAGATGGTAGCCAGGGGAGTTCAAAATAAGCTCTGCAGCTGAGCGGGGAGCCTGACATCATCACCTGCCTGCCCTGGGCCCCCTGAGTGTGTGCTTCTTAAGGTCTATCAAATGATTCACAGACACTTTCTCATCTGATTCTCACCCATGGCCTCTGTGGTTTGTCAAATAAGGAAACTAAGGCTTAGAGGAGCTGCCTGACTGCCCCAAATCACACAGCTTCCAGCAGCAAAGCCGGGAGCCAGGGTTGGTCTCCATTAACACTGCCAGGGCAGGTGGTGGTGGGCCGGCAAGCTGGAGGCCCTCAGTGCTAGCTGCTTTATAACCGAGTCCTTCTTCCCGCCGGACCACACCGTACACACTTCTGGGATGCCTTCCCTGGCTTGGGTATCTCTTCTTTGTAGCCGAAATTCTCTACTTTCTTCTTAGCTGTTGTGGCATTGACTTTGGTTTACAACGGTGCCCACCGATGCCAGTCACTCTCGTTCTTAGAACCTGGAGGCTGGTGTGCCATCCGAGACCTAGTTAAAACCCTTACCAGATGAGTAGACTGGAGCTGGGAGGCGGGCATGGCTTGGCTGAGGTTACAGGAGAAGGTGGTCACTGAGGCAGGATTGAAGTTGATAGCGCTTCACTTGAGTTTACGGCAGGCCGGTGCTGAAGCAGAGAAATTGATGGGTCTGTGGCCTACGAGGGAAACAGTGGGACAAAGCCGGGGTGAAGGCCCAAAGGCAGACGGGGGCGGTAACGGCCAAGGGTGAAATCGCTTGCCTGCCAAGAGGCCACAAGTGTGCTGAGGTGTGCCCGTGCCCCTTGCAGGGCAGCAGACCGTAGCATTAGGTGGCTGGCGGGAAGTACTGCTGTGGTGAGAGTATGCCTCGCACTTGTTTGCTGGGTGCGTGTGCAGGGTAGACAGCAGCTAGGCTACTTGGGAGGTGGTGTGGTCTCTGTTCCTCTCGGGAGGACAGTGCTGGAGATTGGTGCAGGTCTATGGCAGCAGACCCTGCCGTGACTAGTGGTCATCCTGCAGCCAGGGATTTCAGGTTCTGCTGTCACTGCCAATGGCACCTTTCTCTTGTCTATTACGGTCTGAGACTCAGATAAATTGAATAATAATAACAACAGTAATATTAATAGTATTGCACATCTTTAATCCCAGCACTTGGGTACACAGGCAGGTGGCTCTCTGTGAGTCTGAGGCCAGCTTGGTCTACATTGGGAAGTTCCAGGACAGCCAGACTCTGTCTGAGGGGAAAAAAAGAAAAAGGATTCTGCTGTCTCCTGCCCCTAAGGTTTGAAAGCTGCTTCATGGCACTTGGTAATGCTGCTGTAATAGCATGACGTTCCCCGGCTTTCACCGAGACTGATATTTGTTCGGCCATCAGTTTGTGGAGGGTGTTTAGGTGGTAGGTATTAAGTGCTGGGTTCAGCTCACAGCACCAAGTGGATGCATAGGGTGAAGGCGGCAAGGTCTAGGTCCTTAGTGCTTAGGGAACTCACTGCTTAATGGCCAGACATGAGCTTTTAGCTGAGTAAGCTGGACCTAGAAGGCTTCAGGAGGAAGCAGAGGAGGCCACAGGGCCAATGGGGTGTTAGTGTCAGGCAGAGCACCACGAGGACCAGCCCAGAACTTGGGCTCTCCTTGGGTTTAGCAGGAAGCCTCGTGGCAGCACAATGAGGAAGTGGTGCTGAGCCCTGGGCGCCGGAGGGCTGAGCAACAGGTGCCCTGGATGCTCAGCTGTGTGCTCAGGAGCCCGGCACCCTCAGACCCTCTGGGGAAGGTAGGACCCGGGTGGACTCAGAGAAGCAAGTTCTGGGCGGCCCTGCCGACTTGCTCACTGGAGATGGCCTGGAGAGGATGTCTGGGGTTAGGTTAGAGAAACCAGTGTTTCTACAGCAGCTCAGTCTGCAGCGGTGGTTTGCAGTCTTGGTTATTTGAGGGTGGGGGGTGGGGCAATGCCGTCTTTGAGAATTGGAGTCAGACTCTGGGTTTCTCATGATAGGCACATACACTTCAAATTTGCTTTCAGTCACAGGGCATTTATGGGGTCCTAGGTTAGGATGTGGTACGTTTGAAGGCATTTGTTAGAACAGAACAGAACAGAAAGGATGGCTGTACCAGCTCTGGGATCAATTGATGTTCCTCCTGAAAAAGATGCAAGAGAATGATGGGCTGACATCCACTGGCTTCTGGCTGCTTCTGTTTTAAGTCATGCTTCATCACTGGGCGACATTGTGTTTGTTCTTGTGTGGCAGTTCCACAGAAGTGAGGATACTCGGTCACTGGGTCTGGGGTATTTAAATTTTTCTTGGTATTGTCAAATTGCTTTTCAAAGAAACTGAAGTCATTTGCATTTCTACTAAACGGGCTGAAAGTGCCCCCATCAAGGGCTAAGAATATAGCTCAGGTGGTAGAGTGTTAGCCTCACGTGCACAAAGTCCTGGGTTCAATCCCCAGCACACCTGGGGAGGTGGAGATAGAAGAATCGGATTCAAGGCCATCCTCGGCTACACAGTGAGTTCAAGTGTGGTCTGGGCTACATAATACTCTGTCCCCACCCCACTCCCACCCCAAAAAAATAGAGGGAGAACGGAAGGGTAGAAAGGGAAGGAGCAAGCCAACAAGCCCTTAGGATGCCAGCAGAGGTGCTTAGCAGGCCTGGATTTGGATCTGGGTCTGACCTTTGGAGGCATCTTAGGTCAGCTGCTCATTCTTCAAGTCCTGCTCTCCTCATCTGAGGAGACACAGTCGGAATTCTGGGAGCATCACGAGCTGCCATGCAGACTTGAGTGTGTGTTAATCTTTCATTCTGAGGTTGCTTGATCTAGCCACTTTTGGATAATGGAGACAGGAGGACAGGAGGCAGGTCGGTGCACTGGCCAATCAGAACCGTGTGTGTGGCGGTCAAGAGGAAGGCAGGTTAAGGCACAGCCAGGTGCTGCTGTGCCAAGTGCAGTGGTCCAAACCCTCACGGTGGAAGCCAAGTAGGTCTCCAGCAGACTCCTTGTGTAGATGATTTTTCCTTGGGTCGCCAGCTCACAAATAATGACATGGAGACTTATTAATTATGAAAGCTTGGCCTTACCTTAGGGTTTGTTCCTAACTACTTCTTACAATCTACATTAACCTATACTTTGAAATGTGTTCCATCGTGTAGCTTGGTACCTCATCTCTCCGTCCTGCCCATCCTGCTTCCTCCGCACTGGCTGGCTGCTCTCCCTCATGCCTGGATTCTTCTTCCTACTTCCTCTCTCTGCCCAGAAGTCCCGCCTAGACCTCCTGCCTAGCTATTGGCCGTTCAGCTCTTTTCATTAACCCAGTCACAGCAGTACATCTTCATACAGTGTATAGATATCTCACACCACCCCGCCTCACCATTCAGCCATACTGACTCAGCTAGGGGTCGATGACTGACAGCTGGTTCTGGTCATGTGGGCCTCAGTTTCTTCACATGCAGAATGCCCTGATAAAACCGAGGACTCTCTCCAGCTTTCCAGTTCCTTGCAAACTGAAGTGGCATGAGATTTGCTGAGGCCCTTGCTGAATCCGGAAGCAGGATTCAGTGGACCAGTCTCGTTTGGTTGACCTTCCTCTTGCTTGTCTCTGTTGTCTGGGGCAGCCCTCAGAACAGGGCCTGGGCGTGAGTGGCTGTCATGTCCCCCAGAGGATTTGAGAGCAGCTTGTCTTACACGAGGGCGAAGGAAAAGGTCAGCGATTGACTGGAAGAGATGTTCTTGGTGTGTGCCGAGATAGGTTGGTCCTGAAGAGTTCCGGCCCCGCTGGGCTTCTTACGGAGGACAAAGGATGGTCTCCTGGGAGCTCCCCCCACCTGCTCACCTCCATGCCTTCTCTCTTGCAGGTGTGGGCAAGAGCAGCTTGCTGTTACGATTTGCAGACAACACCTTCTCAGGTGAGTCCTCCTGGGTGCTGTTGGGGTGCTTGGGTTTTGAAATCTCCTACCCTGTTCCAGAACCCACTGCTTCTGTCTGATGCAGGAGACTTTATCATTCAGGTTGTTGGATGAGGGCAAGTGGGGTGAGGCTTAGGTGAGAATTCTGCGCCTGCTGGTCCTCACTTCCCTACCAAGGGTCCATTTGTGCCCCACATTTAGGAGTTTTTAGTCTTAGGGATAGTCCATGTCTAATAGGAAGATGTCCATAACGTAAGAATGACAATTGTCCCTGCACTGTCCCTCTGCTGCCCTGGAGCCTCTGTTCAGGGTGTGGGTGTGGGTGTCCTTTCCTGACCCCACCTGCTGTTCAGGAACATGCTCCAGCCTTGCCGTGCACAGACCCCCCACCCTGGTTCTGATTGTTTTTAGACAGTGTCTCTCTATGGATCTCTGGTTTGGCCTGGAACTTGCTATGTAGACTGGGTTGACTTTGAACTCACAGAGACCCACTTACCGAGTAGGGAGGTTAAAGGCATACATGCTACATGCCCAGCCTTCCTTTCGTTCTGTAGTGACTGGGAAGGTTGCTCATGTCTGGATGCCCTGGCCTTCACTACCACCACTCAGGGCATGTGGCTTCTGGTTACATCTGTTTTAATCAATGCTGCATTTCTGGGATACATTGTTTCTTCTTGTACACACAGAACTGAGGTTACTAGGTCACAGGGTCTAAGAGTGTTTAAACTTTGCTTGGTACTGCCAGATTTCTTTATAAAAAACCTTTTGTTTATGTCAGGAGGTGGTGGTGCACACCTTTAATCCTAGCACTTGGCAGACAGACACAGACAGATCTTTGTGAGTTCGAGGCCAGCCAGGGCTGTTACACAGAGAAACAAAAAACCCTTATCTGACTGAAGCTGAGGGCAAAGGGGACATGTCATGTGTCTTAATTATTGTTCTACTGCTGTGAAGAGACACCATGATCACCGCACTGAAAGGAAGTATTTAATTGGGGGCTTAGCTTACAGTTTCAGAGGGTCAGTCCATTATCATCACGGCAGGGAGCATGGCGGCCTGCATTGCGCTGAAACAGTAACTGAAAGCTGTCTCTTGATTCATAAGCAGAGGGAGGGTGAGCGAGTGAGTGAGCCTAGACCTGGCATGGGCTTTTGAAACTCCTAGTGACACATTTCTTCCAACAAGGCCACACCGCCTATTCCTTGAAATCCTCTCAAACAGTTCCACTTCCTGGTGACTAAACCTTCCAATATGTGAGCCTATGGAGGCCGGTCTTAGTCAGACCACCACACCGTGGTGTGTGTGTGTGTGTGTGTGTGTGTGTGTGTGTAGGTCGGGGGACACTGGGGACTTGGTTCCCTCCTTCCATCATGGGGGATTGAACTCAGGTCGTCATGCTTGGCAGCAGGCACTCTACCCATCTGAGACACCTCACCAAGTTCCCAAATGGCTTTTCAAGGAAGCCGTGGTCATCTATGCTCCTGTCAGTTCGTTCTCTCTCTGACTGAGTCTGGGTGTTTTATCTGCATGTGTGTCTGTGGTTGTGAGTTTCATGTGGGTGCTGGGAATTGAACCCAGGCCTTCTGTTGGGGTGTGGAGCAGCATCTCTGGGCTGTGACAACCAAAGTTGTCTCCAGATTACTCCATGTGTCCTCTGGGGAACAAAGCCACCCTGGTTGAGAACCACTGGTCTTGAGAACCTGTTTCCAGCTTTCTTCTTGTGCTGTGTGTTGACTCTGTTTTGCTTTGCATGTTCACGTGTGAGGAGCTGCTTGCCCTGGAGATACCAGACGCCGGCCTGGTTTCTGGGGGCTCGCCCTGGTTTCTGGGGGCTCGCCCTGGTGGGGGCTGTGTCTCCACCACGTTTGCTAAGCTTTCCCGCCAACTTCCTGCTTCTGTTTTTGCCTCACCTTGAACTTTGGCCTTTCCCATGCCCTTGCCACCCTTCACGTGGCCATCTGTGTCTGTCTTTTGAAAGAGTTCCTGCTGTGTTCCGGATGGAATGACAGCCATGCTTTTAGGCAGGCCTCTGTAAGCCTGCACCATACTGGACTGTGAAAGTCGGCAGCCGCTCTTAAATGCGTCTTCCACACGGATGTCCGAAGCACCATTTCAGTAGCATCTTGTGCGCGGGTGAAACCTCATGGCCCACCGTCACACACACGGAACAACAGTGCACATGAAGGCCTGGAGGACCGGCCCTGACTCCTCACTCACCACCCACCCCGGCCTTAGCCTCACAGACCCCAGACTCACCATGGATATTTTGCTGCCATCTCCCCAGGAAGGTGCAGTGTTGGGTCCTCAGTCAATTTTGAAGGTCACCCCCCCAAAAAAAAAAAATAGAAAAGAGAGACCCAGGATGAATAGGTCTGCTGTATTCTCGGGTCACAGCCGCCATGTCGCTGCCCTGCCTTTCGCTTCCATTTTAATTTCCTTGGTAGCATGTATTTCTGAACCTGTCTCTTCCTTTGTGTTACTGGGTCCTGTCTTACTTGCATCGGGGGCCTGTTAGAGCAGGTGTGCTTTCTTTGTTCAGGGCTCTGTCCTTAGGGCCTTGCCTGCGTGGGGCTCATACAGTGAGATGGGGTGGGGTTCTGGGGACCAGAGGGCTCCCTACCCTGAGTAATGGGCTGCGTTCGTACAGGCAGCTACATCACCACAATCGGAGTGGATTTCAAGATCCGGACTGTGGAGATCAATGGGGAGAAGGTGAAGCTGCAGATCTGGGACACAGCGGGGCAAGAGCGCTTTCGTACCATCACCTCCACGTGAGTCCCTTGGACCCTTGTCTTGGATGTTTGCGTGACGTTGAGTGACAGTGTGGAACAGAAACAGTGCGGTAGAAATGTCACTGCATGTGAGGAAGTGAGGCTGGGGTGGTAGCTGGGCCTTCCCTTCCTGCAGGCACAAGAGAAGGCCGTGGTGTGCTGTGGGGGCCACTAGGGCTCGGGACGTGCAGTGGCTGAGCACCTGGCCCTGGTGCCTGCCATGATACAGACTGTGTGCCCTCCTCGTTTTTCCGGCCGGCAGCTCCTCTCTCTTCAGGTGGCTATAGCAACAGTATTTGCCTCACTGGGTAGTAGTGACAGGTCCTTCCCTGGCGCCCAGTGAACCGCTGACAGTTATTGTGGGTGTCAGTTCTGTACAGTCTCTGTCACCCGCCCTGACTCCTTAGAGACGGCTCTCCCTCTCTGGAGGCCTGGGAGACCATCGGTATGTGGGCCCCTCTTCTACCGCCAACGTAGCCTGGGACATCTGTTGTCTAGCGGGTCGCCTTCCTTTGGGGTGCTTGTGGAACTCAGCTGCCCACTGGAAACCACTCCATGTTGAGTCCTGTAGACGTGCTTCTTAGGTGTCTGTGAAACAGTGTGGAGTTCTAACTCTGCTCTGTGTGATCTCTAGTTAGGATTTGTCTGGGTGCTAAGGCTTAAGTCCAGGGCTCCTACTCTGGCCTCTTCATGGGTCACTTCTGGTTTTCTGTGTGCTGTGCTTACTGTTTCCCCATTTTACAGACAAAGGCGTGTGTGTGTGTGTGTGTGTGTGTGTGTGTGTGTGTGTGTGTGTGTGTGTACATTTGAGACAGGGCCTCACTACCCTGTCTCAAATGTACATCTACCCATTTCTGGACTAAGCGGCCGTCAGGTGAGTAAGGCAGTGGGTGTGAGACCCTTGGGTCAGAGGACTGGGAGCCCTGTTGTCTTCTACCCCTGGCCCAGCCTAGGCCCTTCCCTGGCCAAAGCTCTCCTGGAGTGCTGGAGTGGCAGGAGCTAGGGCAGTGATGTGCCATTTCTTGGTGTCTTCTGCAGAGGTAAGGTTACAGAGGCATTCTGCTGCAGGAGTGGCTTTTGTCCACGTGGTTCCCATACCTGCCCCAGAGGCACCCAAGCTGTGCTGTGTGCTGAGCTGGTGCTCAGGGCAGCGGTTTGCTAGGGACCAAGGCAGGGTGGTTCAGGGGTTCCGAGCTGAGATAGTGGGACTGTCAGGCTCCCTCAGAGCCTTGGACTCTGTAGACGGTAGACGGAGTAGGGTGTCCGGGGAGGGCTCCACTGTGTCTGAGGGTGGACAGATGCTCGGGCAGTGTGCAGCAGGGCCCTGGTGTCCTGCCCTTGGGCTGCCTTGCCCTGCCCACCCACTCTTGGTTCTGCCCCCTCATCTGGGGCTCCAGATGGCTGTGGAGGAGCACCGGTCCTGATAATAAGAGTACCCAACACTGTCTTCACACTGCTCCAGCCTTGGGGTGGCATCTGTTACCTCCTCTTCCTCACAGCCACCCGCAGAAGTTTGTCCTAGCACCCCTATTTTATAATTGAAGAAACTGAGGTAAGGGGTAGGGATGGAAAGAAACCAGGTAGCCTGTCCAGAGTCCACGGCTTTCAGAGATGGGACCAGGTTTGACCGTTGTCCTCAGATAGGTCTTGACTAGAGAGAGGTGACTAGATGGCTGGGTGCCCCTTACCAGTCTGGCTGTGGATCCTGGTGTAGCCATCTTGGAACCCAGGCTGGGGAAGTGCTGTCCAGTAGAGCTGCATGGGAGGAGCCTGCCCTCAGGGTTTGGAGTCTCGTTCTGAGACCGAAGTGATCAAGGATGGGTGCTTTAGAGACAAGGCTCAGAAAACAGCTTAGGCGGTTAGGTAGAGTGGGCCAGGCGAGTTGCTTGGCCGCTGGCCCTGTGCTTCAGGGTTGGTGCTGCCGTGGCCTTCTGGGGACCGGATGTTCAGAGGGGAGTGGTGGCACCCTCCTTCCTTCTAGAGCTTTGGCAGGTTTGGGGTATGCAGCTCTACCTGAGTCCTTCCTACAACTGCTGGAGGCCTGTGTAGCCTCTACACTCTGTCCCTGGGGCAGTGAGCCAAGAGCAGGAAAAGAAGCGTCACCTGCCCACCAGGGGAAAGGGACACACCTTGCCATGGCTTCTTGTAAGGTGCAGCCTTCAGGAATGACATTTTACTACCAAGATTTGAGAGTGTGAATGTTTAACCAGGATGGGGATAACATGATGTCAGATACAAAAACTGCCTGAATTATGAAAACAGAAGGAGAACTTCAAAGAAGTTTCCAGCTGGTGGTACACTCGGTCACCTACGGTGACTCTTCCTGCCTGGTCCATCTCAGACTGTTCCCAGCCTTCTCCACTGCTGCCAGGGACAGGCCTGAGAAGCCAGTGCTGTCCAGCTGGTCAAGCTTGGCTGTGGCTGGTGGTCAAGGCTGGGTGCAGGGCTTGGCCCTGGCCCCGGGCACCTCACCTTCCCCAGCCACTGTCAAGCTGTGGCAAGCGGGTCCCAGGGAAGCAGCTTCTCTGTCCTGGGCCGAAGCCCTGATGCACATCTTGGCCCTACAGGTACTATCGGGGGACCCATGGGGTCATTGTGGTTTACGACGTCACTAGTGCCGAGTCCTTTGTTAATGTCAAACGATGGCTTCATGAAATCAACCAGAACTGTGACGATGTGTGCCGAATATTAGGTGAGGCTGGACCCCGAGGGTGGGAATGGTGGGAGAGCAGCGGCTGGTGCCCTTGCCGGGGGTTGACTGTGCTCTGTCTTCAAGTGGGTAATAAGAATGACGATCCTGAGCGGAAGGTGGTAGAGACAGAAGACGCCTACAAATTTGCTGGGCAGATGGGGATCCAGCTCTTTGAGACCAGTGCCAAGGAGAATGTCAACGTGGAAGAGGTAAGCTCTGCCTGATCCCCGTCAGGGGCAGGTGAGGACCCGTGCGCCTTCAGCAGACCTCACTTCTCTACCACAGCGCTCTCCCCACTCAGGTCTGCTCAGGTGTGAGTGACCAGCAGTTACTTAGTGCCCAGTGCCGGCTGGCGCTGTGCAGGCCCCCAGTCTGTCTTAGCTCAGCTGTCCTCTGAGGTGGGATCCCCTCACTCAACAGCCCTAAGAATCAACCAGGGAGAGCTGGCATCAAGCCCAGGTCTTTGCCACCCCAAAGCCTTGCAGGTTCTATCCCAGCGGCTTCCCGTCAGCCCTCTCTCGAGCCCCTCACCACCACCTCCTCCCTGTCCCTCTGGGTTGCTTGCTTTCCCGGCCTCTGAGCTCAAGTGGGCGCCTGCTGAGAGGTTCCTAGGGTTTGTGGACCGAGCGTCCACCCGGGAGGCCTCTTCTTCACTTTAGCTCCACCTGTTGAAGAGCAGCTGTGATTCTGAGGGAGAAAAGCTAGAGCTTTTGCCACAAACTCCACTTGGCCCACTCACTGGCCCCAGAGGAGTCTAGAAGTACCAGGGAAGTTGGGTTCCCACTGCTTTGGAAGCACAGGCTCCTCAGAGCCAGGCCAGGACCCACACCTGGGACTGAGCTCCGGGTGATTCACTTGTTCATCTGTGCACAGGAGTGAGGTGGTTCCCCAGGTTGTGAGGATCAAGCGAGCCAAGTTGTGCTTGCTCAGTAGATGGAGATGGTGAGCGCAGCTGTTTATAACAAAGATTTGTGTGGAGTGTGTGCAGTTCGCACGTACAGGATCCAGAAGAGGGCATCAGAGCCCATGGAGCTGGAGTGAGAGGTGCTTGTGGGGCCCAGCTTGTAATGGGGGTGCTGTGATCCGACCCCTGGTCCACATGACACCGAGTCATCTCACCTCTGGTTTTGAGGACATCAGCGTTGTCAGGCCTGTGGCTTGGTGGCTGCCCCAGCCTCGCTGAGTCCTGGCAGCAGGACTTTGGCAGTCAGGGAAAGGTTTAGACACAGGCATTGTCTGGCCCCAGGTACAGTGAGGGGGACAGCCAGCGCTTCCTCCCATCTACACGCAGAACTACGGACTTTTGTCAGAGGTTCTGGTGGGTTCTTCCTGTTTTAAAACGGACTGAACAGACGGCTCAGTGATTGAGATTGTATGCTTTTACAGAGGACCTGAGTTCAGTTCCCAGTACCCATGCCAGGCAGTTCACAACCGCCTGTAACTCCAGCTCCGTGGGTACTGCACTCACATGCACACACCCACATATAGGAAAAAAGATTGGAAAATATCCAAGAGACTGACTTCCCCAAGACAGCTGTGGTCTTTCAGCATTCCCTTTAACTTCTGATCCCACTCCCTCCTCCTAGAGCAGCCCTTCGAACAACCCTTCACAGGGGCCGCATGTTAGATATCCTGCACCTCAGATATTTAATTATGATTCATAAAAGTAGCAAAATTTGTTATGAAGTAGCAACGAAGTAGTTTTGGTTGGGGGTCAGCACACCATGAGGAACCGTGTCAAAGGGTGGCAGCGGTAGGAAAGCTGAGAACCACTGCCCTAGAGTGTGTGTTGAGGGCACCTAGTGCACCCCAGTAACCCTAGCACCGGGGAAGCAGAGGGAGGAGAACGGTGACTGTAAGGCCAGGCTGGGCTACACAGTCACAGTCAGACACCCCGACACACACACACAGTTCACAGAGGAACAGAAAATTGCCTGGGGAGGTGGCTGTGCTGGCCAGCAAGGGCTCCGCACTAGGTCTCAGGTCGGCCTTACCCTGTCACCTCTCCAGATGTTCAACTGCATCACAGAGCTGGTTCTACGAGCAAAGAAAGACAACTTGGCCAAACAGCAGCAGCAGCAACAGAACGATGTGGTGAAGCTCACGAAAAACAGTAAACGAAAGAAACGCTGCTGCTAATGTCCCCGTCCACCGCAGAGACTGCACTGCACCCTCCCCAGCCCGAGGCCTCGAGGCTCCTCGGGGGACAGTCTCAGTTTAGTGCCGTTATTTAAAGAATTCTCTCCACGTTTTTGTACCGGGAGGCGCCATCGGCACTTCCTCCCCTTTCCCCTTGAGTGCCAAGAAGGTGTTGGACGAGCCTGCCCTTCCCCACTGGTGCCCATCTCCCTGCTGAGGCGCCTGGACCTGTCGAGGACGCTGCCAGCTGAGCGGACTGATTAACCAGTTTGTACATAGTGTATATTGCATTAACCAGCTGCACACCCTCAGCCTGCTCTGGCTTTTGCCTCCTTCCTGCCAACCTGCTGCAACAGACCCTCCCAAGCCCTCCTGTCCCATCTCGACGGCAGCTTCCCGAGGAGCCAGCCTCATGTCCTAGCTGAGTCTTTGGCCAACCTGGGCCCATGGAGTGCACTCTACATGGCTCCTGTCCTACAGCTGCTCTGGGAGCTGGGGAACCTGGCCTCCACACAGGCCCTGCCCTCGGCTGGCCCTAGGCCTTCAGTTCCACAGAGGAAGTCAGTCTTGCCCATTTGGCCAACAGGTTTCTCATTCTGCCTTCTAGATGCCTCTGCTACAAACCAGGGGAGCTGTGGCTTCTCACTTACCCAACATGTTTCAGTTCCAGCAGAAAGGTAGGGGTACCTGTGTTCAGAGATGGAGCTTGTAAGGGGGAGCCTTATTTTAACAGATAGAGCCAAATGAAGCCAAATCAAGCAAATTAAGTTCCTCAGTTATTTCCGTGAGACAACTTGATTGGCTCACTAGCAAAAGTTGTGACTGTCCCACTTTGGGTTCAGTACTTTTAGAAAAGGTGTATGGCTTCTGTTCACTGTGGGGTTAAGCTCTTTCCCTTTCATGGGAAGAGAGGAGCTTTGCACCCTTGCTCCCGTGTGTGCAAGGGCCTCCCAGGGGAGCCAGTTTGTAATGTAGCACCAGGCACCTTGACACATGCAGGGGGTGCTGGATATGGGAGGATACCTCCAAGCGGGGACAGGCACCTTTGCGTTACTGACAGACCTGTTTTAGTATGAAGGCGGTAGGAAGGTTTCTTGGCCACTGGGAAGAAGTGGCAGTGGGGTGGGGGCAGCCAGTATTGACACCCCCCGCCCCCAGTCCCCTGAAGTAAAAATCAGGGTAGTCTCCATTTGATTACTTCCCCCTTCCCCCAGGACACTTGGTTCCCTCTCCCCTAAAGGATCACGTAACTGGGAAGAACTGATTTGGACACCATGATGTGTTTTAGATTTCCTTTCCTAGGCGATTTCCAGGCAGTCCTGACCGGACAATCATCACAGATTACTGCAGATTTTCCATGTTAACACTGTGGACGGGTTTTTAATCAATAAAACTGGGGCTTTCTTCTCACCTGTCTCTCCACTTGTCCAGATTGTCAAAAGCTGGGTTCTGTGCGGCAGGCCTGTGTTTCTGAGCTGCAGGCTGGGTTTGGGGGCTCTGGGCCTAGGAAGGTAGGTGCCGTGGAGGACACTTCAGGGCCAAGCAGTAGGCGGCTCCATATGATCCAGGTGAGCTGGGAGTTGAGGCAGATTCTGTTTTCAGGACTGTCTTGGCTGACGGGGCAGAAGGGGTCACACATGCTTCTGAGCACGTGGGAACCAGTGTGGAGGTGTTTGCCAATTCAAGCAATAAGAGGGTGATCTTGGAGCATCCAGCCCAAGTTAGGTGCCTCTGTGGCTTCTGGCATCTGCCTGTTAAGGCCCAGGTGATGGGTGACTTGGTGACAACAGCGTGCCTGTCCCGCAGAGTGTCACATGCATGAGTGGGGTGGGGTGGGGTGAGGGTGGGGGTGGGGGACTCAGGGCTCAACTGGTGTCCTGGTGGACCTGATGTGAAACTCCTGTCAACCAACAAACTTTTAAATGGTTTGCTAGGATTATTTCTGTATTGAAAGTTTCTAATTATGCTTTTTAAAAAAAATACTAAAAATAAAGGTTCAAGCTGCCAAATTTCCTTCTAGGGTCTGTTTGCTCTCCTCCAGCTGTGCTCTGGGTACCCGGCTTCTTCCACTGTTGGGTCCAGCTCTTGTTGATCATAGGTGCCCATCAAGGGGCCTGGGAAACTGTCAAGGGCCAAGTCTGGTTTCTCCATGAATGGACGGTTCAGGATGGTGGTTCCCTTCTGGGCCCAGAGCACGTGTGGGAGGATGTCAGGGGAAGCTCCATGTTTATTCTTCACATGCCGGAAGGATGCAGTGGAAGCATCTGCTTAGAGCAAGCTCTTTCAGCTGAAGTTTCTGCCATGCTGGACAAGAGGGTGTGGGGCAAGACCCCACCACCTTCACAAAGGACCCTCTGGGCTCGGTACTAACCCGGCCGCCACCGCAGCAGCAGCAGCAGCCAGTGGTGGCTTGTGACACACAAAGCAGGTTGGTGACCAACAACCCTCCACACACCCAGGAACTGAGGCAGCAGGTCTGTAGAAATTAATTTTATTCTTATTCAGACTATTTTCAAAAGAAGCAGTGGTGCGCTGTTTTTCTAAAAATATGCCTTTATAGATTTATATATGTGTATTATAAAATCCATACGTGTATTTACACAATTGCTACATACAAAATTACAGCACTGTGGTATGTACATATCTATAAGTACATTCTTTCTGCTCAGCCCTGCTGTGCTTTTCCCCGTGGAGGGCAGGAGGCTTCGTGAGTGGTAAGCAGCTGCAGGCTGGGCCCAGAGCCTCGGAGAGAGCCTCGGAGCTGGGGCCTCAGCAGAGGTCGGGACGGCTGCTGTAGAAGGAGCAGAAGCAGCAGGCTGCAGGCCTTGTCCCCGGTAGGCCTGGTGGGCAGTATCGGGGGGCTCCCAGCAGCCTTACCCCATCCACCCTGTGGCACCCACGCTGCCTTCCGTGTGTGGGTGGTTGAACTAGTCCCCTTGGAGGCCATCCTGTGGCCTGAACTTGCTCGACTTGGCCAGGTTGTATTTGAGGTGGGAGGGAGCTGTGGAAGACAAGTGTTCTCCCAACCCTACCCCACGAGGGGAAAAGTCTGGAAGGTTAAAGCCTCTAGAGGGCCAATGGGAACGCTGCCGGGCCCAGGCCTTACTAGGGGTAAGGACTGTCTGCCCTGGAGGAAGCTGAGTGGAGGCAGCCAGAAGACAGGACCTTCCCTGGGGTACAGAATGGCCTCGGTGGAGATTGGGTAACCCGGTTCTTAGGCCCTACAGCCATAGGCTGGGGCTCCTGCCATACAGGGACTCCAGCAGAGGTGCATGCACATGGGTGAGGGGCTGTGCCTCCCCTACTCCAGGCAAGTGGCTGGGGCAGGAATGGAGGCTCAGGCCTCCTGAGGCATGCACAGGAGGCCTCAGTCTGTCCCCATGGTCAAAATCCAAGGAGGCAGCAGAGCCTTTAGGGTGGGCTGTGATGAGCTGGGTCTGAGTGGCAGAGCCCATCAATGGACTGCGTGAGCAGTGGCTTGAGCCCTGCTCACTAACAGGATCCTGGGGAAGCCCAGGCTGAGGCTTGGCTTGGGCAGTGGGGACAGGATTTATTCCTGTCCCTTGGCAGGGGCAGCCTTCAGAGGATAAGGCAGGCCCTACTTCTCGGTCTCCGTCACACTAACAAAAGGCAATGAACCCACTGGAACCCACTGGCTCCAGCTGAAGCTGACGGGAGGCCCTCTTCAACTGCCTCTAGTTCTCCATCCTCCATGGCCTGATTCCTCCCCACTTAAATTTTCCTGAAGAAGGAGAAGAGCCGTTTGCCGTCCATGGTACTGGGTTCCTGCCCCCGCCCTACGCCGTGGCCCCTAGAGAAGGCAGCAGCAGGCCGGCTCTGTTCCTTCAGGTGCGTGTCCATCAGCTGCCTGTCAATGACCCTGTGCATGTCATCCTGCAGAGAAGGAAAGGATGTGGATAAGCAGCTGCTCTTACCTGGCCCTCGGGTTGGACAGGGAGGTGACAGATGTCATGGCAGGTGACGATGGGATGAGATGAGTAAGCACTGTAGTTGGGGCTGGGGGCCAAGAAAGCGGTGAATGCTGGTACCGTGCCAGGACACAGTCTCAGCCAGCGTCTTGAGGCCTCGATAATAGAACAGCCCCATGCTATAGTAGCTCATGGGGCTGTCTGAGGGTGAGGTGGCAAGCCAGACCACGGGCATCCAGTCAGCCCAGAGTGACCTTAGCTTGTCAACGACCTGGTCCCAAGAGGCTACCTGGGTCCGGATTTCCCCCTTCAGATCACTTCCAGGCTGTCGCTAATGCCCACACACCAGCAATGGTGGCTATGTTTGGGACTGTCCCCCCCCCCCCCCGCCCCGCCCCCAGGCTCTCACTGCTGTGGGCAGTGTCATCTTGAGACACTGTCTTGTTCCACCTCAGTCCGACTTCTGTTAGCTTCTTCATGGGGTAAGGATCTCAGCCCTCTGACTAGCTGGTTACTTAGCACAAGTAGCCCTGCCCTGTCTTACAGAAGAGCAGCTCATTTCTAGTCACCAGATTCTGACTACTGTAGAAGGGGCCTGCTTGACAGTGGGCTCTGCTGCTAACAGTTTGTGAGGAGCTCGGTGGTCATCACCAGACGGCAAACCACACCACCGCCTTCCTGCCTCCTTCAGCTTTTAACCCAGCTGTGAGCCTAAAACAAACCCGTGGGGACTCAGTGGCTGGGATCCAAGCACATGGTGGGTGAGCTCCATGCAGCAGGGAAAGATGGGCTCTGGGGCTCTGGGCAGCCACGCATGAGGTGAGGGCACAGACCTGGAGAGCCTGGCCCCGCTGCCCAGCAGCTTGTCTGTCTCTCTGTCAGGTTCTGATCTGTGGGTGTGACCCGCGTATCTTCTCAGGTTTCAGAATGAAGCCACAGGGCCTTTCTGACCTGTCGGTCCCAGGCAGTGTGGTGAGGACAGACCTCACTGTCCCTGCCTGCCAGCCCGCACACCTCTCCTCTCCTTCCATTCCCACCCTCCACCACACTCAGCTTCCTCCCTGCTCCTCACCGGCTCCTCCTCCTCCTCTTCCTGCCAGCCCGGTTTTCCATTTGCCTCTCAGATCAACCCTGTGTCATTTTTGCCGGCACTCGGCACACGGCTCCTACTTTCGAAGCCTCGATGTGGAATCTTAGCGTAGTTCTCTACACTGAGGACAAACTCAATGAAGTATGTTGTTCAGCACCAGAGAGAAAAGTCAAAGACCTTCAGAAAGAAGCCCTTTCAATGCTGCCGAATTTTCCCTGGCACGGTCACTTCAAATTGCATTTTTATACTTTAAATAGCCAAATTCATCAAGCAAATTCCAGAACATATCTCCTTGGAACTTCACGCACACGCGTGCACGCACACACGCACGCGCTGGTCATGATCCCACGCCTGTTGCTATTCCTGTGGTAAAAAGCCATCTGTGGTAAGGGGGCATGAGCCTGCCAGAGCTACCAGACTGCCTGCCAGCACTGATGAGGGAAAGAAGGCTGGGGCTCGATGGCACGTCACACTGCACTGAGATGGGAGGTTCCGGGACACAGAACACAGTGGTCCATGAGGAGGTGGCAGATGCAGGACAGCGATGGAGGAGGGAAGAGATGAATGGATGCGAGGTTCAATCTCACCTCAAAGGCAGGAGGGGTGTCCAACTAAAGCTGTTGGTACAGGACCTGAGAAAGGCCACTAGATCAGAAACCAAAGGAGCCAGATAGTAAAAAGCCCTGAGGAAGCAAACTGTAGTTGGGAGAGAAGAGAGAACAGCTGTGGTAAGCCAGGGTTCCGGCTAGTCGGCTGCTGCTGGGAGCCAGGGAGCCAGTGACCTGCTGGTGTAGTCAGGACTGGCTGCCAGCCCCACAGAGCCATAGTGTAATGGTTACTACTACTCTGCCTGCCATGGGGGCTCACCTCAGTCACAGGTGCCTTTCCATCTGAAGAGAGACCTTAACCAGTGGACCCACATCCCGACATCGGCCTACCCCAACCTCATCCATGAGTCACAGCCCCGGGGCAGCAGGGTGTCAGGAGACCCTGACAACAGTGGTCCTAGAGCTAGACACCCTGACTCACTTTCTCCAGGCCCTGTGCGAACAGTGTCCATGGAAAAAGGAAGCTGCAGACCGTTGAGAGTGAGGACAGCAACGGCCGAGGACTGCTGAGCTGGACCCAGCTGTGAGTTTTCACTCAGTCACATGGGGCTTCCCAGCCCCAACCTTAGTTTAAACAAACCAGAATGAGCAGCTGAGGAAGGCCCACTCCATGTCTGGTGGTAGGATGTCCCTAACAGGCTGTTTGGGCTTTCTGTCTGGAGGCCACGCTAAGGCATTCTTCCCCGGGAACTCCACAGGTGAGAACGGAAGCTTCTGGTCACCTGGGCTCATAGGCCCTTTTGCCAAAACTCCCACTACAGATGTTGGTTCAGAGATGCTTCA